CACCACAGAGCAGGTATGATTTGGGTGACGTTCTGGTGGCATGCTAGTTGTGTTGTGCTGGTATGAGTGGATCAGACACAGCAGTGCTCCTGGAGTTGTTAAACACTGTGTCCACTCACTGTCCACTCTATTAGACACTCCTGCCTTGTTGGTTCACCTTGTAGATGTAAAGTCAGAGACGATAGCTCATCTGCTGCTGCACAGTTTGTGGTGGTCATTTTCTAGTCCTTCATCAGTGGTCACAGGACTCTGTCGGCTGGATGTTTTTGGCTGGTGGACTCTTCTCAGTCCAGCAGTGACACTGAGGTGTTTACACTGTGAGGTGTAGCCTGGGATATTTTGGATCTAACATCACAATATGGTGTCATTAGAAGTCCTTACATTTTATTTAAATGCATATAAAAAAAGACAATTTTATAGTGAAAATATAATAAAAATGCAATTTTATCCATGGCTAAAACTTACTAGCCTAACCGTGTTCCCCAAAAAAGCTGCAAGTTTATCATGACCTTTAGTGCCTGAGATCTTGACAGATAGCTGGAGAACACCTCACCCAGAAATGCTAACGTTGCTAATAATGAATGAAAGGCAGCTGTTGGTAGAGAGAACTGTGCAGTTAGGCTCATGCTAACGATGTTAGCATAGATTTATGGCTCATTGTTAGCTTTGTTAGCATTCTGCAGTGAAATATCTCTTTAAAAGGCCCCAAAGCACAGACTGCACTCACCATGCTAGTACTGGACAGTAGTTGTGAGGAGGATGCCATGTTGGGGTGTGTCTCTTGTCTGTGATTGTCTTCTATTCATCAGCGGATTACACACTCTTGGACGTTAATTTGATGCCTGAACAAAACGTAAGACACTGGAGAAGGTATTGTACATTCACCGACAAAGGAAAATGCTGAATTCAGAGTGGCACACTATAAATATTTCATGACAGCCATGAAAACACACATTTAAATAGTGTTACTTATAATTAGTATAAAAGCCATACACATATTTTTAGGTTTAGTGCTAATTTTTGATCATTTATGTGTTAAAAAGTCATTTTGCTGAGCTCTAATACAGCACAGCGTCATTTGGCTCAGAAAAATTCCAAAATAAAAGACTCCAAAGTAGAATGCTCCAGTGCAAAATAGTGAGTTTATAAAACTATAAACAATACAGAAACACAATACAAAACATATTCGAATTTTGCCAGCCATCATTTAGCTAAAGCTATGGGTGAAAAGGGTTCTGTGAGCAGTGAGATTTTCAGGTTGGTGCCCCCCTCCTCACGTGAGTTGTTGTTGTCCAGGGTGATGATGCCGTGTGCCCTTTTGTAGCAGTGGTGGGTGGCTAGTGATTTGGTGGACACTGTTTTGAACACTTCTTTTGTTTTTTTTTTACTATACTGTTGATTGCTAAACCTTTACAGGCAATAAAAGTCAGTGATGAACGATGTTAATGAGAGCTAGGCCTTCAGTTCGGGTCACAAATGTCAAAACTAAGTCAAAAACAAGAACACAAAACATGCTAATTTCTGCTAACTCCCTTATGGAATTTCAAGCATATGCTAGCATTAAACTAAGGGTGCTTGGCATGAACATTGTCTGGCCATTCTAAATTAAATGTGGACATATGAAAAATTGTAAAAGACATACCATGTTTTATTTGAAGCTTACATACAAATTAACATAGATTTTACCTCGTAGCAGTTTTACAGTGACTCCATCTCTGGCTTGGAGCTGCTGCTGTTTTCCCTCTGATGCATTGGTTGGACTACCCCTCATACTCGCAGTTGTGATGTATCTAGAACTTGCAGAAGGCCTAGGGGTTGGCAACATACGGTTCTGGGGCTGCATGTGACTCTTTTACTGCCCTTTTGTGGCTCCACAGCAGAATTAGATTTCTAGGTAAAAATAAAATAATCCTCCTTTGCAGTAAAATAAAGCTCTGCTGATCATTCAGTTTTAACAATAACTAGTCTTAAACGCTGGAGTTAATGTAGCCTATACCTGCTAATTCCCCAACCTTTAACTCGTTGGCACGCAGACTGCTGGTCACATAGCAATGCAGACAACAGTCTCACCTAGCTAGCTAGTAGCTAACAACAAGGCAAAGAGAAATTTTCAAGACCAGCATTGATAATTTAGAGACGAATGGACTTATTTGCATTTATAATCACTCCAGCTGGTTTCCTGATATGTTTAATCTGCAACAAGACACTGTCAAATAATAAAATGTCACAAAGATGAAGTCAGCTTCTCATTTGACTTTTCCCATTCCACCTTAAATGGTGCTGCAGTTACATTTTGGCGCCTCAGGCACCATTTAAGCTGGATTGGGAAAATTCAAACAAGAAGCTGGCGAAGAAGAAGCTGATTTCAGCCTCATAAAAAATCAAACATTGAGATATTTTACAAGAAACTGTTTACTTTCACGGAAAAGTTTCCTGTCAGAAATGTGAGAAAAGCAGCTATAGCTGAGCTAAAACTTAAAGCAGAGCAAAGTAAGTCTGCATTTTAATTTATATTGCATTTTTTAGCCTATACTAGTACATTAGCACATACTGAGACATATTTACAGCCAAGATGGTAAAATGGACATAAAATGTTGAAGGTCTCAAAGAGGTTAGATTTTTGTTGAAAGGACAAAATGGCTCTTATTAACATTTGGGTTGCCGACCCCTGAACTAGAGTAACATTTCTTCTCACAAAAGTGGCTCCTAATTATACTTGAGGTTAATCTAACATGTAAGGCCTTCAGTTCAGCTCCTGAAGTCCTAACCAATGAGAGAACTCGCTTGACTGCATCTACCTGAATACTATGGAGTAAACAGTCCTGATTGGATCATTTTCCATTGGGCATTTCAAGAATTTAACGCTTTTGTTCCCAACCAAAACTTAACAATGAAATGAGTATTACTACAGTACTCGTAGAGATTAATTACATTAATCACCTGATATGTATTTTTATTTTTACAGAAATCATGTGACCTTCACTAAAGGCCTACAAGGTACATTGAGGATTCCCCACTAATAAAAGTATTAAAAATATCTCAGGTTTTAGGAACAGAATATCTGAAATAGTTATTGTAACTATGTGTGAATACTTGCAGAACATTCTTCAGCACGAGTGCGTGAGCGTCTTTAAGTGTGCACAGTACATTCCTCAGGCCCGGATTTCACCCCGGCTGCTCTGTGAGGGTTTGTGGAATGTGTGAAAGAATCCTGCTCACAGTGATAAAGATCTACAGTGGACGGCTGATTGACACAAAGACAAGAAGAGACAGTCAGAGAAGGTCATCAATGCGCAGTACGCTGAGTGGAGGACAGAGGTGACCGGAGACACTCACACAGTGTGACATGTAATCACATACATGTCATTCACAAACACATTATTATTACTGTCTGGTCTCAAACGCACACAAACCTGGACGTGTAATCACAAACAAGCTGTGCACTAATACAGACTGGCACTTTTTACCTTATGTACGGTTCTGTGCAAAAGTCAGAGACCATCCTTTATTTATTTAATGACCATCCAAAACAGATATTAAATGCAAGTTATTAAGCATATTTAAAGGAACATTACACAGACACTTCAATAACTATCATTTTTTTCCAGTATCTAATGTGTCCACTCTTTACCTTTATTACAGCTTCTGTTCTTTTCAGAAGACTCACTTTCAGTTCTCAAAGAAATCTGCAAAAAATGCAACCAACTTCTATGACTGAACTTTGAAGGTGTGGAAAAATCCCTGCAGATTTCTTTGAAAAATTCAAAGCAAGCCTCCTGAAAAGAGCAGAAGTTGTAATACTAGGTGGCTTAGGGTGCAGAGGCAAAAAGTAGATATATTAAATACTGAAAGCACACCTCCAAAGTTCAGTCTTAGCAGTTGGTTTAGCATTTTCTGCTTCTCACAATCCAAGTAACCCCGAATACATTGAGTGATGTTGACATCTGGACTCTGGGGTGGCCTGTGAATTGTTCTGAGAACAATACAATAGAAAATTTTGATAATAAGACATCTTAGGCAATGTCACATAGCAAAATTAACCTAAGGAGGATGGAAAAGGGTGGCAGTTTTACAGGGTGAGAGGGTGACTGAGGGTATGGCATCCCTACTCATACTGAGCCTTTGTAATGTCATGCAGTGTCTGAAACCACATTAGCAAGTATCTATTAGAGATACTGAGGCAAGTATGCAATGATTTATGCATGCAGTAAGCAAGATGCTAATTGGTGGGGTATCAACTTCCATTGTGTTAGCTACAATAGCCTTAAGTGCAAAATTGAAGGAGCAACTACAGCTGTATAAAATCGAGCACATAGCCTTGCAATCTCCATAGACAAACACTGGCAGCAGAATGAGTCGTACTTTAAATGTGGCACTGTCATAGGATGTCACCTTTGCCACGAGTCACTTTGTTAGTTTGGTGTCCTGCTGGATCTGTCCCAATCAACTGTATGTGGTATCATTGTGAAATGGAAGCGTCTAAACCAGATGTGTTCAGTCTTATCCGCAAAGGGCTGGTGTGGCCGCAGGGTTTTATTCCAAACAAGCTGAAGCACACTTGATTCTACTTGCTTAATCAGTTGGTCTTGGTCTTCAAACAGCTGATCATGTGAGCTCCTGCTTTGTTGGAATGAAAACCTGCAGCCACAACAGCCCTTTGCAGATAAGATTGGACACCCCTGGTCTAGGCAAAACAACAGGGTTTTTACTGAACAAATGCTTTAAAGGGCAACTACATTTTTCAAAATTTTGGCATAATTAAACGGTTAAGATGAAAACAAAGTCATTCAGAGTGACTTTTATTATGTTCTCCATTCTAAAGAAACTTACTGAGTCAGAATTGTTCACGGTGATGATAGGAACCAGATGTCTGAAGAGTTTAATGCCTCTAAAAGTTCCCTGAGAAGGTTATTACATCAATCACTGCAGCGCTAAACAAACTCAAACCATTCAGCGTATCTTCATGTGCGGTTTACTTAATTAGGAGTCTTTACACCAACTTTCATTCCCACATTTATTCATCATTTCATTAAACTGTTCCATTTTTCAGTTTTAATGGTGGTCACAACAGAAAATGTTTCCAGCCTTCAATTCAACCTCTTCCTAACACTCACCACCATTACGTTCTTACAAGACATTTTAGAAAGAAAAAGAAAAGAATTAAAATGATCAAAAGAACCAGAAACAAAATATCAGTAAATTAGCCAGGGTGTGGCAGGTACGCGACAAAGATAATAAAAAGGTGTGTTTTAAATGGGTACAGAAGACAGACACTCAGTATATGACCAGCCATGAGGTGCTATAATGCAAGAGAGGAGAGATTGACTTTGGTTCTAGTCACCATGAAGAACAGCAGCACCTGTCTACTGGAAAACGTCTATGCTCTAAAGATGGAACCCTTGGCGGCTGTGCTGACAAACATGTAAAATTCCCTCTGTAGGTTTTCAACAACAGGACAGAGACGAGTGGCTCATTGCGTAACAATTCTGACAAGTGGTTTTCAGACTAGCTTAGCACAAGATTCTCCATCTGTGTTTATCTACTGAAGTTCATTTACGTGGTGCACGTTTATATATAATCGTGCAAACCGAAAAGACTGGAGTTCATGGTACAAAATGCACGTTAGAGATTATAATCCACCACCGATTTGGTTCTTAAGGAGAACTTGATGCTCCTCATAGTGGCATGGTCGTGAACTCTGTTTCACTCATCTTGAGTTTGTCCCATTTTATCCTGGATGATTGACAAGACGCAATTTCAGGCGTTCCAGAGCCGGAAAAATCTAATCACTACTTCCAGTCTTAACATACCTGTGTAGAGTCTGTTTTTTTGTCAGTTTAATTGTACAACACTGGCTTACTTATGCTAACATTTTGCACCAAGAGGTTAAAATTGAACAAAATTGAAGAAATACTAAATCAGTAAAGTCGCCACTGAATGCGGAAACAGTAAGGAGGGCTGTCAGACTAGGACACCAGACGAGAGCACTGGAGCTAAGAATGGTCCAACCTGTGGTCCAAAATTGCCCTCAAACCCTTGTGCCCTACACCCTTCATGCCAAAACGAAATAACTACATAAATAACCGGTGCAGTTTGGTGATACTCAAGCACAACCAATTCAACTCATCAGTGAATTACCAGTTTGTGCAGGAAGAGAACCAAATGTTGGCCCTTCAGGACAAACGTTGGACCCCCTAATCAAGATACATGATGTGAATTTGAACTGGCTATCACATAGATGCACATTAGTCACATCTGGACCTTGAATCCAGCCCTGGATTTTGTAATCACTGGAGGATACAGAACTGAGCTGCTGATGCAGCTGATTGGCCACCTTCATACTACCTAGGAGTGGACAGTATGACAATATTTTAACATATTGTGACAAATTTTGAGCATTTTCTGAGCATACCACACATACCATTAGTACTTGGAGAGAATTAGGCCCGTTTAATTGGATTTAAAGAGTTGGTGAGACCGTTAATGAAAATGATTGTATTCACAGTATTTTTCACGGTGGTAGTTTTTTGTCTTTTCAAAGCTCAGAAAAAACTAAACACAGTGATGCATACTGTGTGTTGTGAAAATGTCTTCAAATATCATGATGCTGTATTTCTTCCATATCAAACAACCCCAAGTCATCCTTACTGGAATCCAGGACCGGAACTGCTATATAGTGTTTTGTCTTCCAGTTCTGGACGATCACAACACTCTACAGCTTTCTGTTTTCTGGTACAGCTTATGAAGGGCTTAATAATCATCCAATGAGCAGTTGGTTCTTGGAGAATGAGGAAAATTAGGGCCACAGACCAGCACATTTTGGTGATCTTCCTGTTAAAATACGTGATTCAACTCAGCTTAGATAGCATGTTCAGTTGGTGCGTTGGAGCGTACAGGTGCCAAACTGTGCTGTATGCCAGCTTCTCAGGATCAAAACTGGACACCGGCTAAAAGTATTCCTGCACCAACACACCTGCTACCACTTGAAGGGCTTTTATCTGTGGATTATGAGTTGAACCAATTCTTAGTGAACGAGGGAAACCCCAAAACTGTTGGGCCTACATGCCTACAGAGATTAGTTTTCCTTCATCTAACACATGAAAGCTTTAATTATTAGCCCATTATTTGAACTGGGTGTATAAGAATTTAGGCTTTGTAGAATGGTCCCCCAGGGCTGGACACTTAAATACACTCTAAATATCTCTTTTTGTGTTATGTTTAGGTTTTCCCTCTACAGGACAAAGGCCAAATGGATGTATTCGTGTGTTTCTGTGTCAAACTTAGGCCCTGGAAGGCCACATTCCTACAGAGATCAGAGTTCATCCTCTTATTCAACTCGAAGCCTAACTGCTAATTCTTACTAGCTGATGAGTTGAATCACTTGTTAAATGAGTTAAAACACCAAACTCTGCAGGTTTCTGCCACTCCAGGACTTGGAGTGAAGGATACTAATGACTGATTTCAGAAGAACATGAAGGATGGACAGGGAATGAGATTTGAGAGCAACTCCAGCTTTGACTCCAAGCTCCCAGGTCTCTGCACGTGGAAGCCCGAGCGAAGCCCAAGCCTCGGTTTAGCTGCCGAAGCCAAAAATGCCCTTGATGTAGCCTGTGAGGCCGCCTTTGCCTTTCTGCTCCACCTTGTCATCCAGGGGCGGGAAGGCCACGTGGTTGAGCGCCAGGTCGAAGAACAGAGGCTTGCAGGGGATCGGCTGGAAGTCTGGGGGAAACTGCACCAGATTGGGCTGCTTGCCCAGGAGAGAGGGGTCAAGACGGAAGGTGTCCAGTCGTTCGGAGAGAGGCTGAGGAAAGGAGGGGAAAAAAGAGAAGGAATTATCATTTGAATTTGATTAAAAACAAAAAAAAACAAAAAAAAACAGCTTTAACATTTTTGCCACGTTTGCTGCTCCTTAACATCAAAAAAAACAGAAAATGTTTCAAGTGCACACTGTGAACCTGTGTAATTACATATGAAAACTTCTAGAAATCAAATGTATAACAAAATGACAATAACTGTGGCCTTCTAAGGGTTTAAATGTGAGAAAAGGAGAAGTGAGAGTTGTATGTGTGATGGTATGCGTATTGTGAAAGGACGGGATGCAGGAGGGCGGGTGACAGTATCACCGCGTTTGTGTAGGTGTGTGTTTATAAGCACAGCTGCTTAAGATGCCTCTTCAGGGTGTGTCACCAACCCACAAGTAGTTTCTATTGCAGCGCAGCAACGGATTACACAATCTTAGCCGTTAATCGGACGCCCGGTTAATTATAAAGCAACGTACTTTAATGTTTGCTTGATATCAGTTCAACATCAGTTCAAGACATAATGAGCAAGGGAGTCTAGAAAGGATTTAAGGAATATTTTAACCCAAACTGCTGACGGTGCTAATTATGACTGAAATGTAATAGTTAAATATAGTTAGTACTGTAAAAATGAGATCACAAAAGCATATACAACATTGCTGTTTGTCTGGACAGCTTTTATTGGCTCAGAAAAACACACACATTAGAATAAATACCATTAAAACAATGATAAGTGATTATATGTATGTCTGTGTTCATTTAACACATTAATACTGATCAACACTTAATCAAATTAAGCGTGCAGGTGGTGGTGGAAGCTAGCTCAAAAAAATAAAAGCAAATTTTCCTTGCTATTTGAAACAAAGGAGTTTATTTCAGTCTAATACAATACGCAGGATATAGACCTTTTAAACAACATCCTTAGAGGAGACGAATACAGCATTCTCACACAAAACTGACAGACAAATTAAAGCTAATCTACATGCCATCCATGCTATTAAAGGCCTGGACCTGAAACCGTGCCCTGTAGCAGCGCACTGCACTCAGACAGACACTACACATGTTTACTGCTTTCTGCCCTGCAACATTCCACTGTTCTCCACCCATAAAGAGTAGAGTGTGTGTGTGGGTCAAAGATAAACACTCCCGTAAAATGTGAAAGTGTCTTATGCTTAGTCTGTAGTTTATGTTACAGCTGGTTTGTGATCCCTCCGTAATTTTCCCATGTAAATTATGATGTATTTATGTTAAAGCTACACTAAGTTTTGGGGATTTAGAGACCTCTCTGGTGCAAATGTGTAACTGCACGCAATATGTGGAAGAACATTTTGTAAAGTGGGTTGTACTTCGGACCCCTTCCCCGAGCAGATCATTTTTTTGGTAAACTAGCATCCATTTGTATAATGCTAGCTACCGGCTAGTGACTTTGACTCACTGCTAAAATCATTAACCCCTTAAATGGCCAGAGCCCACTGGCAGGCCCAAAGTTTTATTACACACTTCTATAACCTAAGAATAGCTCAGCCAGTTTGCACTGAAGTCCCTGTAGTTACTGGATAATAAGCCTTAGTATGAAATAAGCCTGAGATTTTAAGGGTTTAACAGATGAATATTGAATATAGATGAATATTGTCTCTTACTGTGGTGTCCTTCACTTGCTGCTGCACAGGTGCTTCAGCCACATCCTCCTTATCTGAAAAAAGATCAAACAAAACGTCACAGAAAGATTCATTTAATGGGCCATGAAACACTCAAAACACCATAAACACCATCTGTTTAATAACTACAGTCACTGGGTGTCACTGAGCTTTACACACTTAAAAATGGATGGTTCTTTAAGGATTCTTTAGTAAAGAAAATGGTTCCATAGAGAACCATGAACACTCCAAGAACCATTTCCATGGTTAAAGTGCCTTTGCATTGTGAAAGTGTTCTTCAGATTGATGGAAAACCTTTCTGAAAAGGTTTCTGTATAGCACCAAAAAGGGTTCTTCTATTGTTACGATGTCAGGTTTGTTCGAATAGAAGAACCCTTTTTGGTGCTATACAGAACCCTTTTCAAAAAGGTTCTTTATAGAACCTTCTAAAGCACTGCCATCAATCTTAAAAACACTTTCACTATGCAAGGATCCCTTTAATCATGCAAACATTCTATGTAGAACCATTTTATAGACTAAAGAACTCTTGAAAAACCATTTTATAAGTGTGTAGCAGAAACAAAATGGCCACAGAGACAAGGACCCACCCAAGATTGCCGCTGCCTGAAGGGAGTATTTCTCCGCATTGACCTCGGCGATAAGCTCCTGGACATCCGGAAGGTCCTTGTGAGTGCCCGAAGAAAACGAGAAAGACTGGTTAAGCAATGACAATGACATTCTTGTCATACCACACGTTCTTTGAAAAATAGTAGAAAAACCTGTCCACTCTCAATCATCAGCTACTATCACTTATGACAACACACTTTCATTCATTAGCGTGCTGGTCAACACCCAGCAGAAGCTCACAGGCACTAAGGACTGCAACTTATCTGGGCTAAAACTCTGAAAATCTAAAAGAGCATTAAAACTAATTTTTAAAAGACTTGACGGTGATAAGTGTCAAAGGTTATGCAGTATTGCTACGATTTCTAGTGAGACGACTTTATGAAAAGTATGCAATGACGTGCTTTCCACAGTGCAAAGCATGACTTGTCCACTAAATCCACTAATGATGACCGAACAGTCCTTTTCTCACTCAGCACATCAAGGCAACCTTTATTCGTAACTATTATCAATATCTTGTTGGTGCGAACCACCTATAAAACAGCAAGTAAAACTGAATTTCCATCAATTAGATTTACTACAATGACATCATGCACATTGTTAGCTTTTAGCTTCCATCCACTGTTAGCCACGTTAGCATGACTGGTTGAGTTATTACATTAATAATACCACATGATGTGTGTATTAATGATAAATGAATGAATTTGGATTAGCACCATTGTCTAAATGTACCTTTAAGCTGTTATTGAGGTTTTTGGCCTTGGATTGGACCTCACGGGCGTATTTTAGGACCCTCTCATACAGAACCAACGCCTCGCTCCACTTCTTCACCAGCACATAGGACTGAGCAATGAAGAAACACCTGCACAGGAACGAGATACAAAACAAACAAATAAAGACAGATAGACAAATAAAGACAGACAGAGAGACAGATAGACGAATATACATAGAATGACAGAGAGAGCATAGAAAGAGATACACAGACAGACAGACAGAGAAAGTGTGAGATAAAGACAGACAGACAGAACTGAACTGCAGCCTGAACTCCAACCTGATTTTCATCAGCTGCACCTGTAGTGAACAACCGATTACCACTGACAATAATACTGATGAACTGATGTCCCCGTACTGAAAACTGAAAATCTGTATAGTTAAAAAAAAACAGAAGCACCTGAAAATCCTGGTCTATTGTAATGGACAACGTGGCAGAGATCAGATGTGGGAGTGTAACTTAAATGTAACAGGCAGACATGTTTCTAATGTCTACCTTAAAGCTCAAGAATTTTCCCCGTTTTCAGAATTTCAACAATTCCAACCAGTTCAGACGACTCAGCATTTCTTGGGCTATACGATTACACTGCTGGGGTGGATCAGTCTGAACTCAGATCAGTTCATACATCCACACACCTGTAAGCCTTGTAGACCAGTGTCTTCAGGGCCACCTCCTTCTGGAAGGTGTGGTCCTCTTCCAAACCCTGCAAGGTTGACAGTTCCGCCAGGCTCTGGAGAACAACAGGAGAGAACAAAACGTGCATGATTAGGAGGAAGAAAAAGATAATGACCACAGATGGCCGGCCAAGTTGGTTTTACAGTGTGAGACTGTGTGATTCAGTTCAGTGTTTTTGAGAATAGTGGCTTTAAAACAAGACTAAAAGTTCTGAATGGAGATTACATTAGTGAGCAATGGACCAAGAGTGAAACTTAAAAATGTGTTTTAAATTTGGCCACTTCTTTAAGTCCACCTCCTTGTTTCTACACTCATTGTCCATTTTATCAGCTCCACTGACCATATCGGAGCACTTTGTAGTTCTACAGTTACAGACTGTAGTCCATCTGTTTCTATGCATACTTTGTTACCCTGTCCTTCAATGGTCAGGACCCCCACAGGACCACCACAGAGCAGGTATTTGAGTGGTGGATCATTCTCAGCAATACAGTGACGCTGACATGGTGGTGGTGTGTTAGTGTGTGCTGGGCTGGTACGAGTGGATCAGACACAGCAGTGCTGCTGGAGTTTTTAAACATCTCAGTGTCACTGCTGGACTGAGAAGGTCCACCAGTCAAAATGACCCAGCCAACAGCGTCCTGTGACCACTGATGACAGACTGGAGGACGACCAACACAAACTGTGCAGCAGCAGATGAGCTATTGTCTCTGACTTTACATCTACAAGGTGAATCAACAAGGTAGGAGTGTCTAATAGAGCGGACAGTGAGTGGACACAGTGTTTAAAAACTCCAGCACCACGTCACTGTCACTTCAGTGCTGAGAATCACCCAACACCCTAACACCACCTGCTCTGTGGTGGTCCTGTGGGGGTCCTGACCACCGAAGATCAGGGTCAAAGGGGACAAACAAAATATGCAAAGAAACAGATGGACTACAGTCTGTAACTGTACAACTACAAAGCGCTCCTATATGGTCAGTGGAGCTGATAAAATGGTCAGTGAGAGTAGAAACAAGGAGGTGGACTTGGGAAGTGGTCGGTCAGTGCATGTTTGTTAAGTTGAACTAATATGTGGTAAATGTGAATAAGCAGATTACATCACAGCACCTTGTTATGTTAGGCTGCGTTAATGATTAATCGCTGACCAATAACGGCGAGTTATTGGTCAAAAGAATTTGCCTGTGTGCGTCTGTACCTGCAGTATGATATCGTACAGCCGTATCAGGTCCTGGGGTCGGGGGCCTCTTTTGTTTTCATCGGTCTGTGGCTCCTTCAGTTTGGCCTGCAGCGCATGCGCCATGCTTTCATTCCTCCTCACCACCGTCCACAGCTTAATGTAGGTTAGGTAGCTACTCACACATACAGACACACACATACACATAATATATATATAATTTTTTATTTGTGAGGTTTTGCACCATCTGAAATTATACTTTAACAAAACAACGCTAACCCAAATTGTCATTTATTTTGCCATTTATCAGTGATGCACTGAAAAGAAAAAACTTCACGACACATATGAACGAGTTTTTTTAGTTTATTTATTTTCTTCACATTTTATTTTGTAGTTTTATTTATGCTTTTGAATTATTGTACTAAATGTAGCTAAACCCAAGCTGGAAATAGATTGGAAAGAAAAAAAAAAATTATTCAGTTTCTCTTTTTAATTATGATTTTAATTATTTAATAAACTGCTGTACTCTGGTGCTTCATTGTGGGCCTATTTAATGTCTTAAATTTTCAGCTTTTTTTCCTCTTTCGGCTGAAAACTGAAAGTGCCCTTTTTCAGTGGTCAGAATTTCAATGCATCCTCATTGGTTATCTTTTGTCCGTCATCTCATTTAATTAAAAGAGCCTAAACCACAGCTCAACGAAGAATGCTAGAAGGTTGCTACTGTCGCATTTGTGTAGCACTAACCTGTGCAGGTACTGCAGGTTGGAGACCTTTCCACTTTCTGCGCCGTCTGCTGCTCTCTCTCTCTGCTTCTGTTAGAGTTAAAGACACACATACACTTCAGAAACTTGAAACTTTTTCAGGTGCTAGACCAATAACCTTCTCACTACACATACAGCATGTATCACAGTGATGCATCTGAAAGGCAGATTATTAACTGTATTTTAAATTACCAAATTAGGGTTTTCATTGCATAGGAATGTAATAAGCCTGGGTATTTAAGGGGTTAAAATAAAATATATGCACCCTTACCACATCAGTCCTCAGCTCTTCTCTCACAGCCTGAATGGTGTCTCTGCACTCAGCCAACAGGGTCTCATACAGACGCTCCTTTGTCTCCTCATTGGCCGCCTGACAGAAAAGAACAGAAATATTAGAGCTACTAAACACTCATAACCACAATTTAAGGTTTGGTATACATCATGGTACAGTATATTTACATCATTTTCTCCCAAAAATAAAATAAAACACCTAAAGCTACACTACATAGGTTTTGGAGATTTTGAGACCTCTCTGGTAGAAATGTGTAACTGCATGCTTTGTGCAGAATCACATTTAAGCCGCTTGCTTATGATACCAGCTACTTGGGAAACGAAGCCAAACGAAACTGCAGAGACGTGAAGGGGACAAAATGAATTCAGAAGAGGCTGAAGGCAGCAAGACAAAACACTGCTGACAAAGAGAGTTTGGGAAAAACTACAACGTTCAGACGACGGGACGAATTTGGTTGCTCTAAAAAGGCAAATGTGTGTTTAGCGGTTCTCTCCAACCAATCAGTAATCTGTAGCATTTTTACGTTTGTCACCTTTTGGTATCTGTACCAACTTTTGGCTAATGGAAAGCCAAAAAAAGGAGAGTAGAGTTGAATCGAGTCAAGCTGGTACCAATCAGTCGAAAAGTGTCTTTAGTAACATGGGTTGTGCTTCGGACCCCTTACCCAAGCAGATGAATCTGATCACTGCAAGCAATTTTTTACCTGACAAACATTTGGACTTTCTGAGCCTGTGTGTGTGACGTTAATATGTAAAGACATATAATGTGGTCTGAAAAACTCCCGACAGCGGCGCACAAACCGTATTTTTGCCTGTTTTCTTTCTCCTGACTCAGTAATAATACTAAATTATAACAAAAAATCTTACACTAAATATATACATTATATATACACACACACACTTTAATAGGTTAACAGTGGCCTTTACATTTAAGAATTGGCATAAATCTGACTATAGAAAAAAGACTCAGATTCTGTAGAAGAGTCATTCTACAGAAATGCCCATTTTTGTGTCCCTAGAGTTTACATATTACATATTTTATATATATATATATATATATATATATATATATATATATAAAATATGTAATATGTAAACTCTAGGGACACAAAAATGGGCATTTCTGTAGAATGACTCTTCTACAGAACCTGAGTCTTTTTTCTATAGTATATATATATATATACACACACACACACACACACTTGAAAAACGTTAGTTACAATTTGTTGTTTTTTTTGTTTTTTTTTTAATATGAATAATTACACAATTACACCTTCTTGAGCCATCAATTTAGCAATATTGGTTTTTAAATCAATTGAAATTGAAGAAATAAAGGCAATAAACACAATGCGACAGTTTCACCAGTTTCGCACCCCAACTGCAAGAGGTGGGGTCTTTCTCGTGACGTCACCACTCAGCCTTGTTAGGACTGTTCCATTTGTGTGATCAATAGGCTACTAAGAAGGAATCTTTATGGGACAGTCCTACCGAGGACCCGCCCTACCTCGGCCGCAGCCAAGGCTTTGGAACACGTCTATGGATACAGCAAAAACATGAACCTACATAAACTTCAGAGACACAGTGGGAGGAACAGAAAGCCAAGAACTGCCAAATCCAATGTATAAAGAGAAAACATACAGAGTGGCATTCAGTGCTGGAGCAGATGCAGCAGGAATGCACACAGAAAAACCTCACAGGCGACTGAACAGGTTTTCTGGACATTCCTTCATAAGCAAACATCTACAGTATCTACAGAGAGGATAATAGTCATCTGTTCTTTATAAACTCCAAGTTTCCAGTGTTTCTTCTGAAATGAAGGGTATTAATAAGGAGTTTGTCCCCTTTTGCAGCAGTAACAGCCTCTACTCTTCTGGGAAGGCTTTACACTAGATGTTGGAACATTGCTGTAAGGATTTGATTGAGCATTAGTGAGGTCAGGTGCTGATATAGGATGGTCAGTTCTGGACATTCCAGCTCATCCCAAAAGGTATTAGATGGAGTTCCATCACTCCAGAGAACATAGTTACACTGCACCACAGCCCAATGCTGGCAGGCTTTATACCTCTTTTGGCACTGGACATGGTGACCTTAGGCTCATGTGCTGCTCCAGAGTGACCCATTAGACTGGTCAATGCTTTTCTATGGAGATTATGCAAACTCTATGTGCAACTGAATGCCTCGGCAATGTGTGCATCTGAAAGTAGTTTGCTCATTTGAAGAACTGTGTGGATACTTTTGTGGTTGTGGTCAGGCGTGCCACAAACCCACCCGAGGAACACCTTACAAGCATAAGAACAGAACTAGAGAAACCAGTTCATTAACCAGGAAGAGGAGGAGGAGAGAGCGAGTGAGCGAGAGAGAGGCTATAGTAAGAATGCACCACAGTGTGTATCACAGAAAGGGATAGTGAACTGAAACCCAGCGAACTGGATCACTTTCAGTCTGAATCTCACACTTTCAACCTGATTCACACCTTTTAAATCACAACAGAGCCACGATCTCCAAAAGCGTATTAGAGGTCACCTCCTAAAACAGAGTGAACGCTCAAAAAAATCATCTGTGAGCTCCAGCCCTGATCCATCAGAGCTGACTGTAATCCTGAGGATGCTCCAGATGACTCCGATTAACATGCTCAGGTGGGGCAGGGTTGGAAACTTGTAATTTTATCTTACTCTAGATCCCTTGTGTCAAAGACAAGGCCCATGGGCCAAGTCAGGCCTGTGAAACAGTCCTATTTGGTCTGCGAAATAATTGTAATTTTCTATTCTTACTGGCCCGTTTCATCCTGAGATGCACTACAGTTCCCAGCATGCACTGCAACACAGTGTGCATTCTGACCCCCTTCCACCAACAACAGTTTATGGGCCAGCAGTTACACAAAAAGAAAAGATGCCTGGTGTCTAGATCAAGCAAATTATTTAGAATTATTTTTTAATAAGTAATCAGTGCCTATTTAGCATTTTGTCACATTTTTAATAAACAATAGCCCGTTCAGGTCGTGGCAAAATGTTGGGCAAAATGAAATAAAAACTGGCCGACAGATTTGCTGAGATTTTTTAATATGGTCCTTTTAGTGGTTGAGTTTGACACCCCTGCTCTAGACGAAGTCAATCAGCCAAGGCATGTCTGGTGTCCAAATTTTGCTTCTTTAGTGTAACACTGGAGCTATGAAGCTAATGTTGCTAACAATCACTAGAAGTCAATAGACATCCAAATTGTTCTGTATAAATACAACTCCAAAAATTCTTTCGACCCACTCAAATCAACATCCAGGTCTTCATTAAGATCTGACTTGCCAGTGTGGCTTAGTACGTTTTACTGTCACAGCTCTGTTGGGGGTGTATTTACATAATTTGGGTGACTATTGACTTCTAGTGTTTGTTAGCAATGTTAACCTCAGAGCTCCAGCTTAAAACTAAAGAAGCAAAATTTGGACACCAAACATATCTTGGCCAATCGACTACATCCGAGGCAAGCGAAAAATGTTTTTGCTGAACGTAAGCGAAAGCAGGCAGAGCATGAAAATTTTTAAATAAATTTGGAGACAGTTCTGCAATCAGTCAAAATTAACCTCATAGTCCAGCATAAAGCAATAAACTTCAGACACCAACGAAAGGGGTTAAAATGGAAATGTTTAAACTTGATTTTTTGCTGAACTAATCCTTGTTCACGATAAAAAAGTGACCTAGAAGAAATGAAAGTCAGACAGTGGTTTCTTGTTCTTGTTTACATCTGTTTGTATTTTGATGTATTTTGTATGCTGATCAGCTCCTGCAGATGGTTATCAGCAGCGAGAGGCGGAAGGGTGCAGTCCAGAATGTGGTCTGACTGCGACAGGACAGCATGCCTGCGCCTGAGCAGCCTCAGGCTGAGGAGTGGCGGGGTGGGAGAGATACCAACCGTCAGCTGCGGGGGCGGAGGGTACACCCACAGCCGCATACCAGTGGATTCAGCATGGCACAGAGTGCCCCCTACTGGATTGATGGAGAGACTGGGGATGGTCTGTTTTCATTCAGACTGGATGTTATGGTATATAAACTAAATACTCATCAAAAATGTGCGGTCAGACCACATTAGTGCCAACTATACAGAGAAAGGTCATCCAAGCTCGACTGTAAAGGCGTATGTGAGTGCAAAGCATGTGATTTTACTCTGCACAAAGGCAACACTTAATGAGAGCCTTAGGGGAATGTATGCATGTGTGGTTGAAAAACATCTCTTGGGGCTGAGCAGATGCTAATCAGTATTATATGATTACACTTTGGAAGAAAAGGCATGAGTAACCTTCCACAGTGCTACAAATACAGAGTTCTTTGGAGTGATGCTTTAAAAGAACCCATTTAGGTTCCCTAAAGATCCTTTTAATGGATGAAAATCATCATTTACGTAAATGAAATGTCTAAGTGTGGCGAACCTTTGTAAAGCTTACAGAATCTTTCCACCTAACATGAAGGTTCTATACCAAACAAAAGGCTTCTCCTACAGTCGGACCTCCAAACCAATATTTGCGAACTTTAAAGGATAATTACACCACTTTTTAAAAATTCCTGCATTATTCAATCACTGAGATGCAAACAAAATTGTTGAGTGGATTGATGTGAAATTATTTACAAACTTAACAACAACTTTACTATCCAACAGCACCACGTTCTGATTTTTACACATAATGTTAATAATCGTAAAATAACACGGACACACTTTTTTTTCTTGTCCTGGACTATTTTGACGTACATCTAGCATGTACCATGCCTTGAGTGTACTGGGTCCATGATTATGGAACAAGCTTACTGAGTCTCTAAGAAATTCTGGATCTTCATCTCTTTTTAAAAAGATGTTTTTGTAAATTAACTTTTGTTTTAAGTAATCCTGGATCTCTTTTCTTAAGAAGATTCGTAAGACTTTTCTTTTTTGACCTTTTTTATGAATTAATTTTGCTTTGTTTTAGAAACTCGATCTTTTAACAAAAATGTTAAGACATTTCCTTTTAGATGTGTTTTATGGATTTTTTTTTTGTTCTAAGATGTTCTGGATCTTTTTAAGTAGAATCTTTAGACTCTTCTCTTTTATACATGTTTTTTCCATGTTGTTTTCTTTATTTTTCTATAAAGCACCTTGAGTTGATGTAATGAAAAGTGCTAAATATATAAGATGCATTATTATTATTATTATTATTATTATTATTATTATCTCTTCACCAGTAGCTCGACTTTGTTGCATTTTTTCACCATTTGCAGCAAACCGTTTGCAGTTGTTGTGGTTGTATGTGAAGGTGATCAGGTTTCTGACCTGTGCAATAGCAGCCTCGGTGTCAGCCAGCGCCAGCAAGAAGATACGGGCTTTATCGATTTTAACAGGTACAGTACGACCCCTCCACTCCACCTCGCTCATGGTGGCGGCCTGCTTGGCCCTCGTCTGAGTGATCAGAGCCTGCAGAGAGAAGATTTAAAATAAGTCACCAAAGTTTCCACCAAAAGCAAATGTACTTCTACCAACCCGCAGTTTATAGTCTTTCACTTTTAATAAAAGCTAATACAGTGTTACACAGTTCTACCGAAGAAAAACACATTAAAGAGTGTTAGAGATTTAGGCCAAATAAACAATGAACCTGTTTAAGGTCACAGGTAGTGCACAATGTGCACAAACGGGGTATAAAATATACAGACAATTTTAAAGAATTAGTTTAAACTGCTGTCCCATATTTAAAAAAATAAATAAATAAGAAAGGTATTCATACTTTAGATATTTACAATGATTGTTATGATCTATTTAAACCCAACACTGACTGAGATACTCATAAGCTAAATATTTACAGAATTATCATTTATAAATATATACAAAATCATCATTTATAGGGCACCTTTTTTTTTTTTACACTTGTGAAAATAATACTTACATTTTTAGTTTCTTTTAAAGTGCAATTGAAAGATTTTGATTTATCATTTAAGTTAAATTTTTATCAGTTTAATGTTTAATTTAAAAAACAAATAAATAAATAAATACAACTTTTTCATAAATACAACGTTTTCATGTCACTACTGAAATGCAGTGTTAGTCTGCAGGCAAAGCCTTATTTTAGCAACAGTGCTGCTCCGCCTTCAGACTAAAACTGTGTTCATCCCTGTCCCTTATAGCCACATGGTGAGCAGTTTGATCCCATGTTTGCATGTTTGAAGCAAACGTGTCCCAAAGTCTGAAAATCAGTGTGGAACATTAAGAACTGTCACTACCGAAACACATATTTTCTACAATAAAGTATTTTTTTTGTGTTTTTTTTTGTGTACAATTCCTAAAAATTGTGTTTGCTGTCATGTTTTTGAGTTCTGCACAAAATTAGCTAAAACTGTCATTTCTGAAACAGTCACTACTGAAACATCTGGTAAAACTCTTGTAATGCTATGATTGTTTTGATAGCAACAAAACTGATTCTTCAATCCTCTGCTTTCATAAAATAAACATAATTAAGAGCGTCACTCAAAGTAAAAAGACGGATTTACCCCAAACTCTTTATTCAGACACATTAAGATTTATTTAGCCATACAGTTAAACAAGGAAGGTGCTGCCTGCTGGCTCCTTTCTGAAAAGCATTGGTTTACTAAAGAGGACTTTACAGCAGCCCTGCAGCGCCCTCTAGCTGTGAAACTACCTTACTGAAACCTGCTATCACTAGAAACAAAAGCCCAGCTCCTGGAGATCTAAAATCCAGTTCAACTCTGATATTAATCCAACATATCTGATCTGCCTGATCAAGGTCTTTAGAGCTGTTTGAGGTAGGCAACATCAGGCAGAGACAGATTCAAGGCTTAATTAATAAAATAACCTTTTCCAGTATAGCATAACAGCTCCCCTGCTGCAATTGCTGTAATTTTTACATCGTTTAATTTTAGTTTCTTACTATTTTAATCGAACTGATTACTGTATCAAATGGCTTTGTTCTGTTTTTCTGTATTTTAATTCATTTTAAACAGGCACAATGTACTGTTTTGAAATGTCTTTTATATAGAACATGATTAAACACTGGAACTCTGCAGAGTGGTAGATTATTAGAAGCAGATTCAGGCAGTTCTGCACTATAATATTCTCTCTTGCAGCTCAAGAAGTAACAGACTGTACTGCAGGGTTACAAGAGCAGAAAATAAACTCAGCCACGACAGCGTGATCTCTGACCTCAAGCTTCTCGGCCATCATGCCTCCACCGCCTCCTGCGCTGAGCCTCATCTGCATCAGATCGTTGATGGCGTTCTGGTCACCTACAGACAAAATAGGGGGGAAAACACATACATGTAAGGTGTAATGGTTTTTCAATACAGTACTTAAAAACAAAACAAAAAAAAGTATGCGAGGAGGGGGCGGAGCTTGTGTTGGACACACCCATGCTCAATTGAATGTTTTTTTTTTCTTAGAAAGTGTAGTGGGGTTTCTTTTGTCATCAAAACTCAACTTCAGAGTAAAAAATTGTATCAAAGCTCAAAACGTATCTCAATCCAGTCCTACTGCTTTGGTTTGTGGACGCACATGACTGTATGTGCACAAGCAGTAAGTGCAGTCAGCACACACTACAGCAAAAGGAGTGGGAGAGCGTGATGTGTATGTATGTGTGCAACTTACCGATGTTATAAGCACAGTAGCGTATATTTGGAGAGATCTCCTCCACTCTCTGGTGATACAGAATAGCCTGCTCTTCAGTGAACGCGCTCGCCAGCTTCTCATAGATGGTCCTGAAGGACAGTAACATTATTTAAAAATAAAACAAAAAGTTCACTATTATAGTAGAAATATATGACTAACGGTGTACAATGTGCTAAAAATGTATTGCAAGTATTTGTAAAACATGACAATGAAACCCTGAGGATCTGATATCGAGCTTTTGGGATCTATTTGAAAAGGTTCTATATAGAACCATCTACATCACATTGTCCATCAATCTGAAGAACGCTTTCATGATGCAAGGAACTCTTTAATCATGCAAAGGGTTTGTGTGTTCATATTTCTTTATAGAACCATTGTCTTTACTAAAGAACCCTTAAAGAACAATCTTTTGTTCAATATCTGATCTAGCATTTTCTGCTGATATTGGTTTGATACTGATACTTATCGATAACAATATGCCATTTTTAAATATCACAACACTTCTCCCCCCATGATACACAATATGTGTCATGCTATTTAGCTCCACTGATGTTAAGTTGCAACAGACTAAATTCACCAACAAAGCAGTAGCGGCAATTTAAAAGTATAATAACTCAGCATTTGCAAAAATAAACTACAAGAACCAGATAACCTGCAAAAATAAATGAATAAAATAAGATTATAGCATGATGGGCTATCATCCAATTAGTTACTTGTTGCTATGCAGTTACTATACACTGGTTGTTATTGTTTACAGGCACTTGTCAATTGGCCTAAATCTGTGATTATGATATATGCGGTTGTTCAGTGTTCTAGGAGTGCTAATCATACTAATAACATATTGTCGACTCCTAATCATAACCTTACAGCAATAATGACATCTGTGCAGCAGCTGTTAGAACTGTAATGTTGCCCAGGGTTGAATTTCCATAAAAAGACTAAAGAAATTACAAACATTTTAACAAACCAGCCATTAGATCAGCTCTCCCTATATGACATTCTTCATGAATGGAGACCACAGTGGTCAGGAGGAAACACACTCACTTGCACTTGTTGAAGGCCTCCATGGCAGCTTTCCATTCCTGCAGTTCAAACTGGACCATTCCAGTCAGGTAGGCAGTGTAGGCCTGCAGAGTTCAGCACATGATTAGAATGACATATCATTTACATCACATCCTACTCGCTGTTTAAAGTTAAAGTAACCAGTCTGGAAATGAAGCTTCAGATGAAATAGCCAGTTGTGTCGAGCCTCCATTCAGTTTAAATGAATAGTTCAACAAAGCAGTTGAGCTTAATGACACAGAATCCTGGCAGATCTAAAAAGCTTGACTTTCACTTTAGGGCCTAAAGAGTCATGATGACCGCTCAGCGGCAGTTTCTGTGTGAGCAGTAAAGGATACCTGGGCCTCTAGTTTGGTCTTGGCATCAACACGTGGGCTCTCACACAGCCTCTCCAGCTGCTCTCCGTGTTTGGCTGCTTTACGCAGGCGCGCCATCAGGTGGAAGCGTTTCCTGGGCTCAGTGTTAGCCTCCTGCTTCAGTTGCATAGCATAACTCCAGGCCCGCTCTGCTTCCATCACAACCAGCAACAGATACCTAAAAGAAGAAGAAAACAGTGGCAGGACAATGGGAAACGCATTGCTGTAACATCAAAACCTAATTTTAATTTTTTTTTTTCTTTTTTAAAAACACCATCTGAAATCACCACCTGCCCTTTAAACTGTACTTGGAAACCTCACTAAAAAATGCACTTTTAACCTTTACAAAAAAGTTACAACTTTCTAAATATTCAATCCATGCTAAAGAAAACAAAATGGCAAAGAAAAATTCTGCAAGCAGCAACGATCCAATCTCATTCTAATGACTTAACTGTCCTGTTCACACGTAGGGGTAGGGTGTCCCAATTTTTGTTGAGATGGCCCTCCAAACAGAGGTTTTTCAGAGTCACACTCCAAACAGTGTTATGAGGGGGAAAAACAAACAAAACAGCAAGATGGCTGCACAAGCCACTAAAGAAACCTATAAATATGAGCATTTTCTCCATCAAAAATTACAATAACCATCAAATTATCTTTTTAAGGTCATTTCAATGTATTATGGTCCTTTTCTTTATAACAACCATTGAAAAAGAATAAATAAATAAATAAATAAATAAAAACATTGCTAGTACTAGGCTGGCTCTCAGTAGCTAGGCTAGCTAAATTTCCCTTTCAGCTACATTCTGCTGCCTCAGACGTCACAACTGCTGCTCCATTTAAGGTGGAATGGGAAAATTCAAACAAGAAGCTGGCGAGTAGCTGAGTTTAGCTTCATATCACTGCGGAATTAGGGGTGGGCGATAATAAATAATTATCATCCCCCCCCTCTTTGAAGGCATTTTTCAGCAGTGAGGTTGCTGAACTTTACCCTCCTCTGCTTTCACTGAAGACTCACAGGGTTGGCTACAGAGCAGCGCTAGTAGCTGTTAATGAAGTAATGCTCTTTTTTACTTAAGGGTCCCATTTCATATGGAAGATTTCAACCACTACCCGTTGTAACTCAGCACCAAGGGACAAAGGCGACACTCGAAAACAAGGGGTAGGGGTAAAAATAAGAAATGGGATTGGGATAATAATCAAAGAACAGTAATTATAGTAATAGAAGAAAAATATTATTTTGGGAAAAGTTATTTTGAGATAGCAAGTCAAAATCTTTCAGAACATATTTCAGGATACTTAGTCAAAAATATGACAAAATAAGTCACTGTTCTGAGGCAAGTCAAATTTTCAAGACATTACATCATTATTCCCACGACCCAGAAGGATAAGCGGTTTAGAAAATGTGTGCGTGTACATCATTATTTTGAAATACAATATCAAAACTTCAAAAAAAATCACTGACATAGTAAGTTATAGTAAGTATAGTATAGTACAGAGTAAGTTTCCACTGTCCAACAGCTGCTAAGCAACAATGGTCATTTTACTGTTGGCTGTTGGAACCACTTTTCTGGCCAAAAAAACATTTGACACGTTTTGAGTTTCTTTACTTTTTTTTTTTTCTCTACAAGAATAAAAGAAATGACCAAATCACAGTCATGATGTTCACCACAATGCGTCCCCGTTTGTGTTCTATGGCTTAAACAGAAATCACCACTCCGACGTACCTGTTGTCGGACACCATCTCCACAGTCACTTTTTTGCCTGTAAATTTGTGCCGGTTGCCCATTTTGAAGCCCAAAGTTTTCCGCAGGCGACGCAGCCTCCGGGAGCAATATCCTCTGAGACGAGGCAAGATAAAGAACAAGCACATGGGATCAACATGAGCCATCAAAACACCACCGGCACTGCGGTTCAATAAGTCATCTCGCAGAGCGCCTCACCTGTACCGCTGGTAATCTCCATGTCGGAGCCCATGCTGCTGCTGGGAATCTTTTATAATCTGGAGAACTGGAGGACAGCGCTCAGGAAAAATCACTAAACCTGACATACGGCACATTTTAACTTTATAATGTCGACAAATTGCCATAAAATCCTACATTTGTCACATTTTGTGACTACAGTTGGCTTCGCATTCAGTTAAATGTACATCAGTAAACCATTGATGTGTGTTAAAGGGGAACTCCACCAATTTTTCAAAATTTAACTGGTTTGATGTAAACAAAATCATTTAGAATAGTTTGATGTGAAACACTACACACTTAAAAATAACGGTTCTTCAAGGGTTCTTTAGTAAAGAAAATGGTTCTAAATAGAACCATGAACAGTTAAAGAACCCTTATTAGAACCGTTACGATGTCAAGATTTTTTTTGGTGCTATAAAGCACAATTTACAAAAAAGTTCTACATAAACTCTGCGTCGTCAAGGGCTATTTAGTAAAGACAGTGGTTCTATACAGAACCATAAACACTCCACCATTTGCATGGTGAAATGATTCCTCAGATTGATGGAAAATGTGTTGCATATGGGTCCACATAGCACCAAAAAGGGTTCTGCTACTGTCATGATGCCAAGCTTGTAACAGTAGAAGGACCCTTTGTTTCTACATACATTCTTAAAATAAATGTTTTTAAAGGTTCTTTAGTAAAGACAGTGGTTCTATATAGAACTCAAAGAATGATTTGCATGGTGAAATGGTTCTTCATTGATGGAGAATGTGTTGTGTATGGTTTGTATAGAACCTTTTTGAAAATGGTTCTAGATAGGCCCAAAAAGGGTTCTGCTATTGTTTCGATGTCAAGTTGTAACCGTAGAAGAACCTTTTGGGTGATATAAAGAACAATTTTCAAAAAGGTTCCACATACACTCTTCTACATAGACTCTGGTTCTTCAACTGTTCTTCTGTAAAGACAGTGGTTCTATATGGGACCATCAACACTAAAAAGAACAATTTGCATGGTAAAACCGTTCTTCAGATTGATGGAGAATGTGTATGGTTCTATACAGAACCTTTTTGAAAATGTAACATTAGAAGAGCACTTTTTGGTGTTCTATAGAACTATTTTCAAAAGAAACCAGTACCATATAGGTTACAACACGTTCTCTATCAATCTAATGAACGATTGCAGCACGCAAAGAACCATTTAAGCATGCAGATGTTTTTAGGACTCATGGCTCTAAATAGAAACCTTGCCGTTACTAAAGAACCCTTGAAGAACCATCATTTTCAAGTGTGAATAAAATACAACAGAGAGAACGACAAACTGACAGCTGGCAAAGAGCAGATTATGAGTCTGTAAGATTGATTAGGGTAAATAAATACTGGTTCCAGTGTTTTTCCTCGTCTGGTTCCTGATACTGACTAAACGAGCCCTGAACAGACTGTAATATTTAGTGACACGTATGAGATGAAGCCCCCCCTTCAGCCCGCCGGCTGAGCTGAAGAACCGCCTGAAGATCCCCCAGAAGCGGCGGAATGAATCAAACCCTGAAAGGATACTCTCCAAACTGAGCCCTCCGTCCGTCTGGTTCTCTTTATTCTCCTCATTCGGGGCTGTTTTTACCTCGCTCGGCTTCTCGGCGGCCATTTCTGTCCCACCAGCACACGGCTCGACGAGAGGAAATCAGCCTTTCTGACCCGGCAGTAAAGCCCGGCTGGAGAGGCGTGGCCTAAAAGCGCAGGGGGCGCTTACAGCGACAGCGATGCTGCCTACTCCCTACACCCTACACCCTACTGCCTACTCCCAACTCCCTGCACCCTACTCCCTACACTCTACTCCCTACACCCTACTGCGTACACCCTACTGCCTACACTCTACTCCCTACACCCTACTCCCTACACCCTACTCCCTACACCCTACACCCTACACCCTACTCCCAACTCCCTACACCCTACTCCCTACACCCTACTCCCTACACTCTACTCCCTACACCCTACTCCCTACACCCTACACCTTACTCCCTACACTCTACTCCCTACACTCTACTCCCTACACCCTACTCCCTACTGCCTACTCCCTACACCCTACTGCCTACTCCCTACTCCCTACACCTTACTCCCTACACTCTACTCCCTACCGCCTACTCCCTACACCCTACTCCCTACTGCCTACTCCCTACACCCTACTGCCTACTCTCTACTGCCTACTCTCTACTCCCTACACTCTACTCCCTACTGCTTACTGCCTACTCCCTACTGCCTGCTGCCTGCTGCCTATTCCCTACTGCCTACTCCCTACCGCCTGCTGCGTACTCCCTATTGCCTGCTCCCTACCCCCTACTCCCTACTGCCTGCTGCCTACTGCCTGCTGTCTATTCCCTACCGCCTACTCCCTACCACCTGCTGCGTACTCCCTACTGCCTGCTGCCTACTCCCTACCACCTGCTGTCTATTCCCTAACGCCTACTGCCTACACTCTACTCCCTACTGCCTATTCCCTACCGCCTACTCCCTCCCACCTTCTGCCTACTCCCTACTCCCTACTGCCTGCTCCCTACTGCCTGCTGTCTATTCCCTACCGCCTACTCCCTACTGCCTACTCCCTGCTGCCTGCTCCCTACTGCCTGCTGCCTATTCCCTACCGCCTACTCCCTACCCCCTACTGCCTGCTGCCTCCTCCCTGCTGCCTTCTCCCTACTGCCTGCTGTCTATTCCCTACCGCCTACTGCCTACTGCCTGCTGCCTACTCCCTACTGCCTGCTGTCTATTCCCTACAGCCTACTCCCTACCGCCTGCTGCCTATTCCCTACTGCCTGCTGCCTACTCCCTACTCGCTGCTGTCTATTCCCTACCGCCTACTCCCTACCGCCTGCTGCCTACACCCTACTGCCTGCCTACTCCCTACTGCTTGCTGCCTACTCCCTACTGCCTATTCCCTACTGCCTACTCCCTACCGCCTGCTGCCTACTCCCTATTGCCTGCTCCCTACCCCCTACTCCCTACTGCCTGCTGTCTATTCCCTACTGCCTACTGCCTACTCCCTACTGCCTGCTGCCTACTCCCTACTGCCTGCTGCCTACTGCCTGCTGCCTATTCCCTACCGCCTACTCCCTACTGACTGCTGCCTACTCCCTACTGCCTACCGCCTACTGCCTGCCTACTCCCTACTCCCTACTACCTACTCACTACTCCCTACCGACTGCTGCCTGCTCCCTACCGCCTACTCCCTACTGCCTACTGCCTGCTGCCTACTCCCTACACCCTACTCCCTACTCTATACTCTATACTCCCCATGAGTCAGGCCTGTGTCACAGTCCTATTCAGCCCGCCAAATTATTTTAATTTTCTATTATTATCAACCTGTTTCATCAGAGATGGCTACTATAGTCTCCAGCATGCACTGCAACATTGTGTGCATTCTGACGCCCTTCCCTCAACAATCTATGGGCCAGCAGAAAAAGCAGAAAAAGAAAAGATGCCTGGTGTCTAGTTCAAGCAAATAGGCAGTTAAAAAACTACCTAAAACAAATGATTTTATTTGAAATCAATGCTTATTTTGCTGTTGCAGTTTTGGCATATTTTTTAAATAAGAGTTAAGTAAAAATGAAATAAAAACACAGCTGGCCCACGGATTTAAAGAACAGAGATTTTTTAGTATGGCCCTTTTAGTAGTTGAGTTTCAACAGGGTCGGGTAGAATACTTTTAAAAAGTAGTGATGGCTGAATACTGAGTACACCGTCCTAAATATATTCAGTAACATAATCCATTACAATCCTAAAAAAGGTAAAGTATTCTGAATGCATTTAGAAGACATATTGATGAAGCACATTGGAAAAGACTCTGCTGAGATTTTTATTTATTTGATGCTGTTTTCCACATGTAATTCTTCTGATAATAGGTTTCATGAAAAAATCAATTAATCAAAAATTAATACAAAGTTCTCAATGCTATTTTGATACTATTTTGACACTATGGCCTGCCTCAGTGCTCTGCTGCTCCCATAAACCCACTGCCCTTTCATGAACTTAGCCAACAATTTGCTTTATCCCAATAACAAAATCTTTCAAATTTGACTATTAAATGAGTAGCTGTGATTTTCAGTTAATGACGTGTACGTCACTTGCCATAGGATGCATCTACAAGTCCAGTACAGCACCAAAGCTAAGTTTAACACTTGAGAACATGTCCACTACTCAGTTCAGTCATCCTTCAAAAGACTTCACTAACTCTTAGCAACTGGCTAAACACAGTGATTTATCAGTCCACTCAGGCTTTAGCAAGAACTTCACTGTTTGTAAAGAAGACATTTTTTAAGTTCTTCCTTACAGTAAGTCTTCACATGCACACTTAAAAATGATGGTTCTTCAAAGGTTCTTTAGTAAAGAAAATGGTTCTATCTAGAATCATAAACACTCAAAGAACTCTTTGCATGATTAAAGATTTCTTCAGAATGTGCTGTAGATGGTTCTTTGGTGCTATACAGAACCCTTTTGTAAAAAGGTTCTATATAGAACCATCTACAGCACATATATCTTCTCTTTTCATCCTACAGCTGTTTAGCTCCACCCATTCACTCTGAAGTTATATGGAGTGAGTGCTTTTTGAATGAGACATAACACAGAGCATGCTGAGCTAATTTACATGTATCAGTCTTAGAGGTACAGTAACTACAAGAACCTGTTTCTGTTTAAGGCATAATAAGAGGTTAGAAAGAGTCATATAATAATAAATGATGACTGTTTTTGGTACATATAATCACACATTTGTCATCAGTGAATGGTAGGGTCAAAAATTAAAAACACAAGAAAAATGTAGGACATGGGTTCTTTAACCAAATATATTTGTTTACAAACAAGCAAAATTTCTGTATGTCTATACACCCTACGACTTACTCCCTTCACCCCAGGCCCAGTGTAGCCAATTCATCTCTATAGGCTCAAATCCCCCTGTGTTTACTAACTATTTATTTAAAAATAAATAATATTCTTAATATCTCTACATTCTACCTACATAACTTTCTAAAATCGTCTAAAAAAAGCAGTTAGTTCAAAGTCATAAAGTAAACAGATTTTAAAAAGCTGCAAAACTATACTTCAACACCACCCATATCATGTATACAGAGCCCCTAATGTAACACGGTGAATATTTTTTGGCAACAATTTAATATATTAATGGCCATAAGAAACATAACTGGTGGCCTCAATATATTCATTTGTGGCCACACCTTATTAAAAACAAATCACCAGGTCACCTTCGGGGCTCTGCTCATTTACCAACTGAAGTTTATTTAACATTAAAATTTTTTCATTCAGTATGTGTTATTGTTTATGCTACTTGGAAACACACAAAGTTGTGATCCTCAACTTTCATCACTTATATGATAAAAACATAAATAAGTAAATAAAAATAAAATACATAGCTTGTTGTCTTTATTGGCTCATAAAAAATTTTGTACATAACTTGCTTTCAGTATGTTTGACACCAAACAGAAATGTCAGTTGAGCAAAGGTTTCAAAAAAGCATTCAAAAAAATTCTAATTATGCGTAATGTATGACACAGGCAGACCGAGTAACACAAATGCAAGTAGATAACACTGATCATAAGAGACTGCATATATGAAAACTAATCAGAATCACTGAACAGATTCCCCTCCTGACTGTAATCATCAATATGAAGTACAATCTGCTGTTAAAGTGGTAGTTTGGCCAAAAATCAAATTTACACAAATTACCCCGCTTACCTCAAATGCAGTCAGTGAGGCAAAACATGTTTGTGTCTGAAGTTCGCTCCTGTGGTTTTAGCACTGAAGCTAACAAGCAATAGAAGCTAACAGTCACCAGTTAGCATTGTGCAAACTGCAAACTAAATCATCACACCCTCACCTCATACTCCCTGTGTTGAGTTGTGAAGTAATATCATATCACAGTTAAGTCTGACAGTGTGGGCCAGTTTCCCCAAACATGGCTTAAGTCTAGCCTTGGACTAAATTTCAGCGCCAAGAGCCAATCAACACTGGATATTTGTGTCAGTCTAGGCTTCGGGGTCTGGGTCTAGGAAACTGGCCATACGTGACATACTGTGATCTATATACAGTCTGAGGTCTTGAAGTCTGAACTTTGTCCATATATTTTAGCCTCCAGTCCAAAACTAAAGAGGTTGGATCATTTTAACTCAGCAGTTCAGATGTTTTCCGCAGCAGAGATGTATTTGAGGAGAAACTGTTTGATCTCGGAGATGTGCATGGTCTCTTTGACGGTGGTGTTGCGGTTGCGGACCATCAGGAGTCCATTCTCCAGCGTACTATCAGTAATCATCACTGTAAACAGCACACCCATCTCATCGTACCTAAGACAGGACAGCAAAGACAGACAGTTAATGTAAAGCCACGGTGCCTTTCAGGTAAACTTATTAAGTGTTTTATAAACTAAAATCATTCTAACTTGACATGTAGACTCTCCATGGAGGAATATGTGGTGTCCAAATATCCAGGCCATGCAGAGATTCCCGCTTCCAGAAATTCCTGAAGCAAGCCCTCACAAACCTTAGGAAGATTTGAAACCAAAGTAATTCTCAATCACAGCTGAAGTCTTTTGAAGAAAGTTTCAAAAAAGATTTAGAAAATATGGCCTTGTTAACTTAAAACCAAACATTCACGTGTAATAAATCTGTTATTACTTATTTTATACCAAAAACTATTAAAGGGGTATTTCAGACTAAAACTAGCAATTAACATTTTATTCTATTATTCCACGTTATATAATATTATGTAGTGCAGCATCGCAGCCCTCAGCCTCGCCAGTTTGACAAAATTCGCAATTTTGTGTCCTTTTCGTGTTTTTGTCCTTCAGTTTTTTCTCAACAATATCCAGCATGCATTACACAAATTAATCATACAATCACTGGGCTCATCCAACACAGTAAAGAAACCCTGACTGTAAACACAGTCACCGACATAGACTAATAAAACAGACATGATCCACTAGATGGACAAAAGTTTTGGGTCAGACCTCTTAATCATTAAATTCAGGTGTTTCATTCAGTCCCATTGCCACAGGTGTACATTTGTGACACTTTCACTATGCACTTCACACTGTAATATTGCTGCAACTCCTAGTTATGTCTATAGTCATTGTGCTTTTAGACTCTCTTACCACTCAGTGCCTGCTATCATTTAAATACAACATATCTGTCCCATATACTATGTAAATATGCAAACAGATATACTTTTATTTGTACTCTCTTATACTTAACTTATGTCTATTTTTATTTCTATTTTTTATTTCCTGATTATTATATGTAAGTTTATGTGCAATTATATGTCTTGCTACTGAAACACTGCAATTTCCATCTTTCCATCCATCCATCCATCCATCCATCCATCTATGTGTATAACATCAAGCACCTAGCCATGCAGTCTGCCTTTACAGACATTTGTAAAAGAATGCGTCGTTCTAAAGAGCTCAGTAAATTTGAGTGTGGCACTGTAATAGTCGCCACTGTTAGTGAAATTTCCTCCCTCCTAGGTCGTGGGCTGGAGGTTAGGTAACCAGCCTTATGACCGGAAGGTCGCCGGTGTGCATGTATGTGGGTGTTTCACTACATGGATGGGTTAAATGCAGAGGTCTAATTCCTCTGTGTGCAAGTTGGCTAATGGTTCTGAATTAAATACAATTCAATTCAATTCCATGATCAACTGTGAGTGGTATTATTGAAAAGTGGAAATGTTTAGGAACCACAGCAACTCAGTCACAAAGGGTCAGATCATGTAAAGCTAAAGAGCGGGTCGCCGAATGCTGAGGCACATAGTGCATAAAAGTCACCAGCGATCCTCTGGCATTAACAGCAGCACAAAAACTGTGCGCCGGGAGCTTCATGGCATGGAAACCAAGCAGCTGTATTCTGGCCTTTCTTCAACAAATACAATGGTAAGCGTTGGATGGAGTGGTGTAAAGCACGCCTCCACTGGACTCTGCAGTAGTGGAGACGTATTCAGTGGAGTGGCGAATCACGCTTCTCTGTCTGGCAGCCTGATGGATGAGTCTGGGTTTGATGAATGCCAGGAGAACATTACCTGCCTGACCGCATTGTGCCAACTGTAATGTTTGGTGGAGGAGGGATGATGCTATTGGGTTGTTTTTCAGGGGTTGGCCTAGGACCCTTAGTTCCAGTGAAGGGAAATCTTAATGCTTCAGCAGAGCAAGACATTTTAGACAGTTCTGCTTCTAACTTTGTGGGAACAGTTTGGGAAAGACCCTTTTCTGTTCCAGCATTACTGAGCCCAAGGGCACAAAGCAAGGTCCATAAAGGCATCGTTGGGTGAGTTTGGTGTGGAGGAACTTGACTGGCCCTCAGAGAGCCCTGACCTCAACCCCACCAAACACCTTAATGAACTAGAACTGAGATTGCGAGCAAATGCTCTTCTGAATGAATGGGCAAACATTACTCCTGTAGGTGTAATGTGTACTTTTGTCCACATAGTGTATTTAGCTTCCTTGCAAGAATGTATTAGCCAGCTTATGGGGGGGGGTATTCTAAACCGCCCCCAAAAACCCACCCTAAAGCCCCTGAATTTTCCAAAGGTTCCTCCCACCTTCAAGATGCATCATCAGAAGGGGGGTATCCTAGCCTTTATACCATAAAATCTTGCTCTAGAGACTATTGTGGCACCAACATAAGAGGCAGGTTTACAACAGATATAGCAATGGTTAAAATGTTAATCTTGACTAAATTGTCTCTTTAAGTCTTTCTGAAGATTCAACAACAAGATATCGGTTACCTGCCGTAGCTCAGAGGTGGATCCCCTGCCCATGTCCAGGGCTACTTTAACAGGGGCTAGAGTAGGATGCAGTTTCAGCACCTGTAAGAAATTGAAGAAAAAATATCTATGCAGAGGCCATATGCTTAGACTTTAGCTTTCACTTAAATCCTACAGTCCAAAAAATGCTGATGTATCGCTGTCTTTTTGTGGGATGTGATCCAATCCTGATGCCAAAATGCATTGAGATAACGTCTTTGGAAAATGGAAGCCGCACAGCAGGGAAGCGTAAATGCGGATAAGGAATTATGGTTATTTTCATTTGCAGAATGTGGAGAAAGTGCACGTTGGCTTACCTTTCTCTGATAGAGTCTCCGCTTGCTGTCCACTTTTTGGACGTGTTGTAAGGAGTTAAACAGAAAGGCCAGCACTCCTCTGTCCACATTCGCACTGACCGAGAGAACGTGAGGCACAACTGACCTCCTCCCATCCCTACACTGTAAATACAAAACAAGAGCAAAATAATGAAAGGTATTGTTTTTATGACTGAGTAAATGTGTGCATAAAGAAAAAAGGCTAGTTAGTTGTTTTTAATGACCAATATTTCATTGTTGCATAATTAAACCCTTGTGTATTCAGTAAAGCTTTTAAAATAATTCTAAATTGTGTTAAAATGATCAAATGAAATCATGGTGAAATTCGCTTAAAAACTGGATTGTTGTGAAATTGACACTTGCACAGCTTACACTACTAAATACAAGAGGAGCAAAACATCAGACTAGAACTGATTTTTGCCAGTGCCACTGTATAGGTGTGAAATATGTTGATGTTTACCAGTAGTTTGGCTCGGCTGCCGTGGTGAGTTTTGAGCAGCTTTGTGTCTCCAAAACTCCACAGAGTCTCCAGGGTTTCGGAGCCCGAGGGGAACTGATAGAGAACCTTCACTCCACGGGACGCCCCCTCCTTCAGCTCCTCACTCAACACGTCACAGACGCTGAAGTCAGATGGACCTAAAGCGAACTACAGCAGGAGCAGGTTAACCGCACTGAAATCAATCAACAGAAATACTTTAATAAAAAGGACAATAAATATATAAAAATAGAAAAAACAAAACCACCTAATCAAAAAGAGCACTGAAAAACTTACACTCTTTCACTTTCAACAAAGTCATCTAAAACTTATTCTAAAACTCCAAAATTTACACATATTTTACACATAAATTTTTTTAGGGGGGTGGGGGGGGTGGGATTTTACTCAATTTTCTCCCCAATTTAGTAGTTTCCAATTCCACCCGCTAGTTAGGATTCCCCCAATCACACAATACTATCAACGCCAGGAGGGTGATAAGGTCAAGAGCCAACTGCCAGATCTTCTACGTCAGCTAACAGATGCCTGCGCTGACTGGCATCGCATTGAGTGATGGGGGGAGAAGGAGGGGCCATCCTACCCACCCAGAAAGCAAGGCCAATTGTGCTCTCTTGGACTCCCGGCTACGGATGGCTGTAGCATCAACAGGGATCAAACTTGCGATCTCCTGATGATAGGGCCAACGCTTAGATGGTTGCGCCACTCAGGAGCCCCATAACGATTATTAAACATAAAGAGGCACTCGTTCTTTAGTTAACCCAAATTTAATGTTGATATGATTCAATCTCTCGATTATTCAAATCACTGGAAATGAACCAGTGCTGGAAATTATTCAAAACGTACACACTTAAAAATGATGGTTCTTCAGTAAAGAAAATGTTTCTATATAGAACCATGAGCAATCAAAGAATCTTTTGCATGATTAAAGGGTTCTTTGTATTGTGAAAGCGTTCTTCATATTGATGGAGAACGTGCTGTAGACGGTTCTATTTAGAACCTTTTTGAAAAGGTGTCTGTATACAGAGTACAGTATGTCACGTATGGCCAGTTTCCCTGACCCAGATCTCCAAGCCTAAACTAAAACAAATGTCCAGCGGTGATTGGCTATTGGCGCTGAAATTTAGAGAATATGCTGTATATGGTTCTATATAGAACCTTTTTCAAAAGGGTTCTATATGGCAACAAAAAGAGTTCTTCTATTGTGTCAAGCTTGACATTGTAACAACAGAAGAGCCCCTTTTGGTGCTATATGGAACCCTTTTCAAAAATACAGCATATTCTCTAAACCATATACAGCACATTCTCCATCAATCCATAGACACCTTTCGCCATGCAAAGCACCTTTTAATCATGCAAAGGGATCCTTGGTGTTCATGGTTCTATATTAAAGAACCCTTGAGGTACCATCTTTTTTAAGAGTGTAATTAAAGTGTGAAGTGTAACGCACATTCCTACATGTGTTAAAATGTAGACATAAAGATTAATTGACTAAAAAAATAATGCAGCATTTTCAGTCTTGGTGACTTCATACTACAAGTCCCTGAGAAACTCTGGGCTAAATGTGAGGACTTGTTAAGGCAGGAACAAACAGAGTGAAATTTCTAAAGAAATTCATCAACCTCAACGAAGGGGGCGCTAGTGTGCTCATCAACATCAACAGACAACAAGCCTGTCGTAAGCACATAAGCATTAACATTTGTTAATAAGAGTAAATCCGCTCACTTTTCTCCACCACTGCAGTCTTTGCCGTGCCCAGTAGTCCAGCCACTGGGAGGAGGTCCGAGGGGAGCAGAACCACACCAGGGATGCCTCGGTCACCTCAGTGAAACTGCCACACCACAGAGGGTGGATTAAATACTTGCATATGGATTGCAACAAGGAGTTAAGGCAATACAGGAACAAAATCTCTTTCACATAATCCCAATTAAAACCTATTATACTAACCAGAGATAAAAGTAATGAGTGAGGATTAGCCCTTGGATTAAAGTGCAATGTCAAAGGTAATACAGGACACTGAGAAACCAGCCAAATATACAGTTAATTTTGTGTTTTACTTATGTTTTAAAGTATAGTGCACATTTATGCTGACATGTGACATAATGATAACAAGTGAAAGTTAGTGAAACAACGAGGGGAAAAGCTGAAGCCTCACCAACCGATTGTATCCGAGCGCTCGGGTTCAGGGTGGTAGCACAAACCTGTTTCGGCCAGTCCAAACGGCAGCTTCCTGATGATGAGCTCCAGAGAGGGGACGAACTGCTCCAAGGCACCTGCAGTTCAGAACATAAGTGATAAGTATGCAGCAGGTGTTACACTAGTAAGGACCACCCTCCACACCCTTTTCATCCAAAAGCAGGGGCTGTTTAAATTGAAAGGATAAAAAGATGCTAAAAATGGTCATGTAAAATTAGTTTGTCTGTTTCTGATACATAAAGGCATAATACACACATATAGCAAACTATGTAAGTTGATCTAAGAGGTGAGATATATACAGATATACATATACAAACGTTATAAGTGGACCCAAAAATGTAGAACAAGGGCCCCTCAAAACTGCCAAAAAGACCATTAATTCATGAATCAGCACCCAAAGCCCAGATCCACCCACCTTGGAGGAGACTAGTCCTCAAACTCTGGTTATGCTGAAACAGTTTGTGCAGTCTTTCCTTCAGCTGCGCTTCTGATAGATCCTTCAGCTGCTCCCCCAAAGCTTCTCCGTCCACAATCCTCAGAGTGCCCCCGTCTATGGAGCTGCAGGGTGTGCTGATCCCAAACACTTCTGGTTTTAAACTGACCACTGCAGCCCACCACTGCTGCAGGACGTTCCTCTTCAGCTCTGTCCCCAGAGGACCGTAAGTGGATCCTCTGCCTGCTCTGCCGGAGCTGATGTAGTGCTGGAGCTCCAGCATAGAACCTCCGGACTCACACCTCCTCTGTTGAGGCGACACTGAGGACACTGAAGGCTTTAGTGTCTCTCGGCTGAGGAGAAAGAGCCGTTTTCTCACGCAGTATGTAAGCATGGTTCTTCAGGTTCTTCAGCTCTGTTCTCCACACTGTCAGCACCAGGTGCATGAAGAGCTAACAGTTATCTTAATGCAGCAGCTGGGTTACCGCTGCCTAGACGGCTTTTTTGGATCATAAAGAGTGACTATATGCTTCTTATGCTTGTTCATAATTCAAACCGAGAGCTAAATTTAATAATATTTTACTGAAACTCCCCGATCTCATTGAATCAAACGAGCTGTTTTCATCCCACAAACACGTGAAGCGGCGCCACGGAAGTGCTATACGACTTCCGGAAAGAAGTCCCTCGCGTGTTTGTTTTTAAACTTTATTTATTTATTGCTGTGCAATCTGTTTACAGATATTTCGTTTCTCAAGTTTAAATATACTTATTCAAAGCTTAAAATTAAAATAGCGTATGAAAAATGCTATTGGGAATGAAAAAGAGGTTTATAAATAAAACATTTTATTTAAAGAGTAAGAAAAGTGATGTGTGTGTATATATATATATATATATATATATATATATATATATATATATATATATATATATGATCTATAAAATACATGTCTTCACTTTAGACCTTTATATTCAAATAATGTATTTTGTGTTAATACGGCCACAGGTAAATAGTAAGTAATAGAGATGGAAAATTAATGGGTGTCTTTGGATAAAAAACCTTTAGAAGATCAAAAGGATGAATTATGGTTCATTATTCAACATTAATAATTTGTTTTCTGCATCCCCAGCACCTTCACACAAAATATACTGAGTATATATACTGTGTTTTTTTGTTAAACTTTTTGCAATATACACAGACAAATCAGGAAATTTACAGTTGGAAAACTTATGTTAGGTCTAACCTTGATAATGGGCGGTGTGGTGGAAGTATTCCACTCCATCACAACTGCAGTACAATGTTTTTTTTTTTCCCCCTCAGTGTTATAGACACTTAAAAATTAACGTGTACCAAATGTGTATGGGAAAGTCTGAGTGTAGTACATGAACTACATAGGACAAAAAAATGATTTAATATAAAATTTTCAAATTTATCATGCCCCAAACGACTCTTCTACCTCAAAAGGCAAAAGTATCATTTATGCAGCATTGCTTCAAAAGTAATTTTTATAATAAACCATATATACTTCATAGTATGGAAATTAATTTATAGCATGTAAATATGCAAATTTTCTTTTATAGTACAACAACTAAAGATGCATATTAATTTTTTTGCATGTACATTTTAAACACATTTTACAGGATATAAATGTTAGATTTATTGTATGCAGTTTACAAACATAAATGAGTCAAACACAAGTGTTTTTTTCCTCCTTTATTGTGAGGGTCCATGCGTGGTCCTCGATTCAGGTTTCTAGACATACCACTTTGAATATACACTAAACCAAAAATGTGCATTACCTAGTGAAAATAAATTACTGAGGAATGTAACAAAAGAGACAAAATGAAAAAAAGAAAAATCAAGGATGTACAGCTGTTCCTCAGCTGCACCAAAATCACATGGACTTGTTTGTAATTGGCTGGGTGCACTAATAAGCAAACCACCAGCCTCGCTGTAAGCAAAATAAACAGTACAAAGGATAATAATGAATAATAATAATAATAATAATAATAATATTAATAATCATCTTAAACAAGACAGTTACTTCAGTATCAGTGTGTGCGTCTGTGTGCAGCCTGATTCTAGTCTACTGGGGGAAGGCAGGGGCCATGGGGTAGGGCACCATCGGCTGGGGGGGCTGTTGGTGGGCCTGTGGGGGCTGAGGGGGGTTAAAGGGGAAAGGAGGATGGTTCATTCCATTCTGGACTGGAGCTTGGTTCCCCGGGAACGACTGGTTCTGGAAGTTCTGACCCCCGAAGGCATTGGGCGGGTTCCCCCCGTTGCCGTAGCTGGCCTGTCCGTTGCTGCTGTAGCCATTGCTGCTGTAGTTACTGTTGCTATTATTACTTTTGTTGTAGCTGTTACCCCCGTTATAACTGCCGTTCTGCACCTTTGGTCCGCTACCGTAACCCCTGTCAGAATCTCTATCCCTATAGCTACCGAAATCTCTCCTACCCCCACTGGAATACCGGTCCCGGCGGTCGTCCTTGTAGCCTCCCCGACCACCTCTGGAACGACCTGTAGGACACAAGGTACAGAAAGAATGGTTAGTTTTACTGTACGAATATGTTAAAAGAAAAGCACATTAAGAATGCTGTAAAGACACTCTGGCCAAAATGAATGGAGAAAAGTAGTTATCTGTTGTAAACATGCCTGCTCGCCTCTTGCAGCAGTGCCACAATAGGCTAGAGTAAGATTTTTCCCCCCTTTTGAAGATGTATTTTGAAGGTAAACTACTTCGGGGGGACGAGCTATTTTAAGTGGCCCCCCAAAGATGGCATTAATAACAATGCTGAAATCCAACACTAGCTTTTACTTAGTATTGACTACATATGGATTTTGGTCAAACAAACAAGAGCCACAGAATCACAAATATAACTGAACTCCACCAGTGCAACTCATGATACAATGGTGAGGATAGTATATTAGATAAGCTCAGCTAGTCATTTCCAAAACATGCCTTTCTGAAGTCAAGTTAGGATTATTACTACTCATTTTCTATTGCTGCCACAGATTCAAACAATGTTCTCACCTCCTCGGTCCTCGGCCATTTGCAGAAGCTTGGGGTTGATGGCCTGGTTGGCCTCACGGAGGACAGAGATGAGGTCGTTAGCCTGTTTCATGTTGTTCGGTGTAAAGAAGGTGTAGGCTGTGCCCGTTTTCTGACTGCGGGCCGTACGCCCAATTCGGTGGATATAGTCCTCAGAGGAGTTAGGGTAGTCATAATTGATGACAAATTTCACATCCTCCACATCTGTAAAACGTTGCAGTGTGGCAAAAAAGGGGAATGCGGCAACATTTTTTTTGCACACCGCAACAGCCACACCAAAGAAAGACAAGTTAGCAAACAGCAGAAAATCTGAACAATTACTGGATACTGAGCTGCGCTGGAAAAAAACAAGGAAGTGTTAAGGCACAAATCCAAAAATTAAAAAAGAAAAGAAAATCATAACTAGCTCCGTGGGAACACTACCATGGGAAGAGAGAAAGGATGCACACTCCATTTGCTTTTACCCAGAAACCAAATAAAAAAAAAAAATTACAAACAATGATCCTAAAACGTCTTCCACCCCCCTCCCACTTTCCTTCTTTATTAAACCATGAGAATAAACTGCTTACCATTAAGGAGTATGCATTCACTAGTCCTTTCCCAATGCAGCCAACTCCCCACAAATTGTCAAGTGACATCCAGGTGCTTCTAACGCAGTAGGGCCACTATGCGCACTGTTGCCTCCTCATGTGCCGACAGACACAGGACCATTCAGTTGGCTTTTTGGCTCTACAGGTCCTTTTATCTTTTTTTTTCCCTTCAGCACACTCATAAGAAGCTTGCTAATAAAGGCCACACTGCTGTCTTGCCCAGACCAAACAGACCGTGGTTAACGTGAGGGCACCCAAAAGAGCCAAAAGGTACAAAAATAAAGGGGAAAAAAAACACCAGTTGTCGCTTAGTTGTATCCTTCCCCCTTCTGTTTGAGCTATTACTGAGCGTCAGCAAAATCCCTCATCACAGCCTCGTCTAGGCAAGATCTTCCCAGAAGCCAGTGTTCACTTGAGAAAATGTCTCTCGTTGGCAGGTCTCGACATGACTTTAAAAAAATGCAGGCGAGGGAGGAACTTCAATCGTGGAATTGGATTTGTTGTCGTTTTACTCGTTTTTGAGAATTACTTATTTAAGATTCGAACTTTCTGCTCCACTGTCTACAGGTGTCCCAGAGCCCCTTTACACATGTGCCAGTTCTCACCAATTGTAGTACAGGAAAAATAAAAAGTTGAAAACTGCTCTCTCCATTTCATGAACACCAGCACTTTGAGTAAGGAAAAAAATATTGGATAGGATTTTTAATACCTTTGCTCGCAAACTCCATGCTTCAACAAGCTCTGAAAGTAAAGGATCTTTCCAAATCTCAATCAAGCGACTATTTGCCATACAGTGCTCTTACAAAGTGCATGCAAGGCAAAGAACAGCAAAACCTGTAGTAAGCCTCTTTTTCGCTGGTATTTAGAGACAGAAACATGGCTGGATAAGCTGCGTTACCCAAAGGTGTATAAGGTGTATTTATAATGTAATCCATGGACAGAGAACAGATGTGTATTGTTACAACCGAGTATCAGAGCAAAGGCTTAGCCACACTGCCTTATTGAAGGTTACTGGCACACAGAGCTGAGCTCGGACATTTTTTAAATTTCACCTCTCTAAGCGACTGGGTGGCCGCCAGTCACGCACTTCCACTCCTCCTTCCCCCTCTGCCGGCCTTGGGGCTTGTCATGCCTAGGCCCTGCCACAAAGACTCCACCTTTAGGTGAGAAAAACTCAGAGAATGCATAGAAAAGTTAAAGAAAGCAAAATCACTTTCTTTAAAAGTGAAACAATGTTCTGCTTTTGTTTTTGCTGTTGGGGCTTTGTTTAAAGGACAAAAAAAAGCAAGAGACGACAAAGTGGAATATCATCTTAGGATGAGATACTGACCTAATCCACGAGAGGCCACATCTGTAGCGATGAGGATGCAGGCTTTGCCAAATTTGAATTCTATAAAGGGGAACAATAATAATTGCAGGAAACCTGACGATTTGCACCTGTATCTCTGAAATGATCCATGTGCAGCGTCTTACCATTCAGAACCCAGTCTCTCTCCTGCTGGCTTTTATCTCCATGAATTCCCATGGCAGGCCACCTGGAACACAACATATTTGTAAATTAAAACTAAATTATGAGTTAAGTAATTACATATCCTACACACATTTTTTGCAAGTCACATTCATTCAGGGGTTTGATATCATTTAGAACAGTGGTCACCTACCCTCCTCCTGGAGAGGTACTTTCCTGCAGAATTTAGTTCTAACCTGCACCTAACATGCTGCCTTCCCCCATACCTAATAGTAAAACATGTGATCCAGCCAATCAGGGACTTCTTAAGAAGTTAATTAGCTAAAGCAGGAGTACCACAATGTAGATCTCCAGGACAGGGTTGGTGACCACTGATTTAGAACATCTTTTCTTAGCACTACTTCCAACAAATCACCACAAGCCAGAAGCTTAAACATTCATAGGAATGACAGCCTAAATTGTGCAAAGTATTTATTCTTACCCATCTCTCCTCATCCTCCGTGTCAGTTCATCACACCTCCTCTTGGTTTCCACAAAGATGATAGTCTTATTCTCCTTCTCGCTCATGATTTCCTCCAGCAAGCGGATCAGTCTAAAAATAATAATAATAAAAAAGATAATTACTAGATCATTACCATAACTAAACATTGTATGCAAACAGTAAGTGATTTGATAAGACAGCCCATAATGTTTTAAAGTAAGTGTTTCTCTTCCTAATTAGCTCACATTTTGCCTGTTTGATCTTACCAAAAGTATTACCAAAATTGTTTTCTCCACACACAAAACTTGACTCACTTGTCATCCTTCTCCCCGTCGTTGCAGACGTCCACGATCTGCAGGATGTTGTGGTTGGCACTGAGCTGTAGAGCACCAATGTTGATCTGAACATACTCCTTAAGGAAATCCTCGGCCAGCTGGCGCACCTCTTTGGGCCAGGTAGCACTCCACATGAGTGTCTGTCTGTCTGGCTGTGAAACAGAAAGAAATACAAGAGAAGTTATTATGGTGTTATTATGGTGATAGTAAAAATCCACCATCCAATAAAAAAGATGAACAATAAAAAAGCTAATAGGCTGCCAGTTTTTTTTGTTTGTTTTTTTACTTGTATTTTCTAAATGAATGCCCTTTCAATCATAAACCACTTCAATTAAATATAGCGGTTACCCATCATTAATTTTATGGCATGTCCGCGAACACTCACCCGGATCTGATCTACAATTTTGCGGATCTGTGGCTCGAAGCCCATGTCCAGCATGCGGTCAGCCTCGTCCAGAACCAGATATGTGCAGCGCCGCAGATTGGTCTTTCCTGCCTCCAGGAAGTCAATCAGACGTCCAGGAGTGGCAATGCAGATCTCAACACCTGGAAAGGATAAATAAACATATTACTAACAAACCTGCAAACAAATGATACAGAAGGACACAAGACTTTTCATACAGTTCAATTGCAGCTCAGTGACATTTAACCTTAACAAAGACAAAGAATTAACTACTGATGCCTTGTACATGCAGTTCAGTAACATAAGAAAAACTGTAATCGTCAGAATATATGTGAAGCAAAAAGCTATGAAAACAAACAAATGCAGGTGTGAAACCCAAAAGTCAGTTTCACCTCTCTCGAGGTCCCGGATCTGGGGTCCTTTGGGAGCTCCTCCGTAGATGCAGGTGGACTTCAAGTGTGAGGCTCTTCCGTACTCTGCAGCGACCTGCTGCACCTGCTGAGCCAGCTCACGAGTAGGCGCCAGCACCAGACACTGCAAAAGGTGTCACAGGTCAACCACCCAGCCTACAGCAGCTAACCACTTGAATTCTTGAAAATGAGAAATATGAGGAGTGCAGCAAAACTTACAATAGGTCCATCTCCACGCTCAAGAAATGGCTGGTGGTTAATATGTACAATAGCTGGCAACAGGTACTGTAAAGACAAGAAAAACGTTAACTCTTTACCAGTGCCCATCAGGATGGCCAGTAAGTGACAAGGACCAGAAAAACAATGTTTCAGAGATGAAGGGATTCAAATTCAAATAACTCACGGCAAGTGTTTTTCCAGAGCCAGTCTGGGCGATGCCGACCATGTCTTTTCCGCTAAGGGCAAGAGGCCAGCCCTGAGCTTGTATAGGGGTGGGCTCAGACCACGCCTGTTTGTTAATAATCTCCATCACGTAATCTGTAACGTCAGAATATATTTTAAGAAACTTCATACTTAATACTTTACTTAATACATATTTTAACTTACTCCAGAGCAGTAGATGGCAGTAATCTTAATGTTTATATGTCAATGAGCTTATAACAGCTTATAACAAGCAGAAAGTTGAAATATTGAGTGTACATGAAACAAATCTACATACTGGGGAAGGTAGCTTCATGGAACTTCATGACAGGCTTGGGGCAATCTCTTCCTTTCACTGTAACTTCTTTGGCCCTGCGGTACTGTTCCACCTCTTGCTGTTTTGCAAGAAAAGACATTTGGGGAAAACCATCAGTCATGGGGTTTCAGACATTCTAAATACTAATATTTCAAACGTGCAAAGGATCAGGGCTAGCACTAACCATGGACCTCCTGGTGACATCAGGATGCTCCTTGTAGAAGTTCTTCTCAAATTTGGGAAGCTCATCCAGGTTCCAGTGTCTCTTACGGAGCCTCTCGCCAGGGTTGCCGAATTTTCCAGTAGGGGGGCCACTGCGGCCAGAGCCGAACCGGGGAGCACCGCCGCCATATCTGTAGAAAAAGAAGCAGAAAAGAAAAAAAAAAAAAGCATAAAAATTAAAGGAATGAATCACTGAAAATCAACTTTACGCCATGTTCGCTTAACCTAAACACAGTCAACTGACATTGTTTGAAACTTGCCAAGAAGAACCGTTCAGTGTTGCGACAGGAACCAGATGTCTGAAAAGTTTAATACTTCTGAGTTACTACATGAAACGGTTAGGAATTCACTACCTGATGTCCGAGACATTGTGTTATCATTTTTCTTTTCTTTTTTTTTTTTAAAAAGGCTTCTGTCTGACTTTATTTAAGTCCTTTCATGTCAGAAGGGTGCATGTAAATGGTGGCAAAACAAAACAGTTCCCCAAAGAAGACTTATTTCTTCAGATTTATTTATATCCACTTTATGTATAAAACCTCAAAAGGTTTAGGAGTGTAAATAAAATGGCCACTTGCGTTGTAGACATTGACCCCTGGTTCCTGTCAGCTACACTGTAAAACACTCCATGTTGTTAAGTTTCTCTTCCACAAACTGATATTAAAAGACACCGAACGACTTTGTTTATATCTCAACAACTGAATTGGGTCAAATTTTTAAAAATTTGGTGGAATTTCCCTTTAATTTCTTAAAATACCTGAATGTTTCAGTCCTTGAGATGTAAACAAAGTCATTCAGAGTGGTTTAATGCGAAATGTTTAAGCTTACAGACTTGGATTTCTTTACAGTGGTGGTGATAGAAACCAGGGGTCGCCATTCTTACAACATAAATATAGCCATTTTATTTACTATCCAAACCTCCAGTGAACCTACACGTCTGAGGTTTTATAAGTAATTTGATTACAGTAAAAGAGCGATAAATCTGACAAGTTTTCTTTAGGGACTATTTTGCCTTACAACGCCCTGTATGTACCCTTCCGCCATGAAATAAATAGATTAAAATATATTTTTACGGCAAAACCTTATCACCAAACTATCATAAACAATGTGTCCGGCATCGGGCAGCATATATCTAACCGTTTCATGTGACAACTTTCTGTGAGGGAGCTATCAGAGGCATTAAACTCTTCAGACGTCTGGTTCCGATCACCACCACTGTAAACAATTCTGACCCGGCGTATTTCTCTATAACGGCGCATTTCACATCACCACTCGGGATGACTTTGTTTACATCTCATCCATTTGATTATTTAGAAATTTTGAAAAATCGGTGGAATTCCACTTTAAAGTCAAACTCAGCCAAAACCCGCATTTCCTACCCGTTACGTCTGATTACCACTCCCATACAGGCGAGAAGCCTTGCAGTTCAAATTCGCCCGTTTATTTAAAAACGGCTACACGGGAGAACTGAGTTATGAATCATATTAGAAGTTGGGTATCGTGATGTATTTATATTTTTTCGTTCATGAAAACCTTCCTGCGCCACATTTCTGCAGCCACGTCGCTAAACGCTGCTGCCGCTGCCATTTTAGCTCTGAGGGAGTAGAAGAGGAACAAAAGCAGGCCGGCCGGCATTTTGAATCCTCCACACATTTTTTTACAACCACTTGGTGACCCTGGAGACAAACCATGACCAACAACAACCCACAAAATACTCCAATGTTGTTGATATAAACATGAAAGTCATGATATATATGCTTATACACTAACGTTAGCGCGAAGCTTAAGTCAGCTTCTTATTCGAATTTCCCCGTTCCACCTTAAATGGTGCAGAGGCGACATTCTAGCGCCTCCGGAACCAGAACACCAGAGTGTAACTGCTGCAGAATTTAAGGTGGAACGGGAAATTCGAACAACAGGCCGGCAAATAGAAAGCCTCGTCATACATACGCCGTTTGACAAGCTTACAATCGCTTTCTAGCATCAGATATATCGATTTTTTAAGAAACACAGAACTGTATAAAGTTATAATGTTCGTTTTTTTCGCCTTAGAGACGTTAGTAAATGTACATGGGTAACGTTAAGTACAAAAAATCGTTTGGCTCGACTCGATTCACTGCTTTATAGAAACGGTGAAGAAATAAATAAGCCCCCAAACTCACCCCCTATCTCTTCCACGATCTCTGTCTGAATATCCAGGCATAACTAAAGCTTAAACGGAAGAAGAAAACTTAGAATAAAGCACAAAAATATAAGTCTTCCTCTTCGCCGACCTCGTTTAAAATCACTATAAAAATGGCTTCGGAAAAAGCCGGTCGAAAAAGAACCGGTTTCAGCGGCTGCGCGCCTGCAAGTTACGTATCAATCCGCTCCGCCGGCAATATTTTTAACCCTTGGAGGCGAACGATGATTTGCATGTCCTTTATGTATTCAGGTTTGGATGCTTGACATGCATATTTAATAATGTACGTCGACAATATGAATATTACACAAAAAACGTTTTGGCTTTTTCTATGTTTTAAAGCGGTCGTATCTGTTCATATTCGAAGGAACTAATTTCGTGAAGGCAAGATTGGAGCGGAAGGATACAACGGGTGCTTGGCGAGACCAACGTCAGCGGTCACTATGGAAGCGTCATAGGTTTGTTTCAGGTTTGTTAGCTTTTTGTTATCTATTTAATCTTACATTAAAATAAAAAAAAACGGAAAAAATGTCAGAGAAATTATTATCTGACAAAAAAACGAGAGACTTGAATTTCTACAAGTAAATTAATAAACAGAGATTCGGAAAGATCTATGTTCATTTTTTTCATAAAATATATTTGTGTTGTAATATGTACCTATGACAAATGTACAGCCGTTTGTTAATAGAGTTTCATAAAAACTCTATTCTAGACGTCATTCAAGAGCTTCAGCCAATCGGAACAATCCTCGCGTTTTAAATGTCCTTAGCCGTTCCCATACTGTGTTGCCAGATTGGTTTAAAGGGGAGCTCCACCGATTTTTCAAAATTTCTGTTTAATTCAGTTACTGAGATGTAAACAGTCATTCAGCGTGGGTTGATGTGAAATGATTAATTGTAGAGACACTTGCCAATTTAGATTTCTTTACAGTAATGGTGATAGGATCCAGGGGCCGCGTTATACACCGCTAACACTGTCATTTTATTTACCATCCAAAATCACCAGCGAACCTACATGTGTCTGTAGGTTCACGTGTGATGTTGGTGATGGTAAAATAGTGGTAAATCTGGAAAAATAAAGCTATTCGGAGACTATTTTGCCTCACAACGCCCTACAATGTATCACGCCACCACGAAAGACTTTTAAAAATATATGTTTTAGGCCAAAACCCTGCCTGAGAACTTCAGTAAAACAATGTCTCGGACATCAGGCAGTGTATTTGTAACCATATAATGAAGAAAGTTTCTGTGAGGAAGAAGCTTTCAGAGGCATTTGAATGCGTAAGACGTTTGGTTCCTATCACCACCACTTCAATCAATTCTGACTCCGCGGTACAAAGCATTCCTCATTAATTTGCTCTGGATTACTTTGTTTACACCTCAACCATTTACGTACGTACGCACAATTTTTAAAAATCAGTGGATTTCCCCTTTAATGGAAAAGTGGGCGGGTTTAAACCGAGTCTAGGCTGGATCAGTCGCTCCAATCTGGCAACCCGAAGGTGGGCAGCGGCAGTTGGTGAACGTTGCTGGACGCGGCTCCGGGTATTCTGTGTTAAAAATGCCGCTGTGTTTGGTTTAATCCGGAGTCAACAACGGATAGCTGTTTCATTTGATTCTTAGAAGACACTTTTAAACTCAGTCACCGATCAGGAAGGGCTCAATCCCCGGAATGGGAACGGAGGAGCGAGGTGAGTTAGTGAAAGTTGTTCAGTCGTTAGCTTAGCGAAGTAAGTCCGTCCGTCACAGCTAGGCTAAGCTAAGCTAACTGGTGCCAAGCTCAGGAGTCACAACAGCAGTAAAAATCATCGGCTTTTCTTCTCATTAAACAACAACATTACAGGACATTAAAACACATGTAGATGTAGCTGTAGCACACTGCTTAATCTATGTTAGCGGGGTAATGAAAGCAGCTAGCTAGTCGGCTAAAATTGTGAGGTATATCTTACTTTAGGTGATGCTTGTACTTGTGAGCATTTTGTGCCTTCATTTAGTCAAAAATGACTTAAGCTCTCGCTTCTTCTGGCTGTTTGAATTTCTCATGAACCTACCAGTGCTGGTCAAAGGGTAATTCCACCAAATTTTCAAACTTTCTCTCTTATTAAATGGGTAAGATGTAAACAAAGTCATTCAGAGTGGTTTGCTTCTAGACAAACTTAAGAAATGTTCACAGTGGTGGTGGTGGTAGGAACCAGACGTCCACCTCTAAAAGCTCTCTCACATGAAATGTTTACGAATACGCTGCCTGATGCCTGAGACACTGTTATGCTATAGTTTTGAGGTCAGGTTTAGGTCTAAATTGATTTTTTTAAATGTTTTTATTGTGATGAGGTAAATATAGTGTGTTCTAAGATAGTATAGTCCCCAATTAAAACCTGTTCTTTCATATTCATAACTGTTGTACCATCATTAATGTTACGTATAAAAACTCAGAATATGCTGGTAGGTACACTGGTCAGTTTTGATAGTAAATAAAATGCCTGTGTTTGCATTGTTGACATGGCAAGCACTGGTTCTTTTCACCTCCACTGTAAAGGAATGTCAATTGGATTTTCTCTACAGTGAACCATTTCACATCAGACCACTCTGAATGACTTTGTTAATGTCTCAACGAATGAATTATGCAGAAATGTTTAAAATAAGTGGAATTCCTCTTAGTCATACCAGCTGGGAGCTTGTATTTCTTGTATTTGTTGTGTTTGGTAGCATTTTTACTCTGTCTGTCTCCACATTTAACGCTATGTATTTTCAAAATGTCTAAATGTTTGATTGTAGCTGTGAGTTGTCCTTTGACAGATCCTCCTTATCTTCTCTTTCCCATAACTCAGTCCTGGATTTCTGCTTGCCTTCAACGTTTTGGTGTTTGTCCTAGTTTTCTGCTCTAACGCTTCTGACTGACCTCATCAGATCACTCAAAACTTCATGAGGTTAAAATGGGTGAAAATTCTAGCTAAATTGTGCAAAGGAACTACAGCAATAGAATGAGGAAATGGTGGCGAAACTGAAGTGAATCTGATGATAAGCTGACAAAAATTTGGCCTTGCTTTGAGTCGTCTTGAGTAAAATGACTTTAAAATCAACCTGAAATCCAAACGGATCCTTTTTACCTTAGTCCGTAATGTCAGTACCTTAAAGGGGAATTCCACTGTTTTTTTCACACTTTCTACATAATTAAGCATTCAGATTTAAACATCGTCATTCAGAGTGGGTTGTTGTGAAATGCTCAGTTTTAGAGAAACTTACCAAGAATTATTCATAATGGTGATAATAAGAACTAGACGTCCAAAGCGTTTAATGCCTCTTAAAGCTCCTTCACTGAAAGCTATTACTCTAAATGATTGTAAATACACTGCCTAATGCCTGAAACTTTGTTTACAACAGTTTTGAGAAGGTTTTAGCCTAATTTCTTTTAGAATCCCTTCATGGCAGAGAGGCATTTCACATTAAACTATTCTGAATGACTTTGTTTCCATCTCAATGATTGAATAAAGTAGAATTTAAAAAATGGTGGAATTCTTCTTTAATATGCCCTGGTTATATTAAGCATCATTCATCCTATCATTTAAAAGACTGTGCCTTCAAGGCTGATATGTGCAAATGAGCTCTGTTCTGACTGGCTGCCGTATATTGTGCCTCATTCACAAAGCGGTCCAGGTGAAAACGCTCCCTATAACTTCAGCGTGAACTGGCGAAACTAAGCTGCTGAATGCCAAATATGTAAATGCTATGTTTTTTGTGGCATCACAACAGTAATGAATTCAAAATGGCCAGCCTAGTTCCCATATGTGGACGGAGGAGTGACTGGAGTGTTTTGAAACTAAATATTTACATAATACACATTGCGTTTTTAAAAAAGTGAGAGATCCCCTTTTAAATCTAGTCTGTTTTGATGGAAATGTGTGCATGTTATAATATTGCTGATCAAATTTGAGGGCAGTCACAGTCGTTTGTAAGTGACGGTTGAACCCTGTGGCTCTTTGCAAACAAGCTCTGTTCAGTTTGTAGTGTATTTTTGGCTCCACAGTACAAGTCTTCACAGTACAAGTTTGCACATGTGACTTGTGATGATGATTTATTTTTCTCCACAGATTGGGTAGATGTGGCCAATGATCTCCTTTGTAAGTGTCATATTAACTTGAGGCTGCAGAGGCTCACAGACTGCGATGCGAATGTTTTTGTGGCGTTGTATGAGGCCATCTTAGGGGAGAAGGTACCAGGTAAATATCTTAAAATGAATTTCTGTGCTATGTTTTTTCCCCATTTTCTCTTTTTTGTGGTTAAAAATGCATTTTTGGAGACCTGAAACCACACAGAAAGGTACAACATTTCAGAATGGTGTACAGATTTTTTTTTACAATTTCTGCACAATGTATTGGTTGAGATGTAAAAAGAGTCATTCAGAGTGGTTTGATGTGAACCAGGAACCAGGGGTCTCAATGTTTACAACACAAGTATAGCTGTTTTATTTACTATCCAAAACCACCAGTGGACCTGCACGTCTTCTGAATTTTTATATGGAATAATAATGATGGTAAAAAAGCAGCAAATCAGAAAAAAAGTTTTTTTGGGGACTATTTTGCCCGTTAACACCTTGCATATACCTCTAAAGCATGGATTTTTGAAAAGTACATTTTAGGCCAAAAGCTTACCACAGATGTATTGTAAAACAATGTCCCTGGCATCAGGCAATGAATTCATATTTAATGTGTTACCATTCTGTAAGGGAGCTTTTAGAGCCATTAAACTCCTCAGATGTCTGGTTTCTATCACCACCACTGTGAATAATTCAGACCTTTTATATTTCTCTAGAACAAACCATTTCATATCATAGGTCTCTGAATAACTTAACATTTTAAATTTTGAAATTTTGAAATTTCATCCTGAGCTGATTACACACATGGGGAGAAAAGGTAAAGTCTGCCCATTTTCTGATTCTGACCTAAAGGTTAGATTGGTTTAATACTGAAAAATACTGGAAAAAAGAAATCAGATTCTGTTACAAAACTAGTCTGAAATTCTGCTCATAGTAAAAAAAGCAAGTGTAACATCAGTAACCTCATACAGCTTACAATCTAAAAGTTGAAAAGTCTTATAATAAAACTGTAATTCCTTTACTTTAGGTAGACTTTTGTCATCTATGTTTTTTTTTTAATTTGCACATATTTCCAGAGTAAGTTAAAACTTTTAAAGCTTTGCAGATTTCCTCGAGGTTTCAGGATCTGTATCTCAAAGGAAGTGATATTGTGGTGCATCTATTCAGAAGCTGCCTATTTTCTACTTTGTTTCAGATTACATAGCTGTCCCAAAGAGCCAGGAGGATGATATCCACAATGTACAATCAGTGATTGATTCACTGGCCTTGGACTATCTCCAGATTAGTTTATCTCACATCACAGGTAAGCGCTTGTTGCTGTTTTACTTTCTGCTTTAGGGACCTGTTACTAAGCTTCAGCCTAGACTGAGAAGATTTTCCATTGATAATTCTCCATTAACACTGAAATTTAGTTCGGCTTGGGCTTAATCTATGTCCAGGAAACCAACACTAGGTATCTTTTAATTTCTTTCCTTTTCCATCTCACACATTTCGGTCAATCAGCTAGACCTCACAAATAGACCTGCTGTACTATAAAGTTATTTATCCTGATGCGGAGAGGTTGTCAGGTGATTCAGCAGGAGCTGTTTGCTTGGGGACTCAACCCATCCCACTGCATACCCACTGAAAAGAGGCTGTTGTTCTGGGGGAACATTGCTGCTTTTGTATGGGGGCATGTTTTGAGGGAACTTGGTTCTACGGTTTGTGTTTGGCAGGCCAAGTTGGCTGCAGTCTGTGTTATTTGCTTCCTTTTGTCATCTGCAGTGGTCCAATTCCTGATCTCATTTGTATCTTTTCATCTTATTTTCTCCCTGTAGGGGAGAACATCGTGAGAGGGGATAAGGATTCCATCCAAAACCTTCTTGAGATCTTTGATGGCCTGCTGGAGTATCTCACCGAGCAGCTCAGTGACGAGGAGGAGCTTCAGAATGGAGGTGCGCATAACATCCTAGCCTTAGACAGATTTGTCTAGTGTATTATCAGTTGTGATTCGGTTGCAGGCACGAATTGAAGCTAAGAGTACTGTAGATATCCCAGCCATGATGTTATTCACAATAACGCATGACCTCAAGTGTGGCTTTTATACAACACTTCTGCAAAATAAAGTAAAAACAAAGCAAGAAACCTCTAGCTTGTATCAAATGTGCTTTATCATTGGCAGTTCCTTCAGCGCAAAAAAGTAGTACCCTTTTGTGTTACAGATAGAACTATAAAACTGCCAGAATATCAGGTTCAGCTCAAAGTTTTCAATATTTGCAAGATGAACCTGAAAGTGGTTTTGTTCCGGTCAGTCTATACAGCATTTCACAGCCAGTCTTGTTTACCAAATTGTATTCTGGTCAATTCTAGCCAATTCTGTTTTGTTTAGTCGTTCTGCTGTCACAGCTGCTGACCGAAATCTCACTTGGGATTAGCAACAGGTTTCAGAATTTGATGTTGACCTGCTGTCAACAGGCTGCAAAGATTATTTTAGAGAAGTTATCTAATGCATGTGTGTTATGTTTTTATATGTACTAAAGTAGAAAATTAGTAACAGTAAGTTGCAGCATGAAAGTACAATACAAAACACTTTACGTTGGCTGCAGCTACTCTTTAAGCCACCATTCAAATTGGAGTAACATTTAAAATTTGGGAAAGAATTTGATTTGTCACTGAACTGTCGCTTCAAACTACCACTAGTTTGTTTGTTCGTTTGTTTGTTTGTTTTTGGGAAATGTCGATGTGTCCTGCATTACTGTATGATTGTAGAAGCAGTTATGTTGTTAGTCTTTTTGTGAAAGATTGAGTCAGAATGTCCTCTGGTGTGATGACCCAGTGTATGTGATGAGTGGGTGCCAGTGTTTCAGGGCCAGTGTCCTCCATCCTGCTGATCTGTTTGGTATTTCATTCGTAAATTCACCATTGTACATGAACTGGACATAACAGGCTTTGAAAGTGGCTCAAGCTGGGATTACTGGCAGCCGTTTGGATATTGTGAGGGACCTCCGTGTGCTATTTACCGTACTGCGACTGACCGAACTGTGACCCAGCAGTGATTACTCCGTAATGGGAGAGGCTGAATTCATTACTTTAATTAATAACCATAGTTTTCATTTTTGGCGTAGAAGGAAATTACTGTATATAATAACACTTCTGTTGTCCTGAGTAGACACAGATTGTAAATAATTGCTTGCAGTTTTTAAAGAAGAGTGATGGGCTGACGTTTGTCGCTGTTGCTCTGTAGTTGGTGGTTGTTGTGAATATCTTTTACATCCTGACAAACTGATGAAACTAGGGATGCACAATGATACTGAAATGAAATCATATTAGTATTTCACACTGTCTTATTTATTGAAAGAGCAGAATGCTTATGTGGCACTACTGTGTGTTACAGTTTTAAAATATCTGTATTTACTCAGTTTCTTTGCAATGCTATTTTATCTTGTTTTCTCCTTTTTTGTCCTTTTATGTATTGGCAAATGAAAAAGATCAGATATCTATGTTGGCCTCGAATTCATATATCTGTGCATCCCTCGATGTAATAATGTTTAAAAGTAACATTAGTTTTAGTTTGTGTCCCGAAGATGTTGATCTGTTGACATTATGTTGATTTATAACCAAAACAGTTATGATTGCCTGATAAGATGTCAGGTTAAAGTCATTACAGTATATGAGATACTGTTATTGTTGAAATTGATTGGGGGTGTCAGGTGCTTCATTCTGGTTATTGCCTAATTAATTAAACCCCTGGGATGTCTTGTATCAGAGAGGTCTGTTGTTTCTGTTCTTTACATTCATTTAACTGGCACACAGTCTTGATGTTTAGGTCAGTTTTTTTGGCTGGAGGTCATCGTACCTGAGAGTTCACTGCGTAGATGCTAGTGTCAAACCCTGCTTATAGTCTTCCAGCCTAAAGAACTACCAGATATGAACTAGCAGTGTAACAACAAAAATAAGGAGTGGCTGCAGATGTACTTATGTTAATATGTTACTGTTTCCATTTTCAGTTTATTAGAGCATTCCACATTAGAAAAGTACAGTATTTGAAACAAAAAATTTGTGCTTTATATTGTCCTACTCTAATGCTCTAGCCACAGACTAATATACAAGCCCCAAACTAACATTAGTCACAGTACAGTAGTCACAATACAATTGTGATAAATTGAATACAGTATGACCCTATACAGTATGTTCCCTATGAACATGAGTTCCTTTATTTCACAGTGGATGATCTCTCCATATTATAATATTCATGTGTTTAAACTCTAAGTTTTTTACCTCTCTGGTGGAAATGTGTAATTGAGTCAAGACTTGGTGAAGGATGTGTCTTTTGAGGATGTGATTGAAATATCAGCATAATGTAATTGTTTGTAATGTCAGATATTTCTTTTGAGACCTAAACATTAACCCAAACCTACTTTTAGCTTCCTTTTTTTGTGCGTGTGAGGTTAATACGTACAGGCATATGACGTAGTCAGAAAAACCCTGGACACAACATCTTTGACTTTTAAATGATTATTTCAGGCTTTACAGGGCAACACGCAGCATCACTTGCTCACCATGTTTTAGCCTGTTTTTATTTTTCTGACTCAGTAATAGTAATTCTTTCAGTTTTGACAGTCGTACATAAGGCTGCTTTAACCTGAGTTTTCATTGAGTCCATTGTATACTCAGTTAATATAAAGTGGATGTGGTTGTTTTTTTCACTCACTATTGTGAGCTGACTGTACAGTATTGATTCTACATTGCATTGAGTTCACATCACTGTGTGCACAGAGCCGTGTGTCAGCATCTGCTTTACTGATCGGTTTTTGTCTCCAGGGTCTTCATCCTCTCTCTTGCTCTCTCTCCTGACACAGAAGTCAATGGTACAGCCCACCTTGCTGAAACGTGTGTGTTGGATAAAGAGGAGAGGATGTCCCAGACCTCCAGTGTACAGTAAGTATTCCACACACACAAAGTCAGAGTCAGCAGAGTCAGTTTGGATTTAAATCCAGTAACTCATCAAAGAAATTAAAGGTGCCGTTAGATCTTCCCTGATAACCACGACAGTAGACTCGCACTGGTTTAAATGTCCTGTTTGCATGACTGTTTGCAACAGTCATGTGATTAGAATGAGTCGAACAGTATGAGGAAAGAGGAAGAGTTGCGGTATGTCACAGCACATTTTGTGCTTTTGAACTTTGCTTCAAATGTCAGTGCTGGAGTGAAGATTTTTGACTGTTCTTATTAGTACGGTTCAGTAATCCACACTTTACCTTTATTACATATCATCACTATTGAAGTGTTACATGCCTCATTATTCTGTTTATTTGCTAGTTACTTAGGCAGTTTTATTTATTTACGTACTGAATTACTTATTTGAAAAATGGCAGCTGCCCTTAACGTTGTGTGACCATCTCATGAGGAATGGACCAATAGAAATTCTCCAACATCACTTGGAATTAAATGTTTATGTAACTTGCATTAACAATTAAGAACATGTTTTCTTCTGCTGTGAAGTTACCATGTTGGCCATAAGTTTTTTTGACAGCAGTGATAGGTACCAGGGTTGTGAGGGTTACTTTGAAAATGTATTCCGTTACAGATTACTGATTATCTGTTATAAAATGTACCTAATATAAAGGATTACGTTATGAAAGTAATGTAATCTGATTACTTTTGGTTACTTTTGGATTACTTGTCTTTAATTGAAGACATATAATTACATAAAGAAAAGAGGAAACTAATTTCAACAAGAATTTGACTTTTGTGAAACAGAATGATAGAGTATAGGTGACTTAAATATTGTGCCTCACAGAGATGGCAAATTCTGATTTTAACAGCCAAAACTAAGTGGAGCAATATATCGAAATATTTAAAACATAAAGATTACAAATTTGAGTACCAGTGTAATTTGAGTTTAGACATGTATACTCAAAGCCTGAAGTTCAGAAGTCATGGTTTGCTCCCCAGAACAAATTCCCTGATTTTAACAGGAAAAAAGTTAAAATCTGTACACTGAGACTAAAAGCTCTGAGACTAAAACACAAAGGAACAAGTAACTAATGTAGAATGATCCAGTACATTGGATTAAATGCAATAAAGTTACAAATTATGCTGCTGTTTTGAGACTTTTCCTTATTTGCATTATTTGTTTAAAATTTATTTTTCATGCAAAAACAATATAAATCAATCGGGTAGAAATCATATCTCCTCATCAACAATAATCATAAATGTGGGTCATTTAAAAACTCTTAACTACCCATAATGTGTGTTCTATCTGCTAAAAGGCTGGACTGGCTCATTAGGTTTCATGTTGGTGCATCATGCTTGGACTTTGATGGACCTTCAGCTCTCAGGGGTTTCAGCAGTCCACACAAATCAATGTGTGCTACGAGTTTAAAAATGCATTCACTTTAAATCCCTTATCTTATCAAACTAAAGAGGGAGAACTAAGAGGAGCTGATCGTCTTGGTGACAAATAATGATTTTTTTACACGTAGTAACATTTTGCACCCATTATTTGAAAGCTGCTGAAGAAAGTAATCACGTGAAAGTGAAACTTACTTCACCGCTCATGAGAATTCGCTCACTTTTCACATTTCAGACTGTTAAAACCTATCAGGTTAAGGTTTTTAAAAGTTTGATTTGTGTCCTGTCAAACTAGAATTTTATGGAGCATCAAACGAGAATAAATACTTTTACTGCTGGATCAGTCAGCTGGCACAGTGGAATCTGGAACCATGGAAATAGCAGATTCTGGGATCTTCAGGAAAATGCTGCAGATCTCAGTTCTGCCAATAAAGATAAAATAAAGATAAATTAAACAATTTCTGTATGTTCTAATATGTTAAATTCAGCAAATAAACCGTAATTGTGTATTCAAATGTGCAGAAGTGCTCTCTGTAGAGGATAAGTTATCTTATTTTCACCTGGAAAATCAAGAAAATGTTAAAACAGTTTTAATGTGTGCTATATATTACTGTGTAGTAAAATATTAACAATGATGGACTCTCTAGATTAGAAATGTGTGGAATCTTTATGTAGAGATTACTGGAATGCTTCATATGTTGGTAAATGTAAGCTAAGATAAGGTCTAATGTAAATAAATGATGAGAGGCTGTCTTTCTAAGTCATCATTTGGGGTGAAGTGCTTATTTAAAAGCAGCAGTAGTAGTGACTGACTGTGTAGTACTGAATGCAGTTGAACCAGTCTTTATGGTGGCATAGCTCTTTACACTATGACTCACGATACGCGGTCTGGAATACAGACAACATGAGGTCATAACCATGCTATCATATTCAAACAGTGAAGCCTTCTAGAGATAAACTCTGCCTTGGTTATGACATTTTATCTGCCTTTCTTTCTCTTTTTCTTTCTTTCGTTTTTCTCTGTCTTCTTTTTCCATGTTTCAGCTCAGCCGTCCAGTCCAGCAAACATTCCCTCCATTCCTGGAACGGAGCAGAATCCGAGTCCACGGCCGAGCTGATCCGACTGGGTGATTCTGCCCGTACATTCACCATGAAGCATGAAGGTACTAATCTCTTAGCTTCTTTGGCCTTTATCTTCCAGGCTGGAATCTTTTACGATTACATGTGGTTAGCTTTTGTTTGTTTTTTGTTTTTGTTTTTTTCCCCCCATTTAACACATAAAGGTCTAGTGTTATTATTGTCATTTTGCAAGACAGGTTAAGTATTACACAATACGCTATATTTTTACACAGTTTATTGTATTTACAATTTGTACTGACAGGTTCAAGTCTGCCATTCTAACTTTTTCATTTGTTTTAATGTCAAAAAAATGACGAAAACATGGCAGAAATGTAAAAGAGTTTCTTTCTGCAGAACTAAACTGTTCATACATAAATAATCAAATCAAATTCAAATCATTATAAAATATCTCCTCTTTTACTTACAAACACCTGTGATATCTATTAAGGTTTCAAATTTCCCAGCTTGTTGAGTGAGAGAGAATATCAAATTGCAACATGCTTATTTTTTGTCAGTGATAACTGCAACTTTTAAGGGTTAAAGTATAAGTTTGGATGGAAATATACTGGTACATGAGAGCAGGCTTTGCTGTTTTGGAAATATCAGAGTTTTCCATCGACTTACATAAAGTGGTATTTTGAGCATTAGGTCATTGTAAATCTTTGTTTTTTTTTTTTATATATAGTAGAAAGATTATCTTATTTTCTCAATTGAATTCTCACTGCACAGTCCAGCATTTCAGGGTTTCCACTCAGGATTCCCCATTAGCTGTTAAATTTAAATTATGACTAGGAAAATAATTTGCATAGGAAAACTACCCATGAAACACTGAGGTCCTGACTTCTTTGTTTTTCTTGTCTCTCTCAGTACGTTCCCACACCCTGCCCTCAGGGGTGACAGCTGAAAAAGCTGCCCCTCAGCCAGGTGACCACGGTTCAGCAGTTCAGGCCACTCTGCTGCGGGAGCCGCTCCGCTCAGCCATTGCCCTGCAGCCACCCAGCCAGACCACCCCTCAGCGGCCAGACAGGCCAGCACCCCCACCCTCTGACCGCCTCACGTCCCCTACAGACCAGAACGGTACAATTAGACAGGTAGGAGAATGAAAAAAGCATGCCAGACAACAATCTAAAATAAAAGGGAATATATATTTGTTTAAGTTTTAGATCATGCTTAGTATTTGGTCTGAAAATTGTACTTCAAAGTTTCTAACTCTGCATCACCGTCTCAAGGATTCCACTGCTTGTCCCAACATGTTTTTACACACCCACACATACGCGCGTCTTTCCCCTCCACGTCTCAGCACTGTTAATAGCTAGTGTCAAACGGCGTCATCACCATGGTGATTCCCAAACACACACCAGGGCATAACAAACACACCAGCACTCTTGGATGTCTGCCTGGCTTCAAAAACACAAACTGTTTCAACGTTTCAATTCAACTGAAATCGTTTGAGGCGCTTTAGAAAAGATTTGTACCGTCTCCTCAGAGTGCCCAGTGATCTGTACTTAAAGAAAATAAAACATCCTTGTGGAACATGAATATAAGAGGCTGTAGATTCAAGTAGCAGATGAGGTCATTGTTGTGAAGCTGCTGAGTAAAAGGCCCTGTGAATTACATCATAGCTTCACTCAGTGCTGCATGGAGAGGAAGTTTCTTTCCTTTAGACACACAAAGACTCTGAGGTGCTTTGGTGAAGCTGAAAGGCCACACCTGAGGCTGTTGTTTGGATAAGCAAATGGAGAGCAAATACTTTTTGCACATTACACGCTCATCTAGTGAGATGCACACGTTATCATGAGAGGAAACTCACTTAGTGACCTTTATGTCCACACGCAAAACCGCAGTGATGAGCCTGTTTCTTGTTGCTCATTCTGGATTGATAAAAATAACAGATCTATTTTCTCTCATAGCATGCATTTATATTTGTAGCTTGGTTCTCTTGGTTCAGAACAAACTGATACTTTGCTGCATTTTGGTTTGCTTAGCAGTCATACTGACATATTTGACATGGAACCAAAAGATCAGTTCTATGGTCAAGAAACAGTCATAAGGACAAAAGAAGAAACAAAAGAATTAAAGAATTAAAGAATTAATTGGCAGATTTTCTTAAATCTTAACACATTTTGCTTCCGTGCTGTGAGTGTAGAATTTGTATTTCTGAGTGAAGCGTGGTATCAGGTTGGGTCTCTGGCTGAGGTTTTCTCTCCATGGTATGTGGGGGGTGGTCAGAGGTGGGTGTGAAACCTGATATTATTGGTTAATATTACTACCAACCTACTGGTGCGAGGTAATGTCATTAAAAATTAGAAATTTATGAGTTGGGACAAAGATCATTATGTTTTGGTCAAAGTTTACAAAGAGTTTTATCTGCTAAATGATATGCTTAATATGAACTGTGCTTAATATGAGGAGCAGCATTTACTAACAAACTAACCTTTTTTACTTGTTACTTTTCAGTTTGACATCAGAGCTGCACTATATCAGATTTTCTTTTGTTAAAATTGAAAGAAGCAGCATTATTAAGTGAGTGCTGCGAATCAGTTTGGATTTTGCGAGAGTTTGTCAGAGTGCATCATGTCATTACGTATTAATGTTAGACATAGACTCAAACAGAAGGTCTGGCTCGAAGTGTCAAATGCAAAATCAACATTATACTGATGAAGATATGTTGACAATAGTAGATAATTCACCCACATCCCTCACCAAGTTTTGACTCACTTCTGTTTAAGTACTCTTTCAACACCCTCGCGGTCATCTGATTCATGTACTCGGGGAAGGGGTCCGGAGCACAACTCATGTTCTTCCACATGTTGCGTGCAATTACACATTTATACAAAAGTGTTTTAATATATTTATGTATGTAGCATACAAATTGCAATACTAGTATTATGATTATATTGTGCAGTGCAGCAGTAAATTTGATTACTATTTTTGTAATTGTAATTTTGTTGTTGTTGTTGTTGTTGTTGTTGTTGTTGTTTTTGATATTATTACAATATGAATACTAACAATTCATAAGCCCTGTTCCTCTGTTTTGCTTCCTCTCATACAGAATGGTGTTTCTCCCACGGTACAATCTGATGTTCAGATAAATGGGACGCTGCACCGTTCACTGTCCAGTGCTTCCCCAGGTAGAGTCATTTTCCTTATTGTCACTCAAATCAGAGAGGAACCACCTCTTCTTTAAATATTAATGTACTGATCTCTGCTCCACTTCTCTTGTGTATTTTTTTTCTTGTGTATTTTTTTTGTTTTAATCATAGGCAATCAGATATACGCCTGCTGTTTGAGCAGGTTAGCGTTTGGTTGCTGTAAGGATGAATAATTGTTTTTGTGTCTAAGCAGACAGTGCGCTGTCTGTGCCCAGTCTGAGAGAACCGCACTCGGGGGCTCCCAAAGGACAAATGGAGGTAGGACATTTATTCCACAACACTTTTTTTTTCAAAAGGCTGTCACATTTTTCCCCTCTGCAGTTTACATCAATCAAGACCACTTTTCTTTTCAATTTTTTAAACATTTTTCCATGGAGGAAAACCCCCACAGACACTCACTTAATTGCACTGTCCATCTCGTGTGTCTGCCGTTCAAGCAGTTTTTCCTGGCATGGGGAATCTTCCCGGTGATTGCCAGTAAAGCCAGCGCTGCATCCCTGTGGGCGTCTTTTACGGAAAATCAAAACAAAATGTATGGAGTGTCAAAATAATTTAGGAAAGCTTTACAAATCGTCTCTAAATCTTTGATTCCTCAACACTGCCACCCTTTTGCCTTAATAGCCAGCTCTGTGGCCTGTCCCAAGCCCGGCTGAGAAAGGAAGATGATTGGGCGTCGGGTTAGCAACCCGACCCCATAAAAAATACCAACTGCTACAGAAACAACAAGCACAAACATATCCTGCATTTTACTTGTATATTATTGTTTTCCCCGTGGTCCACTTATGACATTTATGCAGGTTTCTGTATCAAAACTGGTCATAATTTATTTTTTCATGACCGTCTTCCAACCTGTCTTTATCCCTTAACCATGCTGTTTTTGTTACTGTACCTTTTAAGACCAGTATATCATCACTGTCCAATGAAAAACAAAATAGTAACTTTACAGAAGAAGGAAAAAACCTTCAACCTTTCAATGTAAGTCAATGTAAAAAGATTTTTTTCCATGTGATTTTAGAGTATTTCTGTTGGTCCATTTTGTGCAACGTAAAAGACAGCTGGTGTGTTGAAATTATGTAGAAAACTAAAAATCGTCAAAAATGGAGATACATGTTTTTTGTTTTTTGTTTTTTTGGACAGCGACAATATGTAAATACAGCAGAACTGATTGGCCACTCTTTGTTGTGCCTTTATTATTAATGCAGAAACTGGACTATGTTGAATGGGGAGTGATGAGTACTGTTAGATTTTTTTCAAACATACAAATCATTGTAACTTGAAAATGTCTTTGCACAGTGACTTATCAGAAGAGAAGAAAACTGTTTTGCGTTCCCCTTTTGGTTAATGTGAAATTGTGTCCGTCTCCATCAGGTTGGCGCTGAAGCAGCGCGTAGGGTTCTATTCCGAACTCAGCCAGACATCCTGCTGCTGACTCTCTCCGACGAACAGAGTCAGAGCCACAGAGAGGATGTGCACAGAAGCGGCCCGGAAGAGGAGGAGGAGGAGGAGGAGAGTGAGGAAGAGCGGCCGCTCAGCTCAGGCTCGTCATCTGGGAGACGGAGGAGCTCCAGAGGCCGGAGGTGGAGAGCAGGGTAAGGAGGAGTGTGCACTGAAATGAATACATTCAGGGACAAAATTACATACGCATACCTACTGAAACGTCCTAGAACAAAAATGTGAGTTCTAAAAATAAGCTTATGGAAATGGAAATACTTGTTACAACCTGGGAGTGTTGAGGATGAGAAAACTTTGAATGTTCTGTCTGTCTTGTTCCTTTTTTTTAAAGTGAAAAGTCTTTCTTTCTTTCCTTCTTTCTTCTCTCTATCAGGCTGGCTGAGGAGGGCACAGATGAGCCGTTGTCCAGGCGCAGTCAGAGAAACAGGCAGACTGAGCAGGAGCTGCAGGAAATGTCCGAGAAACTTTCCCGCCGTCTGGAGGAGCTCGACCTGGTCAGTGTAGTGTGACTTCACGGTCCTCACACTGACCTACATGAAACATTTACAGTGTGCTGGGACTATAGTTGTTTTTCTTAAGTTTCTTTGCAGTTGACCATTTCACATCAAACCACTGTATGTTTTTCAAAGACTGAATTATGCCAAATATTAGACAAAATTGTTAGAATTTCCCTTTGATGACTGAATCATATCTGCATTTCCCAACCACTTTCATCCACACTTAGAGATTTTTGCTTCACTCTCGTGTTTGTGATAATTGCAAGATTTGGGATTTTGAGTTTTTGCGGTCGAAACTCGTTGTGTATATGATCCCCTCTCTTAGCCTAATTTTCTAGTATGCACCTAGCCTTGTGACAAAAAGACAAAAAATCTGTACAAAAACTGACAAAGTGTAAGAGACTCCCTGTTTTGAAAGCTATTAGCATTTTCTAAGTGTTATACTACCAGCTAAAGCTTGACTGGGAAAGTCTGGCTTATAATAACCCTCTCTGAAAATGTTGCGTGTACAACGTGCATGAATGTATGTATGCATGCATGCATGTCTGTACATGTCAGTCATAAACCTGCTGTGTCTCATTCATGTACTTGTGTCTCCGCCCTACAGATGCTGAAGAGAGCTCTGGGAGAGACGGGGGAGGAGCCTAAACCCCAGGAGGAGGACAAACGCTCCCATCACAGCGACAGCGTCATGGAGTGCAGACGTGCCCCCAGACCTACAGGTATCTACTACATCCACCTGTTAACTGTGCTGCACTGTTTAGTTCTCTCCCTGCTTTTGTTCACATTGTTTATCTTGTCAACTAATTATCAAGGCGTTTGCAGAATGAATCAGATTAGTAGTGTAAAGGCTGTTGCACACCAAAAGCGACACACAAAAAATGATGTGAAATGCAAAAAAAAGCAAAAGAGAACAGAGTTTCTCCAGCTCATTTGGAGAACCAGAACCACCTGGCATGATATATTGCTGCTATTTATATGATGGGCAGTTATAAATGATTAGGATGTGTAAGTTGATGTTCCGCTACAGTCTGTACAGTGTTTTTAAATATTCATGGAATGCCAATAGTGGAGTAACTTGGTAGATAATTTATGCAGTTGAATTGAAATTGCAAGGTTACAGCAGGATCCAAACGCATGGTGCAAATCACATACTTAGGCTATAAGATATGTAGGCTGAATTTTAGTCTTAAAGACTGATAGACTTAAAGGGCACATTTTTGGAAACTGAAATGTCCCCAGTCTTTGCAGTCCATAGATGGAAACAGGGCTGCAGCAACCCGTTTTGAATTAATTGTACAGCAGTTTAGCTCATTAGCACCCATTGACTGTGAGATTATAACCACTGATACAAGGCAGACAACCAGAACAGGACTCATTTATATTATATCAGTCCTAAAGGCACAGTAACAAAAACAGCCTGTGTAATTGTAAGGGTGAAACAGAGGTTGGACAATGGTCATGTAAACGTCAATTATGACTATTTTTGGTAAATAAAACCACAAGTGGAAAAAATAAGTGGAAAAAATAAAATACATAAGTGGAAAAAATAAAATGCATGAAAAATGTAGGACATGGGTCTTTTTTAAACAATATGGGTTTATAAATGTGAGCTTGAAAGCAATTATTTGTGTTTGAGAACTTGGTCATTAATGAGATTTTTCAGAACATCCAAGTGGACGTTAGATACGATAACATGCCACATGTATGTGACATTTCATTCAAGCTGTATGATGGTGATCCTGAAAGAATAAAGAATAAGAAATGCTGCATTGAAGCTCTGTTCTCTTTGCCTGCACAGATCCAGCAAGTATGGACAGACCTCGCCCCCGCTCCCTTTCCCCCTCCCCTCCACCCGCACGCCGTTCCCTCCGGAGCCAACTAGAGGGCACTCTACTCGCAGACTCACAGACACACATGGCCCGAATCAAACATGGGGTGCTTCGGGACCACCAGGATAAGCACAGGAAAAGTCAGGTCAGTGAGCAGCACATAGACCTGGGTACCTGAATGTCTGTGTCAGTGAATAAAGCACGTAGTAGTTTCCTGATGAGTTGAATCTGGGGCATTTAAACATGTAATTGTGTCTCGAATGGGGTCCCCAGGCATGAAAAATGAAATTGTTACAAAGGGTTTGAGGTTCAGGAGCAGTTTTGTGGGGTTTTTATTGTTATATATTTATGTATTTGTTGGTTGGTTTTGAATAAAGGCTTTTTTGGCTTCAGATCAAATCAGATTCAGATGTCTCAAAGCATTGCAGAAAAGCAGGCAATGTCATGCTATCATAATAAAGGCCAAATCATACTTTTTCTCTAACATACATGGTTGTGCTTGTGATTTATTGTCCCCTGACAATGTTGTGTATTACCTTTTTTGGCCTGCAGATGGTGGCAGAAGCATATAAGGCGGAGCTGAAAAATTTGGATGAGCGTCAGAGAACAGAACTGGCAAAAGAGAGGCTTCGAGCACAGGAGGCTGTAAGGGCGATTTTGCTTTTTTTGAAATTTTTTAACACATTAAATGCGAAAGTACTTTTTCAGGAGATTTTTCTGAAGACATTAGATATAAGATAATCCAAGTAAAAAGAAAATATGTGTGGGAGAACAATGGTTTATGAAACCAGAATTCATAAAATTATTAAAGCTATAGAAGAATGGACCTCCTAACAACTGTGCAACACCTGGTAGACACCAAAAATGTCCCCATCAGATAAACGGCACTTAAAGCTTTCATCTTTGAGAGAGAGGAGAAAATCAAGCTGCTTCAGTTCTGAAAAAAATCCACAGGTGTTTCTGTCCATGCTTCCACTGTGAGAAGACAACTCAGCGCTATAGGTCTGAAGCGATGTGTAGCTGTCAAGAAGCCTCGCTGAGAAAATGAAATGGACAAAAACAAGAACATTTGAAAATCAAACAAAGAAGCTGCTGGTGTTCAGATCAATGAACTGGTCACTTTGGAAGTGTGGAAAAATATCCCTACAGATTTCTTTGAAAAACTCACTTTAACAAAAACCTGAAGAATGGATGCTGCAACAAAAGCAAAGGGTGAAAACACTTAGTACTGAAAATAATTATATTTTTTTTAGTTGTTGAGTTTCTGTGTAATTTCTGTTAAATATCTGTTTTCTGCCTACGTTTCTGGCGCTGAAAACTTAATAACCTGTACTTAATTTCCTTTTTGGCTGACCTTTTAAACAGTTCTGTAATAAGAATATCAGTTTTACCAGTTAACCCCACCATACATGTAGTATTGTTGATATATAGTTATATACCAGGCTTTGAAAACGTTTTGACCTCCAAACTATGTGTGTGTGTTTAAATAGGAGCGTGAGTACAGGGAGGCCATCCGTAGAGAAGTTGTAAAGTCATCTCAGACCTCCAGATCTAAATCGTCGCTCTCAAACAGGACGTCCCGCACCAGACCTCCATCGTCCGGCCGACGGCAGACACAACCCCGCAGAACGGCGCCCTGTAAGCTCTCTCTCTCTCTCCCTCTCTTTCCCTCTCTCTCTCTCCCCCCTGCCGTAGCTACATAGACTGGGCCACTGGAGAGATGCTGTATGGACAGGTTTCCACTGGAGATATGCCATTAAATAGAGAGAGCCATTAAATCTCTCGTCAGATAGTATTTAAAAGGTCTCTCAAGTGAGACACAGTAGAAAATCCCTCCATAGGCTTCTATGTGGCATAGAAGAAGACAGCAAAATTGCAAACTCCAATATACTGCAAGTGTAGCAACGCAGTACTCTCAGACAATTTCCAGCTTGTGGTAAAACTTGATACAGAACACATGTATGTAATTTTACAACTGGCATGGAACTATTGTACTTCCCCACGCTCATTTAAATGTTGTGGGTAGTGAGGTCTTTGTATACATCATCACTTTGTGCTTTCTGTGCTCTCAGACAAAGGAGCTCAGGAAAAACTGAAGGTAGTACTGAATACTGGCTATCGAGCTAATAAGTGAACGTTACGCTAGCAATGTTCTGTAATTATTAGTATTTCACTCAATACCCCAAAGATGTGATGTTGTTGTTGAACTGGTCTTATGCTTATGGTTGTACAATGCATAATTTTCTCCAAATGTTAAATCTGTAAAAAAAAATGTTATTTGAGGAAAATACATTTTAAGAGTATTCCCTGTAGGACATCCTGTGTAATTCCTAACAACAAAATGTGCAAGTTAAATTTTAAATAAATAGGCAGAATGCTTATATTAGTGCTGAACAATTACAGTTCAAATACATTTATTTTCTATGAGAGAGGCTCCATGCCTTTTTTGCCAGGAAGACCAGCACATCCTTTTTTAGGCTTGACACTTAAACGTTAGATGTAGTGTGTGAGAGTGCCAGTGCACAAGCTGTACATTGTTAGGTTTCGTTTCTCCATTTAATTTAATTAAGTTGACTTGGAAAAGCCTACCTACTAGTCTTTGTTTTCTTCTTGTCATTATTCTTCTATAATCAAAAATTTGTTTGAATGCCATTTTTTCCATAGTAATGAATGGGAGAATGCTCAATACAAGACAAAGTCTTGAAACTGAGTCATTCTGCTAATAATGTAGTGCTTATACATCTGCCTCAACCACGTAACAACCACCAAGTGACACCTTAAAAACCTCGTAGCATCACCATAACAACTACTTGGAATTACTTTGTCAGCCCAATTATCACAAACAATTTACAGTGTTTTGCATAGGCTTTAGCTGGCTTTGTCAATGCAACCTTTGCCTTTCTATTTAAATTGCAGCTCTTGCTTAGAAATTGTGCTTTTTCAAAATGCAGTTTCCATGTTAATTATTAATTGTTCATCTCTACCTCATACAACATATTCAGGTTGATATGTGTGTGTTTTACCACAAATCCTGAATTCCAGCCTTATTTCATTCAGGCTTTAATTTTAAATCAGCAAATACACCTGAAGATATTTCAGTAAATGCTCCCGTTCACTGAAAAATGAAGTCCTGGAATGATTGTCTCTGTGTTTCCAGTACGGGTGAAGGAGAATGACTTGTTACCGGCTCTGCTGGAGGAATACCCGCCTCTGCCCTTCTCTTCTCACACAGTGTCATCCATGTGGAAACAGCAGCTGCGACAGGTCGACCAGCTTAGTGCTCTGGACAACCATCGCAGACACGCACGCTCCACCAAACTCACCAACCAGGTCAGAACACAAACCATAAAACTACTAATGAGGTCAGTGCACACATGCAGACTCCCCAACTAGGTCAGACCATAATCCTATTAAAAATTCCAAATTCCCCATTCTAGTTCCCTGTTCAGTATTTTGTTTAGTTGATTACGGGGGCTGGTGTGGTGAGTGTTGTGTTTGGGTATGAGTCAGTGGAACTTGTGTTTAATGTGTTTTAAAGCCTTTGGTGGAGGTAAAAAGAAAGGTTTTGTTAGTGTATTAGAGCTGTATATGTTAGTAAAGCTTCACTTTAATGTGTTAAACAAATCTGATTTCGTTATAGAAGCATCATATCAAAGTGCATTAGACACTGATTTTAATGATGCTTCCTGTTTTCCACAGATGGAGGAAGCTCAGAGGAGACATGACCTGCTCATGGAGATCATCCGCAAAGAGCAGGAGCACAACCGCCGCCTGGTGAGAACCTACACACGTACACACACGTAGGCCAGTGTGAGACACAGCCTAAACCTGCATTTATGGGGGGGAAAAGTGTCTAAAAAAAGTGTGTGAAAATGGACTTTGCAAGGCCCTAACTTAACGTGAAAGTTGGATATTTTCAAACTAAGTATGTGCTTTTCTTTGTAATTACATGTTATTAGTCACCCAAGACACTTGTGTCTTCATTTAGAGCTGTATTTGGTCATCTTTTAAAGCAAGAGGCTCGAATGGAAATATGTCTATTTTCAAACTATAGTCATTTGACTGCCAGTTAGTGTTGAAGTATTTACAAAAATGATCTGTTACAAATTACTAATTCTCAAACTTTAAAGGGATTACTTCCTGGAAAAAGTAATCTCACCACTCATTGCTTTACTTTTGTTACACTCTAACCCATACAGATCTGTACCAACTGAAAAGTCCAGTATTCATTTAGAAAGAAATAAACAATCCTAGTGAACATCAGTTTAAAAGGCCTGCTACAATTCCTACCTTTGAACAAACACAACCAATTATGTTGGTTTTAAAATGATGAGCAGCTGGTGCTGTTTGGAAACCAAGAAAGTAGTTAGTGGAAACCTCTGAAATATTAAACTTTAGTGATTAAACTGTAAAGCTTACAGAAATTTCCTGAATCTGTTTAGGCAAGGCTGGGTCTCTCTGTTCACCACAGAGATCCCTTATCTATCAGTTTTATATTAGCTTGGTCAGATGATTGTTCGCTGAGTTTAGTGTTTCCTGCGCTCATGCTGTGCTGCTCATATTCATGAATGATGCAGTCAGCACATGTGCACGCAAATGATGTATAAGGACAGTGTTGAATAATCTATATAGAGGAAATTTAAGTTGTTGAAATTTATTGTTTTCACACTTGCCCTCTCTCTATACACTCACTACAGAAGGATTTCAGGGACAGAATCCAGCAGCAGAAGTCTACGCAGAATAAGCTGCGTGAACAGAGGCAGCAGGTGGCCCGCGCCCGCAAATACCACAATGACTACCATGTTCAGCTCCGTGCTCGGCTGCTCAGGGCCCGCACACGCGAGGAGAAAGTGAGTATTTTGGCATGCTTTTAGTACTGCCATGCCAAAGACAAAGATCCTGGATCAGCAGTATCACCATGTAAACTCTAGCACACATTCTCTTTGCAACATGCAATTGCTGTAGTTTAAGCAGGACTTTGTAGGAGACTAGGGGCTGTCATCCATTAATAAAACCTGATGTCTTTAGGCCTTGGTTTATTTCCTGTTGCTTTAAGCAGACTGCAGTGTTCAGTACAGTGGAAGCATAACCGTGTACTTTAACCAGCTGCCTGACTGTGCTAATGCTAATATGGCTAGTGAATGATGCCATTGGCTTTTAATCATTGTTAGCCATATTAGCATTGTTTGGTTGAAATATCCCTTTAATTTTCGTTATGATTAATAGCCGAGTGGACAGTGACAGATGTGTTTGTGTGTGTGCAGATGTTCCGGCAGGTATTTGAGGAGGGTCTGGAGCTGCAGAAGGCCCGTCTGAGGGAGCAGCGTGCGTACGCTAAAGAACAGCGGCTGGAGCACCAACGTAAACACAGAGATGAGATCGAAGCCATGGAGAACTATTACAGGGACCAGGTATTGTCCTGTATCCACTTACATCCTAGCCAGAACAAGCTGGAAAAAAACACGTTATTTGTCGCAAACACTACAAGCTTGCACATTTTCATGTTATTTGTTCTAATTATGTTAGGTGTGTAATTGCTTAAAAGGGCAATTCCACCCAGTTTAAATTTTTGTGATTGTCGCAGTGCGAACAAAGTCGTTCAGAGTGTTTTAATGTGAAATATTTTGAAGTGAGGAAAAGTACTGACGCAGATCTCTTTACAGTGGTGGTGATGGGAAGAAGGGGTCACCATGTCAGCAACACAAATATAGCCGTTTTATTTACCATCCAAAACCACCAGTGAACCTACATGTGTCTTCTGAGTTTTGTACTGTATGTAATGTTGATTTTAAAGTAGTGGCAAATCTAAAAAAAAGTAGTACTAAATAAATAAAAAAAAAAAAAGAATTGGGACGACTTTTGTGCTTTACTACTCCCCGAGTGTCTCCACCAGGAGTGTATTATTATTTTTTTTTTTTAGGCCAAAGCCTTCTTTCAAAACGATCATAAACATTGTCATCAGGCAGTTTCTTTATAACCATTTCATGTAATAATAATTTCTGTGAGGGAGCTTTTAGAGGCATTAAACTTTTCAGACGTCTGGATCCCATCACCACCGCTGTGGGTAATTCTGACTCAAAGTTTCTTTAGAACTGAGCATTTCACACCAAACCACTCTGAATGACTTTTTACATCTCAACCATTTAATTGTGCAGAAATTTTTGAAGAATCGATGGAATTCTCCTTTCAGTCTGTGAGGCCTCCTGCACCCACAGGGTCTTCCTATGAAGGCTCAGCTCTTGGCTTTGTTTGGAAGATTAGCTGATTACTAAGCATCTAGTACCAGACTTAGTTGAACAGCTCCTGTTACCAGATATTTGTCTGTCTGTGGGCAGCATGATTGCACATTTATTTTAAAGAACAAAGCGATGTGCATAAAATAGGAATCATATTAGCTGAAATCAGAGACGTTTCTTTTTCCATCTTCACAGTGAGAGATGTGTAGCGCAGGAGACTAAAAATACTGAAGTGACTTTGAGCCCTCCATTCTCGTCTTCTTTCCACAAGCAGTAATGTGACCGTCTTTGGCTGAAAACGAAGGAAAACAGAAAAATGATTGGTGGTTATTTTGGAAAAGACATTAAGATTTATGTCGCGTTTTTTTCTCCAGTACTTTCCGTCTTGCAGATTGTTCCATGGGTTACTCATTATTAAACGAATTACTCTGACCAGCCTGCAGCATGTGTAAAATATTCCTGCAGGCTGGTCACCGAACGGTGGAGAATGGTGATGCTTGTTGATGAGTCACTCAGTCTTTGAGGCTAGTCAGTCACTTGGACAGATAAAAATAAGTTTGGACAGTGTTAATATGCAGTAATAAGTCCAGGCTGCATACGTACAGCAAAATGCGGTTGCTGAAGCTATTAACTAATATTTGGTTTTTTTTGTTTGGCTTCTTTACAGTTTTCAATGCTAGCTGAAAGACTCGCTCTGGAACGGCAGGAGATACAGGTCCGAAAGAAGGCCCAGGAGAAGGTGAGTTAAGCCCTGCTCTAAATCATCTCTTCAGTAAATCTTCAGCTGCCCTGAAGCATCTGGAACAAACTGGCAGCCATGACCACATCCCACCGAATAGGAACTGGACATTATAGGATTGTCCGCCCAAACCCAGTTTCTCTTTCCACAACGTAAATCCCTTTCACACAGGATTAAATAACTGGGGTCGTCAGTAATTATTACTGACGTTGGTAATTATTACCAACCCTGATCTCCCATTTTGACTGGACTACTGTCTTGGTGAAAAATGACTGGGTTTGAATGATTAAAGAACACTGGCCCAACTAATTAATGGCAGAATACGCTGCAATTCAAAAGTTTGGAATCACTGTTTAAAATTTTGAAATCAGTGTTTTTATCTAGTTAAATAACCCACATGCTCAACTGACCTGCCTTGCATTAAAAACATGGCGCATTTTGAAATTAAAAATATGACAAAGGAGAGACCCTGAACTGTTGAGCAGTTGAAATCTTATATCAAGCAAGAGTGAGAAGACGTTTCACTTTCAGTGGTCAATATGCCCCCCCGTCCCAACTTTCTTGGAACGTGTTGCTGGCATCAAAATGGGCATATATTTTTCCGAAAAAACTTCAATTAAATACAAAAAAATTTTCAATTAAATACAAAGTTTAAATTATTTGCACATCATTGCATTTTGTTTTGTTTTTTTTTTTGCTCAGCATCCCAGGTTTTTTGGAAACGGGGTTGTAGTTTACCAACATATTATATTTTACCATAATAATTACAGTAAAAAAAACATTAAAATAAGTACAAATATTTGCGAATTAAACGGGATAATTTCTGTTAAAATACAGTTTGTGTGTAGTTTATTTCCATGCATTTACCTTTTTTTTTTTAAAAAATGGGTATTAACCACTAAATGTTACAGTACTGATGTGGTTTTTTTTACAGTGTAGATAGCTTGACATTAAATACATAATAGAATACAGCATAGTTTACAGTATGTAATAACACCTTGCGATATTAAATATCTAAAAGCTTCTTTTAGTGTCTAGCTTGTAATATTTAAATATATAGTGTATGTTATTGTATATGAAAATTTTAAATTCTGAACTTGAGTGATTTCAAACTTTTGAATGATACTGTAGGCTGTAGCTAATTGTTCGCTAAGAACTCAAAGTAAACTACGTCTTGCAATCATGCAGAATTAAAAGGAACAGATAACTAGAATGTTGATTCTCTCACTAATACCTCATGATTATTGAATCCTACAGTAATTTTTAACCATGATTAAAATCTATACTGACTGTATGTCTTTATGCAAATGTATCATTACTGATTACTAGCTTCCTTTTACTCTTCACCATGTTAGCTTAAAGCAGTGGCTGTCTAAATGAGCAGCTTTGTCTGAAAGCCAGGGGGCGCTATTGTAGTGGAAGATATTTGGAGTGTAGTTGTCTACGGTCATGTTTCATAACATGCCATTTATACACGCTGCTAATGTAGAGCATGTATGAAATGCTTACTCTCACTGAGCGTAGAGTTACAGTAGTGTAGAGAAAGTGTTATGCTGCGGTTAAGTTTATTGGAAAAGCACACTTAACGGGCTCTGTTCTGATTGCCATGCCTCTATTAAAACAGTCAGAGCTGAAACGCTGAACTTTATAATGTATTGATGAAGCTTAACTGCAGTAGGCTGAGCAGGTGGATGTATCACAGAAACAATGAAATTTGAAACAGGCTGTGAAGTTTTGCAGCTTAAGTGAATGATTTTGAAACTTAAGTGTTTACATATTGCATCAAACTTCCTGATTTAAGAAAAGTGGTTTTCTATGATATGATATAATAATACAAGCATGATCTCCGCATGTTAGATGACGCATCATAATCCTGCAATAACTGCTACCAATTATTTGTGTGCAAGCTAGTCTTTGTATAACTGTGACATGAGAAGAACCATTTGGCTTCATTGTTCCTGAACTTCCTTTTTACAGGCTCTGCAGAAGATGAAGCGGGAGCTGAGGACCAGGATGGAGCGAGAGATCAGCGAGCTGCAGAAGATCATTGTCCAGAACGATGAGGAAGACTACTTCCGGGATCTGGAGGTGGAGCGGCTGCGTAAACGTGTGCAGATGGCCTCGTTCCAGTACAGCTCTGGCTGTACACACTGACTCCAGACCAGCAGGAACTCATCAACCAGGGCTACTGTGGGACCACCCTCAACCCACCCTCCCACTTAACTTAGTGATGATTCATCCCAAAGTCAAATTAACACAATCTACCCCATATTCTTTATGTAGTCAGGCAACCAAGACGTGTTGGTCTGAAGTTTGCTTCTTTAGTCTTGCGCTGGCTCTACAAAGCTAACGTCGCTAAACCAGTAATAGAAGCTTAAAGGACGGATTAGTATTGTGTAAATTGCAATCCCTTCTTTCAGTGTTCTTAGTAAAGAAAATACTCAAAGAACCTTTTGCATGATTAATGGGTTCTTTGCATTGTTAAATGGCTCTTCAAATTGATGAAGAATGTGTTGCAGATGGTTCTAGCTAGAACCTTTTTTGAAAAGGGTTCTATATAGAACCAAAAAGGGTTCTTGTTACAAGCTTGACATGGTAACAATAGAAGAACCCTTTTTGGTGCTATCAAAAAGTTTCTATATAGAACTATCTACAACACATTCTGAAGAACCCTTTTGCCAGGCAAAGAACCCTTTAATCATGTGAAGGGTTCTTTAAGTGTACATGATTCTATATAGAACCATTTTCTTTACTAAGAACTCTCGAAGAGCCATCTTTTTTAAGAGTCATATCAGTCGGATTGGCTTCAAAACTTTCATATTGGAGCGACACGTCACAGTCATAGTTGCTGGCTGCAGACCTTCATGCACGGAATATCTTTCCTCGCGAAACATGAATGCTTATCTGGCTGATGTTGTTCCATCAGAGTCGTCAAAATCCCAGGCTTATAACAATAGTACACACTTAAAAAGGTGGTTCTTCTGTAAAGGTGTTGCTTCTATTTAGAACCATGAGTTCTGTACAAACTTGAACCCTATACCATTGTGTAACATTTTTCAAAAAGGTTCTGTATAGAACCTGTACAACATGTTCTCCATCAGTCTGAAGAACAGTTTCACCATGCAAAGAACCATTTGAGCATGCATGATTAGAACTCATGGTTCTAAATAGAACCATTGTCTTTAAAAAACCCTTGAAGAACCATCTTTGTGTGTAGGCCACACAGCAGTAGCATGTAGGCTAACACAGTAAGCATTATCCATTTTATTACTTTAACAAGATGTGATTTATAGGCTGTAAAAGTGTGTTTGCCACACTAAGCAAAGTTAGAAGAAAGTTGGCAAGTTTTTATGACGGGAAACTGAAGTGTGTTTATTTTCTACAGTTTAAGCAGCTTCTCTGTGGCGTGACTGTGTTACGTGCCCTGCTGAAACGGGTTATTGGAGGAGTGAGTCTTGATGGAGACGCTTCTCAGTCTGTAGCTCAGTAGCAGCTTCTCAGCCAATATTTGTGGTGCTTTTCTTCTATGCACCCTAAAAAAACGCTTGCCTGCCACCACATTCCCCTCGGAATTGTATAGTCAGTCAGTGATGGCTGGAGACAATGCCATGTTGCATAGTTAAAAACGAAATTAAATCTCTACATTGGTCCTTTTTATGGAAAACAGTATATCATATAGTGTAGAGGTGGACGATACAGTAAAAATATTGCAATATATAAAAATATCGGAAATTTTCACAATACACGGTCACAATATTTATTTTTTCAGACATCTGATCAGTTGGAACTGAGAAAAAGAACCAGTGGTGCTACATTTTAAAAAGAAATACTATCAAAAACTGAACACAGTTATTTTTATGCAGTATTTGGCATACAGTGTTGCACTAAATCACGTTAAACGCGACTAATATTCTGCTCTCTATAATTAAACATGCTGTTGGTCAGTGTTCAAGTAGTGCTGATATGCGCAATGTGTTCAAAAAAACGTATTGTCTTGTGACATGATGTATATCATCATATATATCTTGCTGCTGTCTGAACAAAACATAGCTCCATTTTTGTCATTTTTCAGTTTTTATCATAATTTGAAAATGCCTGCTGTACTTCACATTGCGTGCAAATTTCATGATGAATGAACCAAAAGAAACAGCCCAAAATTACTAAAGTATGTTTTTTCCTTCTCCTGTAAAGTTCTCATTTTGGAGTTTTTGTTCTCACAGCAGCGATAAAGTCATTTTGCCAAGCTTTAACACAGTGTCTAACCACATTAGCATCTCTATACAATTCAACACGGTTTGATGCAGTTAGCTTGATACTAACAGGTGAGCATATTTAAGTAACTCTCAGTTGGTGGCTACACTGGCCTTGTAGCTACAGTGCAAAATTGAAGAAGCAAACTTGAGACACCAAACGTGCTGTGGCTCATCGACTACATGTGGCGTACGAGTAAAGACGTGTATTTTATTCTTTATTTTTTTGCTGAAAGATCACTTTGGGGACAAGCTGCAAGGTTTTCAGTGCTTGGATAAATTGAGATGAGGCTATTTCTATATATTGTCCTCTGTATGAGACATCAGGATGGATATCAGAACATCAGAGGATACCAGTAAATCTGCCCAGACAGATGACGTCAGCGAAATATAAAGAAACAGAATTTGTACGTTGTTTCAATAATCCCTCTCAATTTATTATAGTAATATAGTCCCAAAATATTACTGTACCTTTAAATGTGTATTCAAAAAAAGTGTTTTCCAAAGCTGACCTCAACCCAGACCTCTGTAGCTGTATTTGTTTTTATGGAGTATTTAATTAAACCACAAAGCAGATCCATATGAGGTCAGATCCAGTTTTAGGAACCAAGATCTGATTAGAAATCAGATAAGAACTGTTACAGAGAGACCAAATCATTGTAAATAGCTCTGCCGACACTGTGCCCATGCAGCTATTGCTGGGAAACGTTGTGAATATGGCCTCTGTTATCAGCCTGGAGTCCTGAGTATGATGAGTAACTCGCCCTAAACACACAAAACCCTTTTTGCTGCTAACAAACAGAAAGTCTTCCTCCATTACTAAACTGCTGATGGAAATGTGTTGATCTGTTTTTTGTACCATTTTCCTTTTTAGATGGTTTCTGTAATAATAAAAAAAATTGTGCACCTTTCCACCTTTGAGTGGACCACTGAGCAACACATGGACGTTAATAATGATCCTCGAAGCCTTTTATGATTATTTTGAACTTCTAATTGCTGGATTGGTCTTCCTTCATGTGTGAACACTGTTCGATTGATGTCATGATTAAATTATTTATTCAGTCACTCAAAATGATTTTGATTGAATCACTTGATTGCGTTTCGGAAACTTTCTCAAGTCTCGGCTCTCTTAGTTACTCTTGCTATGTTTGTCAAAGTTTCAGACCTTTTTGAAAATGGTTCTATGTAGCACCAAAAAGCGTTCTGCTACTGTGACAATGTCATACTTGTAACAATCGCAGAAACTTTTTTGCTGCTCTATAGACCCATTTTCAAAAAGAGCTGAAATTTCTCCATTCTCCATCCATCCATTTCACCATGCAAAGAACCATTTAACCATGAATGTTCTATACAGAACTCATGGTTCAGACCTATTACCTTTACTAAAGGACTCTTGAAGAATGACCTCGAGCATGAAAATGAATCAGTTGACTAGTTCAGAATATTTTCTGATACTGATAAATTTCCTTCTTCCTTCGGGATCAATAAAAGTATCTATCTATCTATATTTGGAATGGAATTTTAGTGTCATTTAAAACATTGACATTAAAAAATTTCTATTCCTAAAAATTGTGGAACAATAACACCACCAACCCAAAACCGTACAACCCCTGACCACCAACCCCCCCCCACCATGTATTAATGTTCTCCATTAACCTGAAGAACCATTTCACTATGCAGCCATTTAAGCTTGAAAATGTTCTGATACATCGGTTCTATATTAATATGTTGATACAACCTTATAACTTTTTAGTAATATTTAAGATGGAATTTCAGTGTACAGACATTTAAAAACAGTTATATTCCTTAAAAAAATCTGGAACAATAAGACACCCCACTAACCCATACAGTCCAACCCACGACTGCTTACCCCCAGAACCGCCAACCTCCAGTACCCCCGCTGACCCCTCCAGCCCAATCTCACTCTGACAAAAATGTAAAAGTTGGCTGCCCTGTATCTGCACATGAATAATCGAGGCGAAGGCAAAAATTATTGGTCATTTGGTCATCAGTCTTAAAGCGGAAAGCTGCTGATTACAAACAGCTCAGAGTTTACTGCTGCTATTGTGACGATGTCAAGCTTGTAACAGTAGCAGAGCCCTTTTTGGTGATATTTAGAACCATTTTCAAAAAGGTTCTATGTAACAACATATACAAACATTCTCCATCAATCTGAAGAACAATTTCACCATGCAAAGATCCATTTAAGCTTAAAAAGGTTCTATATAGAAGTCATGGATAGAACCATTCCCTTGAAGAACCATCTTCTTTAAGTGTGCACAGCACCCACCTCCAGCAGGAAAATGAATCATTTGACTCAGACATTCGATTCATTGTTTAACAAATCAAACTTCCCGTCACTAGTTCTGATTATTTTCTAATACATTAAATATATTAGAATTATTGCTTTTGTATTATTGTGTAGTGTTGATGTGGAAACATCCAAAATACAACCTTACGACTTGTTTTAGTGATATTTGAGATCAAATTTCATTGTCTATCCATCCATCCATCTATATTTGAGATGAAATTTCAGTGTCTATCTATCCATCCATCCATCCAGTAATATTTAAGAAGAGATTTCAGTATATCTATCTATCCATCCATCCATCCATCTAGTAATATTTGAGATAACCCTTTAAAAACAGTTCTATTCCGTAAAAAATTGTGGACCACCCCCAACCCAATACCATTCAACCCATGACCACCACCCCCCAAAACCTCCAACCTCAAATAGCCCCCCTCTCCCCGTCCCCCTGACCAATCCAGCCCAATCTCACTGACAAAAATGTAAAAGTTGTCTGCCCTGTATCTGCACACGAACAATCAAGGCGAAGGCAGAATCGCTGGTCATTCTCTGTTAAAGCAGAAAGCTGCTGATTGCAAACAGCTCGGAGTTTATTGCTCGTGTTTGAAGGCGTACAGATGCAACACTTCCCCTGCAGATGTGTTGTTTTATGTACAAGCTCACAGAACAGCCATAGCAATAAATACAAATTTCCAACGAAAATCTGAAAACAATTAAACTGAGCGTGTTCAACAAGCTTATTTACACAAGACCAAAATGTGCACACTCGTTCTGTACATACTGAAGCACAAAAAAGCCACTCACATACCTTTTTATACATCAAGTCAGTAAGATTATAGTGGAACATGCTGGAAAATGACTGATATGGATTATACATTATACATGATTTCGTGTGAGGACACTAGACAAAGTTAACTGTCAAAGACAACAGTGTGAACTCAGTGAGTTTAATGCTAAAGTCTGAACATGTGTTCAACTAATGGAAGCCAGTTGTGGAGGGATTCATTTCTGCATCATAACCCTTTAAAGCTCTTATCATCATATGAAAAATAGTTTTAAACTTTACAAAGCACCATTATGAGAATACTCTACTTTATTAAAAGAGTATACACGGACTAAATAAAACTGGGGGCAGTCATCGCTGGGAAGAAACTGGTTCATACACAAGAATGACCAAGACTTCTTTCAAATTTCAGAAACAAAAATGTTGGTAGATTCCATGATCGATGCATAATGCACATGCTAACATGCTAACGATGCTGGTGGGATCCAGTTAGCATGATCTTATTACAGAAGTCAGGCTCAGACTCAGGTTTCCTGGGCCTGTTTTCCCCTCATTGCCTTCAACAAAGCCTTTAAAATACAAAGAAAATTGTGAACATGCAGCTAAAACCTGTTTGACCACTCATACATTAAAAAAGTGGGAAATTAATCCTACATGACCTGAGATTAAATCCTGAAACAATTAAGCAATATACAAAGAACACATGGATACATTTCTTCAAATGAAAAGCCCTATGAAAGATTAAAGGTTCAGCGAAAAATCTAATTTATACAATTTTTCACTTCAGCTCATCAGCCAAGACATGTTTGGTGTCCAAATTTTGCTTCTTTAGTCTTGAGGAGCTACAAGGCTAATGTTGCTAACACTAGAGGTCAATAGTCACCCAAATCTTTTTTGTAAATACATCCTCAAAACTTCTCTTAACTCGCTCAAACCACATCCAGGTCTTCATTAAGGTCTTGCAGATTTCGTTTAGAACACATTAGACTTACTGTAACCTATAAAAATGAACAGAGCCTTAGCATGTAGCACGTTTTAGACAGGTGCCTGCTGCGTTCTGGCACACAATGACTTTCTTTTTTAGCACACAATAAGTTATACTGTGCTCTAAATCACGTTGACAAGTCTATAGCGCCTTAACAAACACCTTGATGCATGTTGAGAGAACTTTTGAAGACGTATTTACCAAAAAGATTTGGGTGACTACTGATTTCTATTGTTTATTAGCGACATTGACCTCCTAGTTCCACTTTTAGACTTGAGAAGCACAGTTTGTACACCAAGCATGTCTTGGCTTATCGACTACGTTGGGGTAAGTGGAAAACTGTCTAGATTAGATTTTGTGCTGAACTATTCCCTTAAGCACGATACAAACTCTTCAGCCCAAATCTTCTCTCGCACCGATGCTTCTAAAGTGCTCTCGAGCCAAAGACCCGCGGCTGCAATCATGCACGAGATCCTCAGAGCTGATTCAGAGTCAGCTTTTACATTCTGTTTCCTGATAAACATGACAAAAACAATGAGGAACTGATCCAGGATCAGGATTCTGTTCACCTCAGTGTCTTTTTAAGGGAACTCAAAATGTGACTGCAGCTCGTCTGGTGACAACAGCAAGGAATAAAGCTAAAGGAATATTTCAGCACTTTTCACTCTAATTTCTATCAGACAGTCGATCTCCACACACAAGAATTTCACCTTCCTCTGTGCTTAGGAAGAAGCAGAAAACAGGTTTTCTCTAAATATATTTAGAAACAAATGGGCAGTTAAACACTTTCTTCAGTCTGACATATCTGTCTGCTGTAAATCTGTATAGTGTGTTAATTTGGAGTTGGGGCTGGTTTACCAGAGGGAGGAATTTGTGTTTATACATTTCCAACACAGTAGGATGATGTAGTTCTAACAGTTTAATGGAAATGAAACAGGCTGTTGATGAAGTCCTTCAGTAAAATATGCATAAAAAACTTAAGAAGTTCTCTTAAGATATTCTTGAATATTTTCTTAGGAAAATCTTCATTGTTTTCTTGTGTACCCAGAAGGATAAGCGGTATAGAAAACGTGTGTGTGTTTTCTTATGTACGCTATGTTGCATTTTACCATGTACCATAAATGTCATGAGAAACAGTTTGAATTTGTAAAACTTATTTTTGTTATTAGTTTAATCCACTCAGAGGAGCAAAATGGAGAAAAACATCAAACCAAGCGTTTAAACAATTTTAGCAATCAAGAACTAGATGTGATGGTGGAAGAAACAGCCAACAGGGAAAAAATCATCTTTGGAAAATACAATAAATGTGCAGTGATGGCAGAAAGCAAGAGACGAGGACGGGCAGGACTAGATAAATTAATAAATTTAGACACTGACGTTGTCAACTACTACATCCTGAGACAACTGTGAGGCTGACGTAAGGTTAAGAAAACATTTAAGAAAATAATATTTTCCAAAATACCACTTGTTCTCAGAATTCTTCTTGGGGAAATGATTAAGAAAAGAAAATAAAACAATTCTTAAGAAGTTACTAGAAGAACAAAATTTTTTCGTAACTTTTTTCTTAAGAATGAAGTTACGAAAAAACACATTTAAGAGGATTTTCTTTCTTAAGACACTTTCGTAAATCCAGCCCTAAATCTGTCAATTTTTTTAGCCATATGCAAAGGTTCGATGTTTGAACACCCCAGATCAAATTATGTTTTACATGTTTTGTTCATTGTCTAAGTAAAAAAAAATACTGTTTAATTTTCACACTTAAATATGACACTTTTCTGTAAACTTTAGTGTACAATTTCTATTTGCTTGCCGAGTTTAACATATTAGCAAAATCATACTATATTAAATGGGCCATGGAAAACAATTTATGTTTATTTTTTCCCCACCAATGTGTTAAATTCAGCAAATAGAAATGTGAGGACTTGTTAACTCATTTTCATACAGAAAATCAACAAAACAGGTCATTTGACCGGGGTGCCAAGACCTTTGGCATACACCTGCCTTTCAGAGATGGTACTGGTTTGAGGGAAGAATCTGTAGTAATGTTACCTCATAAGATAGATGTAATGTTAGAATGTAACAGCTGTGAGTTCGAATAATGAGATATAGTCGTGTACTGAGCTCAGCAGCTGCTCATAGGCTTCCATTATAAGTGAGTTTTGAATGAACAGGTTTTCTGTTCTTTTCACAGTTCAGAGAAACGTGAAGGGAAAGGGAAATTATTGTCTGTGGTGATCGACGGTTTGATACAGAAGCAGTAGATAAAGATTCAGTTGAAAAAAGCTGGAAGATTCCTTTAAATAACTGCAGGGTATGAAGGTCGTCCTCCCGTCCTGAGTGCAGCTAAACACACGCAGACTCGTAACTTCTACTTCCTTCGTACAACCTGCACATCCACTCTGCATGACTATCCTGCATAGGTCCATACGCAGCTGTGGACGGCCACAGCGCTTCATAGTTTTACCTGCTCTCAATGGTCAGATTGATAACATAAAGGGTTTATTGAGTAGCTGGTGAGTTAAAGCACCAAACAGTGCAGTGCTGCGATCTGACCAGCCGTTCAGCTCGCAGCTCTAACCTGCTATTCGGGTCGGCTACTACAGCGGCCTTCGCTAGAGGCTTGACCCTTTGCATATTACAGTCGTATGCACCCCTGGTCAAATTACACTCGTTTTGTTGATTCTCTAAATGAACATAAGTGAACACACTTCTACACATTTTAATGCACAATTACTGTTTATTTATCAAAACTTAACATATTGGGAAGATAATATAACATAAAACGTGGCCTGTGCAAAAGTTATGGCACATTTTATATTTTATGTTTCATTTTTTTCCAATATGTTAACCAGAAAGGCACTAAAATGTGCAGAAAAATGCCACATTTAAGTGTCCTCCAGCAGAGGATGAGTTAACTTGTTTTCAGTCTATAAAACGAGTACTGTGACTTGGGGTGTTCAAACTTTTGCAACAGACTGTAGATGGATGCCCACATATGGGGACTCACAGTGAGCGCATCTGGAATCTTTGACTGAATCTCAGTAATGAGGAAAACTTCAACATTTAAGAGGACTTATCTGAAATCGTTTTATAGCAGCTGAGAGACGACAAAAAAAATGTACGGGCAGAAAAAAAAACAAAAAAATAAACGAAAGCAAAAATAGAGTCTTTCTGAATGGTGGTTTTATACTTTTTCTTCTTGCTGTATTTGCAAACTCAAGCCTCTGCAGTGACATCATGCTGCCACTGGACGACTCAGAATCCAGTCTGTGTATGTCTGCAAGGTCACTCCCTCTCCTCTAGATGCAGCCGGTCATTCCACAGCAAAGCCGCAGGTTTCCTCAATGGCCGTCAGCAGCTTGTCGTACAGTTTCTCGTAGCTCTCGTAGGGAGGAATGTCTATGCGATTGAAACTACAGAGACGAGATGACGGGGGAGAGAAGACAGTTTTATAAGAATACAAGTAAAACACATGCAGCAAAAAAGAAAACAGTATGAATGTAATTAATAAGTTTTAATGGAGACGTCTGATATTTCTCTGTGAAAATGTAAGACCATTATTTGTTGTTTATTTACCACGTGTGTGCTTTAGGCAGGTTGTTGGTGCTGGCATCGATCTGATGGATGGTGAACTGTCTGGGTCCTGCTGCACCTACACAATCAGCAAGATTTAGATGCCAAATCAGCCAAATCTACACACACATCTAGCTGTACGCACAACACAATGAATTATCACAATACAAAGATAATCTAAAGTTATATTCAATACCTTTTAACACCTTAAATGCTCAGGTGGCTCCAGACTTCCATTTCTCACTAAACAATCATTGTCTGACATGCAATGTCTGAATAATAAGCTTTAGGATGTAATAAGCCTGGGAATTTAGGGCTATTGTTTGTTAAAGGAACTAGAGGTGCACGGTTACCAAAGTTACCGAATGGACAACTATCACAGTAACAAGTGGTGTGTGGTTTTCACAGTTACCTGTACACTATGGTTACCATAGTAACTAGTGTTGTGTAGCTCCTACAGTGACTCACACAGAATAGTTACGAGAGTAACAAGTGGTGTGAAGTTTCCACGGTGACTAATATAGTTACCAGTTTAACCAGTTTGTGCAGTTTCTACAGTAACTGATACAGAATGGTTACAACAGTAATATGTGGTGTGTGGTTACCACAGTGACTACTATAGAATGGTTACATCAGTAATATGTGGTGTGTGGTTACCGCAGTGACTACTATAGAATGGTTACCACAGTAACAAGTGGTGTGTGGTTACCGCAGTGACTACAATAGAATGGTTACAACAGTAACACGTAGTCTGTGGTTACCACAGTAACAAGTGATGTGTGGTTACCACAGTGACTACTATAGAATGGTTACCGTAGTAACAAGTGTTGTGTGGTTACCACAGTGACTACTATAGAATGGTTACCGTAGTAACAAGTGTTGTGTGGTTACCACAGTGACTACTATAGAATGGTTACCGTAGTAACAAGTGTTGTGTGGTTACCACAGTGACTACTATAGAATGGTTACCGTAGTAACAAGTGTTGTGTGGTTACCACAGTGACTACTATAGAATGGTTACCAGAGTAACAAGTGGTGTGTGGTTACCACAATGACTAATATAGAATGGTTACCACAGTAACAAGTGGTGTGTGGTTGCCACAGTGACTACTATAGAATGGTTACCACAGTATAACAAGTGGTGTGTAGTTACCATAGTAACAAGTGGTGTGTGGTTACCACAGTGACTACTATAGAATGCTTACCACAGTATAACAAGTGGTGTGTAGTTACCATAGTAACAAGTGGTGTGTGGTTACCACAGTGACTACTATAGAATGGTTACCACAGTAACAAGAGGTGTGTAGTTACCATAGTAACAAGTGGTGTGTGGTTACCACAGTGACTACTATAGAATGGTTACCACAGTAACAAGTGGTGTGTGGTTACAACAGTAACTAATATAGAATGGTTACCACAGTAACCAGTTTGCCCATTTAGTACAGTAACCAGCAGTGTACAGTTACGTCGGAGACTCATACAGCGTGGATACCAACATAATCAGTATTATGAAGTTATTACAGTTACTAATACAATATGGGAACCACAGTAACTACTGCTGTGCTGTTACCACGGTAGCCAGCAGTGACTACTGTTGCACGATTACCATGGTAACCAGATGTGTGTGGATGGTGTTTTTTTTTACCCTGTAAGGCTTTGAAGCCCTGCAGAGGAACTCTGGAGGAGCCGGTGACGAACTGCAGCAGCCTCGCTCTCCTCTCCTCATCAAACAACTCCACCGCCTTCCAGAACCACTTCACCACATTACTGTCGGCTGTGCAGTGCTTCAGCCGCGTGTTCGCCCTCCAGTCATGAATATCAATCTTCCCCAGACCACAGACGATCAGCTGCAGGACAGAGAGGACACGTGCTGTGGAAATCCTACATACACTCCCATACAGCATACATCTTTCTTCCTGTGACTCCACAGGGTGTGTATGAGTGTGTGTGCGTGAGTGTGTGTGTGTGTGGTTCAGTCCATACCTCTAGTTCCTTCTCGTCGAAGGCTTTGAGCAGGTGCTGTGGAATGACCTCGTTGAAGCCTTTCTGCAGAGCCAGGAACTGAGCCTCGATCCCATGCAGGAAACGCCAGTTTACATACAGCCTACAGATTAAACACACAGGTTAGTTCAGTTGCTGTGGTAATCAAACAGTTCAGTTACAGTACAATTACCCAAAACAGAGAAGGACAATAGAACACAGAGCAGCTAAACTAGAAGCTACAGAGAAGCTGTCAATTTAACATGTTCACAATTAAAACTCTCTGACTGAGCTCAGTGGATACGTTTAAAGCCATAATAAGTTAAGTCTGAAGTTTGTTGGGTCTGTAAGAATGTTAAGTGGATGCACAGAATTGGTGTCTTTGAGGGCAAATAAAAGTGCCGGACAGGCTAATGTATCATCTTTGTGAACCAAAGTTTCCCCGGTGGCCTACTTACCTGACGTACTCCTTCTTGGTCTCCTCGGTGACGGGGACGCTCTTGCCATTGGGTTTGAGCTCATGCTGAATGATCTGACCGTAAGCACTGTGCTCAACGCAGAATGTGTGGTCGAGCACCCCTGTGATGTCATTTTCCCTGTCCAACACAATGAGAATGAGAAAGTCACCCAAGTTATTAATCACAAAATTCATGTTTTAGTACATTTCATGTTTCAAAATGATTGAATTTATTGTGAAAAGTTACAGCTACTGTGCAGTTTTGTGGAGAGGAAAACCATCCTTTACATTTTTGTCATATTTTGTCATGTTTTGACATAATTACGTAATTTAGATATGAAATTATGTAAAAACATATAAATATTTAGCAACCAACAGAGATACCATAGCAGCTGGTCAGCAACACCCTGGCAACCATCTAGAATACAATAGAATTAATCTGGCAACACCGTAGCATCCACCTGAAATACCAAAGAAACTGCTTAGCAACACCCTAACAACCACCAGAGATACCACAGCAGCTGGTCAGCAACACCCTAGCATCCACCTGAAATACCAAAGCAACCGCTTAGCAACACCCTAACAACCACCAGAGATACCAAAGCAACTGCTTAGCAACACCCTAACAACCACCTGAGACACCATAGCAGCTGATCAGCAACCCCGTAGCATCCACCTGAAATACCAAAGCTTTTGCTTAGCAACACCCTGACAACCACCAGAGATACCATAGCAGCTGGTCAGCAACACCCTAACAACCACCTGGAATACCAAAGCAACCAGTTAACAACACCTTAACAACCACCAGAGATACCATAGCAGCTGGTTAGCAACACTCTAACAACCACCTAGAACACAACAGCAATAACCTGGCAACAACCTAACAACTACCAGAGAATAGCAGCCAGGCAGCAACACCATAGCAAACACCTAGAATACAATAGCAATAAACTCTTAACACCCTAGCAACCACCTGCAATACCACAGCAACTGGTTAGCAACACCTTAACAACCATCATGGGTAACATAAGAACCACAGAGCAAGATCCACCTGGGACAGCATTACAACAATCTACAAACACCTTAACAATCCTGAGGAATTATGTAAGCTGTCTTCAATCACTTTTCATTTTTACGGGAAATGAACTTTTCTACTTATGTAATATAAACATATAGCAAAATTCAAAAACAAAATAAAATTTAAATATTCACAAGTAATAAGTCAAATTATCTCCTGATGTTATTACTCTGGGGCTACGTGTGTATGAAGGTGCTTTTGCTCGCTCACAGTATCCAGACGAGGCTGTTGTGAAGATCCGGGTCCACAGACTCCATGTCGTCCAGGGTGATGGGTTTGCCCAGCAGCTGCTTATAGAACGGCAGAGTGAAACCCCCGTCTATGTAATGACCGTGGAACACAGCCATGCCCATGATCCGGCCCACAAAGTGGAAATACGACAGGTGCTCCTGCAGCACACACACGCCCACATGGAGTTAATAATGTGTTTATACAGTGAGATAGTATGAAATAATGTGAAATTGAATGGTTTGAAAGTAGATGGTTTTTTAAATACATACATGTCTGTGTGTGTAAATAATTTAATGGGCTAAACATAGTCTGTGTAAAAGTTATGGCGCATTTTATATTTTTTCAACAACTAACATTCAGCCATTAAAAAACGTCATATTTAAGTTTTCTGTAGAGGATGTGTTTCACCTACAAGAGGATGTGTTGATTTTCTTTTACATACGACTGCAAGGTTGCTAATGATATGCAGTATGTCCTCAGGTATGTGTGTGAGTGTGTGTCCTCACCGGGTTGACGGCAGAATCAGGGTTGATCTGGAGGGTGTAGATATCGTCGCGTGAGTACTGGAACAGGCCGTAATACGGGTTCAGCATCTCATGGGATAACAAATACAGCCATTCTCTGAAGAAGATACAGCAGCACACAGAGCAGGGCGTCAACTAATGAATACTAGACATTCTGTAAATTTGTGCAGCCTCATATGATATAATTATCAAATATAAATGTGAATTATTTTTAACATTTTAGAACACGATTTTTTTTTTTTATTCCAAAGTGACTCTATGCAAAAACATCTTCATCTCTGGGTAATTTAATGTTTAACTTAAAAGAAATCCACTTCCACACCATCCTTTATACACTAAAACACATTTCTTCATATATAGCTATATATATATAGCTTTTATTTTTATTACAGTTAATGAGTATGCTTTTTACATATTCATCATTATAGAATCAGACAATGACCGCCTTAAAGTGTTATCAGTAGTAGGATTTGACTGATAATTCACAGTCTGATTGATATAATACACTGATACACAGTGTATATTATCTGTGAACACAGCACAGTAACAACTGAGCCATGAATTTTTGTCTGTGTGCAAATTAAAGAGGATTGGTCCTCTGATGTCCTGTACCTGGCCACACCCCCATAGTCCAGCCCCTCCTCTCCTCTAAACTTCACCATCAGTCTTTTCCACAGGTCCTTCTGCCTCATCTTCATCACCTGCCGATACGACTCCTGCACACACAAACACACACACACACACAAACGTGTAATTTAGTAAATCTTCACAACTTTGGATGACAGAAAGCAATGCAAACGCATTGTAGGGGTTTCAGGGCCATTATTTGTAGCGTGAGCCTAGATACATTTACGCTGAGGATCAAAACGGAACGATTAAACATCTAACCAGCCATTAAAATTAGTGGCGGGATTATGAATGAGCCCAATGGACCTATGCCCACCCACTTTATTTACTGACCCACCCAAAATGACTTCTCAAATTTAATTTAAACATTAAAGTTTTAGGAATGTGAATCACTTCCCCCCCCACCCCACCAAAAAAGAAAATGCACTCATTCATCTGAATCTTCTTGAGTTTTCACATTGCCCCATTATTTAAAGCTGTATTCATTACTTTTTGATTATTAATTATTTAAAGTCGATAATTCACTTCCATCCTCAGAAGACACTTTTTGACTGAGTTCTCTTTGAATTCTCTTTCAACACAGTAATTAGACTCTTCCGCTTGGGGAAGGGGTCTGAAGCACAATCCTCGCTACAAAATATTCTTCTGCACATTGTGTGCAATTACACATTTCCTCCAGAGAGGTCTCCAAATCCCCAAAACCCACAGAGTGTAAGTTTAAGTTGACTGCGATTATTGTTCACAGGAATAAGCAGAATGTAAACTGGGTGCGTTTTTATCAGATGCATGTAAATCAAATAAAACAGAAAATGCATTTATTGAGTCTTACAAAACAACAGAAGTTATAACTCTTGTAATAGCACTTGGTCCTATAACACCTTTAGAGGGCAGTGGTGAGTAATGTTTGAGCCACCATCTGTCATCAGGAGCAAGGAAATAAGACAGACGACCTGCCAATCTGGCAACTTCAGTCTTGTACTTCAGTAGTTGCATACAATTAATAAAAGAAGACACATTGTTAATTACAATGATTTATATGGCTAAAATGTCATGAACGTGGCAGGCCTATAAGCATTATTCCCTCCTGAGCCAACAGCACACTCCAAACTCAAACAGTACAAGAAATCTGAGTTTATTGAGTCCTGCATTATCAGCTACGCGGTCAGCATTTTGGAAATTAATGTGTGGAGGACCATTATGTGTAAGAACAGAACTCCTAAAGTAGTAAGGAGAACTAAAGGACACCACAGAGCATACAGCAGTAGATAAATACAGTCAGCATGGTTCTCCAACTCATCAACCAGCTCATTAACACTGAAGGCACACATGCAAGACATCGCCGTTTATTAAAGTTATAGTAGTCACTATTGTGGCTGACTAGCAGGCCGTGTGTCCTACTGCAGCTGCTTCCTACAGCACTTTGTGCGGTGCTTAGCAAACACCTTTATTAAAACAAACAAAATCTACATTTTTTCCTACTTTTCCCCCCGAGATACACGTATAAAGTTTGTTTGGCTTTACATGTCCAAAAATGGCCATAATTCATTTTTTTCAGCAGTATTTTCCAACCATTCTTTATCCCTTAGAATTAAACAGGCTGTTCTTATTACTGTACCTTTAAAACTGATATATGTAAATGAGCTCTGTTCTGATTGGCTGCCCTGAATTTCATGTGATTCAAAATGCAGTCCAGGCTGAAAGACTCCTTATAACTTCTACATGAATGGCTGGATATGTGGAGAGTTTCATTCCAAAATGCTGTATATCCATTTGTAGCAGTTCTGGAACATTTTGGAACATTTTTTACTCTTAAAAATCATGGTTTCCTCAGGGGTTCTTTAGTAAAGAAAAAAAAGAAAACTGATCTATATAGAAACATGAACACTCAAAGAGCCCTCTGCATGATTAAAGGGCTATTTGCATCATGAAAGGGTTCTTCAGGTTGATGGAGAACATGCTGAAGATGGTTCTATCTAGAACCTTTTTGAAAAGGGTTCTATATAGCATGCAAAATGGTTCTTCTATTGTTACAATGTCAAGCTTGTAACAACAGAAGGACCCTTTTGGGTGTGATATAGAAGCCTTTTCAAAAAGGTTCTATATAGAACCATCTATAGCACATTCTCCATCAAACTGAAGAACTTTTTCATAACGCAAAGAACCCTGTAATCATGCAAAGGGTTCTCTGAGTGTTCATGGTTCTATACAGAACCATCTCCTTACTAAAGAACGCTTGAAGAACCATTTTGTTTAAGAGTGTGGTTTGTAGTGAGTTTTGCAATGAACCCCTTCATATGTAAATCTGTGGGTTTTTATGACAAAAACACAAAAACAATGAACTCTAAAAACAGCCTTAGTTTCCATTTATGGTCTGTACGGACTTTTGATTGAACTATACGTTTTGAAACTCTAATGTTTACAGACTCTTTTATCAGAAAAAACAGGGAAATTCAGTTTTCTGTGATAGAGGCCCTTTAAGGTTTATACTTGTTGCAGACCACCCGCCTGTTTACACTGAGAAATTCTAATTTGGCTCAACCGCAAACTTTCCGTGCCCACTTAAAACGGCAGTCCTGGCATTGCTGCTGCTTGAAATGATGAGTTAGCGTCTTGATAGCAGATCCGATAGTCCAAGATGATTTACTGAGTTTTTATTCAGCAGCCAAACTGATTTTTTTCTGAACTGTTGATGAAGATGAAGGAAAATGCTGTGTGATGATCTTTGGCTAACGCTGCATGCCAGCACTCTGACCCCACTTCTCTGCCTCTTTAAAAACATGTTGCAAAACATGCTCCCAGGATGGCTATACCGGCCCTGGGGCAGAACGGCCATGAATAACAGCCTGCAGTTCCTTAACAGTCTGTACAAGCAGCTCCTGAGAAACTGTGGAGGGAAAAAAAGAACACGGAGAGGAGGGGTGGCGGCGGTGGTGGTGGTGGTGGTGGGGTGGGGGGGGCGGTTTGGGGATGCTTGGGTATGATGTCAGCTGAAGCTGGACAATGTGAGAGAGAGTGAGCTAACAGCGCTCTTTAAAATTATGTAATAACACTCCACTGTTTCCACTTCTCCGAGCTTTAAACAAAACAGAATAAAACCCCCAGCGGAGGCAGAAAGAACACATTCCTCTGGCAGCTGCTGCCTTCTGAGCACATGTTAAAGCGATAGTTCGGCGAAAAACCTAATTTACACAACCTCCAACCGTACCCCCACCCAAAACAGTCAATCTGCTAAAACATGTTTTATGTTAGATGTTTGTTTCTTTAGAGGCTAATGTCACTAACAAGCAATGGAAACTAATAACCCACCGATTAGCATCCTGCCAGATTATCACACTCTGTGTCAAGCTGTTAAGTAATCTCTAACAGACTCGCTTAAACGGCTTGTGACACTGTATGACATACTCTTATCTATAAACATGGAAAAAAGCTAGCTAGCGCACAGCTTTCATGTTGGCTGAATTAGCATTTCTTCTGAAATGAAGGGTACTAATAGTGAGTTTGTGCTCCTTTGCTGCAGTAACAGCCTCTACTCTTCTGGGCTTTAAACTGAATGTTGGAACATTGCTGTGAGGATTTGATTGAGCATTAGTGAGGTCAGGTACTGATGTTGGATGGTCAGTTCTGGACACTCCAGCTCATCCGAAAGGTATTGGATGGAGCTCCATCACTCCAGAGAACGCAGCTCCACTGCTCCACAGCACAATGCTGGGGGGCTTTATACCCCTCCAGCCCATGTCTGGCACTGGGCAGGGTGACCTTAGGCTCCTCCAGTGTGTCCCATTTATTGCCTATGGAGATTATTCAAGCTGCAATCAACTGAAAGTAGCTGAATGTGAACACTTTTGGACATACAGTGTATCGCTTTAATAAACCAATGAGCCGTGACCTGCTGGAAAGTACAGCGTGGTTCCTAAGCAGCCTGTTTCCTCATATTCGCGCTGATGCGGGACACTCAGGAACAGGCTTTTCTTGGTATCTCCTCTGTCAAGGAATGCCAATGAAGTAATACTTTTCATCACTGGCTGCCAAGACAAGAGTTATGAAGTTACATCTGGGCCAAACTTCCCAATCAACCTCTCCTCCACTCCTCTCTCTCTCTCCCTCTCTCAGCCCCTTCCTTCCCCTGCACTGAAATCATGCAGCAGGAATGCTTTCCTTTCAAGAAACACATGACTGGAGAGGAGAGGAGAGGAGAGGAGAGGAGAAAAGAGGAGAGAGGAATGGAACAGGAGAGGAGAAGGGAGGAGTGGTGAAACGAAAGGAGAAGAGAAGACAAGAGAAGAGAAGAGAAGAGAAGAGAAGAGAAGAGAAAGGAAAAAGGAGAAGAGAAGAGGATAAGAGAAGGAAAAAAGAGGAAAAGAGAAAACAGAAAAGAGAACAGAAGAAAGGAAAAGAAGAGAAGAGAAGGGAAAAAGATGAGAAAAGAGAAGAAAACAGGAGAAGAGAAGAGAAGAGAAGAGAAGAAAAGAGAAGAAAAGAAGAGAAGAGCAGAAGAGAAGAATGGAGAGGGAAACAGAAAAGGAGAAGAGAAGGGGAAAAAAGAGAGAAAAGAAGAAAACAAGAAGAGAAGAGAAGAGAAGAGAAGAGAAGAGAAAGATGTGCTGCTGTTTGAGAAACGTTCCTGGTTTAGTATGCAGCTTCTCTGAAAGACCAGGGAGATGGTGCTGTTCCACAGTGCACCTGACCCGTGTCCATCCCAGCTATTGTTAGAAATGTTTTGTTGCGCGCTTTTCCTGTAAACTATTTTACGTTTCTACATATAAGACCTATAAAAACCCATGTTTGCTTTGTAGACGGTTCTACTACACCAAAACGGCTGTGAAACAGTGTTTGATCAGTGTACACTAAACAGCTTCCCCTATTGTGTGCCAAAGGCCTTTTTCGTACACAATAGACTACATCTGGATGGGATTTTGTTCAGAGAAGTGCTGCCCACCACTGTGCCTGCCACGTTTCAGGGTTAAGACCAGGGCTGAGCGATATGGCTAAAAATTTCATCATAACATATTTTCACAAATGATTCAATATGTCATTGTTGATAGAACAACACCAGTCTCTCCAAAATGTTAACTTCACAAAAGAAAGAAAGGAGTACTTGGCTTTAAATACGTTTTTTCTTTAAGTGCAAACTATAGTAACCTACTTCTATTGGTCCATTCAGCAAAATTTTCACACAATGAAAGTAGTTTCATTTTCAATTGGAAGAAAAAACAAAAAAACAAAAAAGGACATATATTCAATAACCAATACACACTATATGCATTTCCTATTGGTCAATTTTATGTTTTAATCGCATTTTGAAACTGGAAGAAAACAGAATTTACTGTTATTTATTAATTATTATTCTCAAATTATTTGTTTTATTATTCTGGTTGCTTTGCATTACATCTGATTTAAGAAAATCCAGGCTGTTCCACACAGCAAAGCACATGCAGCCTTTATCTCCACAATCTTCTCTTGTTTTGAGACATTTTACTCCATCTCACACCCTTTTACCCTCCATTATTTCAACACTGAAAACAGCTAGATCACTAGCTCTGTTTTGATGTTGCGAGTGAATGGCTAGACTTCTTCACTGTCTAGCAAGTAAAAGATGCACACTGTCACCTTGATAGCCACTGTTCATAAAATCAAGACCTCATTAACACAGTATCGACTGCCAGCCTTAGTTCTTAGTTCTGGAGTAGGTGCTCACCTCAAAGATCTCCTCTCTACAGACCTCGATGCGGCAGTGGCCGGCCTGTGGCTGCGCCTGGGACAGCTCCTGCCTCAGAACCTTCAGCTTGTGCACCAGATCCCGCTTATATTTCGGCACGGTCAGACACTCAGCCTCCTCTGGGACGTTACACAAAGCAGACTGGTCCTTTATCTGGGGGTGACGACTGGAGAGAGAGAAAATAGAAATTAGATAGAATGGAACGCTCCCCGATTATGACAGCACATCTTTTCTTAAACAAACAAACAAAAAAGAACCAAACAATCAATGAACTGGCTTAGTGATCAGGTCATTACAGAGCCATATTTAGCAGACTCTCCACAAGGTGGAGCTACCAGCACTCAAGTCACTTTTGCGAGCACCACTGAAAGAGAGGACACCCACACCAGCAGAATCTCACAAATGCATGCATGCTTGTAGCTACAAATTTTAAGTGTATGAAATAAAATAAAATGGTTGATGTTACAAATTGCATGTATATGAAGTAAAAGGTTTTGTTTAACGAGGATGAACAGCTCGTCAGGCAGCTAACAGGCTAACAGGCTCCTCCGATAATATTCAGTTACGTCTTACCACTGTAAATATACAACATGCAAAACATATTTAAAAGTCTTTAAGTTTTCTGGAATTTTTAAAAGGCTCTGCATAGTATGTTATTTTTCAGTTAATTTTTACTGCACGCCATAAAAAAACAGAAAAATACAGATTATTCGATTAATCAGAAAATTGTTAGATTACTAGATTAATTGATAGTAACCCTAGCCCTACTGTTAATTCATAAAAACAAATGGACAAATTCTGTGGAAAGTGCAGATTCAAACCACCACATTCGTCTTTATAAGTAGAACAGAAAGATATTTTATTATGATTCGAATCTGATGAAGTTATTGTTGTGAGTATAGTCATGTTTATTTTGAAAGAAAAAAAAAAACATCCATTACATTTTTGGCAAGTTGTCAATGTCTGACATCAAAATAAAAGGAGAAAATTAGAGAGCAGAACCTGTTGATGCAGAATGTAAATGTAACTCACTATTTATGTAATTACATTTAATTAATGATGCAAAGTCAATACAAATGTACAGCAAAACAACAATAACTCTCCACCTCAGAGTGTTATAAGTTTAAAAATTAACTGACCTTTCCAATCCACTGCATGCTTTACCCCACCGAGCAAATATGTAGATCTGGTCAGCATCTAAAAGAGGCCTCACTGCTCAGCTAATGCTAAAACAACCCTGCAGTCTGCTGTTTAATCACAGGCTATTCTAACCATTCCAAACACAAATATTTTGCCAAGAGAACAGGAAAAGAAAGGAGATCATATTTGTGCATATGCTGTGAATTCTGGCAGTACGCTTTCAGAGCCACATCAGGAAAAAGTAATCTCCCAAACCCTCAACAGCCTTCCTGCCCTGCTTTACCAACATATTTACTCTAGCGCTCACAGAAAAGAGAGCTTTGTGTTATGGACGTTGTGAAGGTGAACATACAGGAGGAGCTGAAAAAGAGTGAGAGTGCAATGGAGGAAAAGGAGGGCAGGGAAAAAAGACTAGAGCGGAGCAAACGTTTGAAGGAACATGCCTAAAACAGTTCAAACAAATTGTCTGCCTAGCTTTAACATCTCTATGTCCTTGCTTAAGCCTCAAAATTTAGGAGTCAGTCATGCTCTTTACCCAGCAAACTAATATACTCCATCAGTGTATCTGTTTCATTAAAGTATTTAAGCAGTTTTCAGGAGAGTATTCAGATTGGTCAGCTTTAACCTGTCTGCAACTAGACTTTCCTGGTTTTGTGAGAAATTCCAGGAGAAAGATTCCATCATTCACGCTGTCGTATTTTTTTAGCATATATAATTACACTGAGTCGTTTCTGAAGAAAAGCTCATGCACAGCAGTCAGCAAGGGGAAAGCCCAGAGTAGGCCAACCCAACATTTATTCACCAAACATCAACAAACCCAAACCTGTATGTGGTCGCTGGGAGTGTTGAGAATATTCCTCCCTCCATTCACACTGGTTTATCTGGCTTGACAGTTCTTTTACTGAAACTTTCTAAACTTGAGTGACCATGTTGTTTTAGTGTTTGGTGGACAATGGTGGTGTTTGAATGGGAGTGCTGGCGTTTGAATAGAAATACTAATGTTTGAATGGGAATACTGATGTTTGTTGACAATGATGGTCTGTGGTGGAGAATGGTGGCGCTTGGTAGAGAATGGTGGCGCTTGGTAGAAAATGGTGGCGCTTGGTAGAAAATGGTGGGGCTTGGTGGAGTATGATGACGTTTGGTGGAGAATGGTGGCGTTTTATTGAGAAATCCTGCATTTGATAGACAGAGACGGTGTGGTGGAGAATGATGGTAATTGGTGGAGAATGATGGTGTACGGTGGAGAATGGTAGTGTCTGATGGGGAACAGTGGTGTTTTTTGGAGAATGTGTTTGGTAGTGATGTATGTTTTAGAATAATGGTGTTTGTTGGAAAATGGTGGTGTTTGATGGAGAATGCCGTCTGACGGAGAATGGTGGTGTTACAGAACAGAATGTGCGTGTATGTTGGCGAATGGTGGTTATTGTTGGAGACCAATAGTGTTTGATGGTGAATGACTGTCTGGAGAAGAATGGTGGTGTTTGCTGTAAAATGCTGAATGCTACAGAATGATGGTGTTTGTTAGAGAATGGTGGTTCTTGTTAGAGAATGGTGGTGTTTGTTAGAGAATGATGGTGTATGTAGAGAATGGTGGTGTTAGAGAATGGTGGTGTTTGTTAGAGAATGATGGTGTATGTAGAGAATGGTGGTGTTAGAGAATGGTGGTGTTTGTTAGAGAATGATGGTGTATGTAGAGAATGGTGGTGTTAGAGAATGGTGGTGTTAGAGAATGGTGGTGTTTGTTGGAGAATGATGGCGTTTGTTAGAGAATGAGGGTGTTTGTTAAAGAATGGTGGTGTTTGAATGAGAACGCTAACGTTTGATGGACAATGATGGTCTGGGTTGGAGAATGATAGCACTTGGTGGAGAATGATGATGTTTGGTGGAGAATGGCAACATTTCATGGAGGATGGTGGCATATGACGTAGAATGGTGGTTTTTGGTGGAATATGGTGGTGTTTGATAGAAAATGGTGATAAATATGGTCTGATAAAGAACAATGGTTTCTCATGGTGAATGGTTGTCTTTGTTGGAGAATGGCAGTGTTTGATGGGAATGGTGGTATTTGTTGGAGAATGGCAGTGTTTGATGGAGAATGATAGTGTTTGATGGAGAATGGTAGTATTTGTTGGAGAATGGTGGTGTTTGATGGAGAATGATAGTGTTTGTTGGAGAATGGTGGTGTTTGATGGAGAATGGTGGTATTTGTTGGAAAATGCTGAATGCTGCAGAAGGATGGTGTTTGATGGAGAGCAATGGCATTATGGTGTTTGATATAAAATAGTGTGTTTGAAAATGATGGTGTTCGATGGAAAATGGTGGTGTTTGAGAATGACTGTTTGATGGAGAATGGTGGTGTTTGAGAATGATTGTACTTGATGGAGAATAGTGGTATTTGTTGGAGAATGGTGATGTTTGATGGAGAATGGTGGTATTTGAGAATGACTGTGTTTGATGGAGAATAGTGGTATTGGTTGGAGTATGGTGGAGTTTAATGGAGAACAGTGGTATTTGTTGGAAAATGCTGAATACTGCAGAATGATGACGTTTGGTGGAGAGCAAAGGCATTTGACGTAGAACGGTGTGTTTGAAAATGATTATGTTTGATGGAGAGTAATGGCATTTGATAGAAAATGGTAGTGTTTGATGGAGAATGATTGTGTTTGGTGCATGACGGAGAATCACGGAGAATGGTGTTAAACGTCAGCCCATGCTGCTACATTCAAAATCCATTCCTTTAAAGATGGAGAACAGTGGTGCTAGTTGGAGAGCACTGGTGTCTGCTGGAGAATGCTGGCGCTTGTTGGAGACTGAAAGGTTATCATAACCTGTGCTACAGAGTGCGGCTGTGTAGAGGCCCAACATTCCTCAAAAATGCCACAGCCAGTCTACAGGGTCACGGCACCAACCACAGAGACTAAACATCAGCACTTCTGCCAGTGTGGTTTTCAGAATCTGAGCAGCGTGCACTAACGCCCACCCTTTACAACTGTACTTTAAAAATACAGAACAGAACTCCATTTGGTCTGCTCTATTTGGACCAGACCTTTAAAATATGTCTCTGGTGTGTCTGAACGCAGTGAGGATGTGTAATTAAGAAAGCTGGTCCTTCTTTCACTGGCTCGCTGTCAGAGCCACTCATGCCAACAAGCGGGTAGCGACTGAGGTTAGTGACCACAAACTGTGGAGAGAAAAAGGAAACAGAAACGGAGGAAGCTTTAAACAAACGCGCCGGGTCTATGTTGGATGGCGCTCCAGCGCAGGATAATAAGGTCATTTAAAGGCAATGTGTAATTAAACATACATTTGGCATTCCTCTGGTCGGTTTTGGCCTGAGTTGTCGGAAAGCCACTTTGCACACCATGCCACATTTTTTTCCAACACAATGAAACAGAACAAGCAAAAGAATACTGAGGGAACATGTTTCATGCATGAAGGTTCATAAACTTAAATATGTGCTGCACTGATCTGTTTCGTTCTTTTGTTTTTGAAATACAGCAAGGCAGCCTTCACTACTCCTCTGAAAATCCATGGCATTATGAAACCATTAGTAAACTTAAGGTTTAATGGTTAATATGTGGTTAATATAAAACAGGCCTTGACTAAGAAGACTCGAAAGTTCAACAGAACTGGCATCACCCCTCCCCTGTGGGATAGGAAAGTGTATATTTCAAATTCAGTTCTTTACACCTGAAGCTTAGGAACTGTGGAAAATTCATAGACTTTTCATTATAATATACCCCATTTTAAACCTTCCATGTCATTAAAACTGACCGAAACCAATCAGATTCCACCAGATTTGCACTATTTGTGCACTATTTTGGTCTAGATCCAAAACTAAAACCTGTTCACTATATAGTATACTATTTTGGGATATGTCCAAAACAATGTCCCTATTCAATATGTAGTGCACTACTTTGGGATATGTCCAAAACTATGTCATATTCACTGTACACTGTATTATTTTAGGCTATATCCAAAATATGCCCTATTCCCTATACAATGCCCTTTTTGGGCTATGTGCAAAAAAACATCATATGCACTATATATTGCACTATTTTGGGCTATGTCCACTTCATAGTCCACTGTTTTGGGCTATGTCTAAAACTATGCCCTGTTCACTATATAGTGCACTATATAGTGCGCTATAGTGCGATGTTTTGGGCAACATCTGAAACTGTGTCCTATTCATAACATAGTGCACTATTCTGGGCCCTGTCCAAAACTGCATCCTATTTACTATGTAGTGCACTACTCTGGGTTACGTCTGAAACTATGTCCCATTTACTGTATCCCATTCACTATACAGTGTGCTGTTTCTGGCTATATTCCAAAACTATGTCCTGTGCATTATATAGAGAATAGGGCATATGTTTTATTTTATTTTGGTGCAAATAAATATAACAAAACAAATCAAATAGAAATGATTCTAACATTCCAACAAAATCAGTGCAGTTAAATCACCACCTTCGTCCATTTTTCCAACTCTAGTACACACATAAATGTGGACGTCCTAGTCAGTTCCCTGGGGAGAGCAGACTTGTCGCTGTTCTTAAGTAGTGTGGATATGTGGTGTGCACATTTGGCGCCTACTGTATAAAGAGTCTTTTGAAAGTGTGGATGTGTGTGTGTGTGTTTGTTTTATATGTGAGCCACCTCCACGGTGCTCAGAAGCCCGGTGTTTATTCAGTCTTACTGGGATTTTGGCCCACCGACGAGTTCAACAGTTCACAGGCCAGTGTGCCTTACCAATAGAAGGAGAAGGCCAAGCACTGAGCCAAACCCCGCAGCGTGATTATACAACTCTACTGCACTGAACCTGAGATACACTGTGTTCAAAATGATCCAAAATCACTACATTGGAAAAAAGAAGTACAATATAAAACACTTATAGAGAACAGATTCCGCAGAGTCCTCTAGAGTCTTTGCAGAATTGTTCACATTCGCGTTGATAGGAACCAGACGTCAGAAGAGCTAAAGCACTCTTACAGAAAGCTATTACATAAAATGATTGTAAATACATTGCCTGATGTCTGATGTCTTATAACAGTTTTGCAGTAAGATTTTAGCCTTTTTTAAGATCCATTCATGGTGGAGGAGCACATGCAGGGTGTTGTAAGCCAAAATAGTCCCCAAAACTATATATTCTTAAATCACTACTATTTTACCATAATCAACATTCCATATAAAAACTCAGAAGACACATGCCAGTTCACTGGTGGTTTTAGATAGTAAATAAAATGGCTATATTGGTGTTGTAGACAGAGTGACCCCTGGTTGATAACATCATCACTGTAAAGAAATTAGAAATTAGTGTCTGTAAATTTCTCTGCACTGAAGGACTCTGCTTACATCTCAGTAATATAACTGAAAAATCTGTGGAATTCCCATTTAGCTAAACAATATGGTATTCTAACACTACGTGGGTTTGCTCATCACTCTGTGACAGTTGTCACATTCTGTCATATACAACATGGTGGATTTTGGGTATCCTGTGTCCACTATGATACATCGTTTGCCCATTATCTTTTGAAATGTATTGGAGGATTGTAATTGGATATTCTTCATTACGTTTTGGGTCACTACACAATGACAGACTCCCAAAATAGCACACTACAAAGTGAATATGGCACAATTTTGGACATAGCCCAGTATATTGCACTGTATGATGAATAAGCTATAGCCATACAACTATGTATTGTATGTAAAATAAATATAGAAGAATAAATATCAATAATATTGACACAATAAGCAGTGATTTTATATAAGGCAACACTTTTTTTATGCGATTTTGTCCTGTGTTCTCCCAAATTTAGTCATATTCAATTTTACCCACTAGTCAGGACTCCCCGAATCACACAATACTACCAACGCTAGGAGGGCGAAGGCTAGCATAGGCTTTCTCTGAGATCTATGAAACGCCACTGCGTCTTTCCCGAACTGCCGCTAATGCAACATCACTGCACGGCTGAACACACTTGGAGGAGAACACTAACTGCTGGTTCTGTTCCATCAGCTAACAAATGCTTACGCTAGCTAGCATCACGTTAAGTGATGGGGAGAGGAGGGGCCCTCCCACCCACCCAGAGAGAGTAAGGCCAGTTGTGCTCTCTTGTTATTTATACATACTATTGTTTATAGTCATCATACAATATACGGTTTAGCTAATAAGTACAATGGCTGAAGTCTGGAACCAAACCTTTATCCTTTGTGCTGACTCCCAACATCTCTTACTGCTGATATTAAATGTTTAAAACAATTTGTTGAGCTGTGCAAGACTTTTGCATAGCACTGTATTTTCAGACATAGCGTCCTAATCTTACTCACTATACACCGACCGGCCACTTCATTATGTCCACCTCCTTGTTTCTGCACTCACTGTCCATTTTATCAGCTCCACTGACCATATAGGAGCACTTCGTAGTTCTATAATCACAGACTGTAGTCCATTTGTTTCTCTGCATACTTTGTTACCCTGTTCTTCGGTGGTCAGGACCCCAACAGGACCCCCACAGAGCAGGGATTATTTGGGTGGTGGGTCATTCTCAGCGCTGCCGTGGTGGTGGTGTGTTAGTGTGTGTTGCGCTGGTACAAGTGGATCAGTCACAGTAGTTTTGCTGGAGACTTATTTTTTCTGTTTCACAGAACCAATAGGTTAGTTTTGTTTTGTCCCGTTTGCTGTTTGTGATAGCAACTGGTTAGCTTTGCAGCAGCAACGCTAACAACGGTTTGCCAACCCACAACATAGCTAAGTTACATTACTTGCTGTGCCATTGTTCATTCTAGCATTATGCTATTTGTCGGCACGGCATTTGCAAAGAGTTTTGGCAATGCAGGTCCATGAATTTGGGGGGCGGAGCTTCTAAAGGAGCCTCTTTAATTCTTCAATGTTTCAACCTCTTCAATTCTTCAAAAAATTATAGCAAAAACTAACACAAAAAAGGGAAGAAAGCTCGACCCGTTCCCTTTCCCACACAAAACTTTTACAGTGTCCAGCATCCAGGGAACCCTTACACCAGAGACAGGCCTAGAAAAGCACATCTACGTATACGTAAACCGCTGCTTACAGAAATAACACAGTGGCTACACATAAAAAAATACATAAAAAATACAATTACAATACTGCTGTATTTTTTTCTATAAGCAGCCTGTATGCAGTGTGTGTAATAAAGAGGCCAGACTTGGCAGTCAAAGACGGTCAGATTGGATGTGTTGCTATTCTGGAGTCAGGATCCAGTCTGCACGCCAGGTCAGATTAACTTTACATTACAGTCTCTGTTACCGCAAACGCAAAGACATCATACTCTCGAAAGACAAAGAGCGGGTTCATTTTGTTCAATCACTACAGGCCAGTCAAGAGAAAGACCAGAGGCCAGATTCTCTACAGCTTTCTGAAGAAAACGGTTATCATACAGATCTGAATATACTTTCTGAAGAACAGTACTCACTAAAAGAAAAAATAGGAAACAAATTGTTGAAAAGGTTCTTTAAAGAATCACATCTTTGATCATTCATGGGCATTTCACTTCTTGCGTTGTGAATTTTCAGACGATGTACAAAACAAGGAACTTTAAACAGGCAGAATATCAGATTATAGTGGAGATTTGTGTCACTTGTCAAAGTGAAACCAGACTGCGTCCAACCAGACACTTCTCAAATAAACTGATGGCAGCTAATTTGGTTGTTTCCACGGAAACCACAAAAAGAGCGCTAGACTCTCAGATGGTTTACGTACAGCTGCTGATCGGGTCAAGTCTGTTTCTGGAGGGAGGAGGTGGATAAATATTTGTGCAGAAAAACAAATCAATTCATTAAAATGACAGTATAGTGGCGCATGTTTGAGGTCAGACAGAGAACTGTTTCAAAGAAAAACGGTATTCATTCCTACATACATCACCTCATTTCTTATTTATTTACTTTTATTTCTGTAAACAGTGTGGAGGGTTTACTACTGTGCGTGTGATACTGCTGTTACAATACTGTCTTACAGACTAAATCATCATATGACGCTGTGAAATGATATGATTGATGGAAATGATAGGATTTCATTAGAAAGAAAGAAAATAAGAAATTAGAAAGAAAGAAGGAAACAGAAGATGAGTCATTGTGCAATGGGGTGTGAATGCACTGACAGATCTGAAGATGGTGATTTAACTGCACTGATTTGCGATTTTGAATTACAATAAAAATGTCATCACTTTTTGAGCAAAATAAAATTCTCAGCCTACTTTTTTTCTCCAGTCACATTTCAGCCTTTAGTGTATGTTAGAAAATAAATCTGAATCATTCCAAAGTGATCAAATCGAATTGAAAAGTAGCAAATTCATGATGCACCGAATCATTTCCTGTGACTGAATGGATTCGCTGTAAAGATTTCATCAACGACCTTGACATCCAATCCTGCAATTCTTTACCCAGCATGCACCACTGTAAAGAAGAGCATTTCTCGGCCAATCAGAGGCGCGAAGTGGAATTTTCTACAACCTTCCTGTGATAAGAGACCTGGAGAGTGAGCCTGGAGAACGAGCCAGCACAGCACAAACTCTCACATTCCTGTGTCTGCCTCCGAAACAAGAATAAAGCAATAAAACAATTGTAGCAACAATAAAACAAAACAATCCTTCTGTTACTGAGCATTTGTCACTGAGCGATCTCCACTTGTCTGGACTGACTCACACAGCCAACACATCAACTGTCAATCAGTAATGAATGTTTTCAGATGTGGAAAAGAACCCACAAACAATCTAACACGGCGATGTTCCACTGTGTGCTTTTAATAAGCCATAAAAATGCCTTTCTGACGGCCAAACAACGAAAAAAAACGAAACCTCACTGGAGTGAACAGGAACGTTTGCCTGGCTGAGAGGAAACGGCCAGTACTCACTAGTGAAGCACTTACATACACACAAGGTTTGAGGCAAGAACTATGATTTAGGCACAAAGTTAACACAATGCCAATTGGTGGGGTATAAGTTTCTATTAGTATTAGCTTCAGACTTAGTATAAATGTCAGACCCCAAACATGTCTTGGCTAATTGACTATGTTTAGATTAACACAGTGAAATCAGATTTTTTACTGAACTATCACTTTTAATTTTAACATGTCAATCACACATTAATCCAGATATGAGGGAGTTCAATCAACGTAGCAGGACGGAAGCCTGCTGGGACTTGGATTTGACCCACACAAACATATTAAATTATAACATTTAAAAAAATAAATCAAATATGTTAAATATAAGAAACACAAAAAATGTCTAAGCGTAGAATAAGAGATACAGAGTTAGCAAAGGTTGGGTTACCTTAGATTTGAGCCTTCCACACTAGCACGAGATCCATTTGGACTGGGGCTGTGAAGGTGAGAGAGAGAGAGAGCAAGAGAGAGAGAGAATAAAGAAAGAAAAAAAGAGAGAAAAGTGAAAAGGATGACAAAGCGAGAGAGAGAGATTAATACCAGCACCTTGGACAGTGCTTTTCATCATCTTAATCATCACCACAGTCATCCTCAGTGCTGTAGGATGCTGTACTATCCTGTAACATGCTGTAACATGCTGTATTATCCTATAACATGAAGTAACATGCTGTGCTGTAACATGCTATACTATCCTGTAACATGCTGTTCTATCCTGTAAAGTGCTGTAACATGTTGTATTATCGTGTATTGTGCTATACTACCCTGTAAAGTGCTAGAACATGCTGTTCGAACCTGTAACATGCAGTAACACACTGTGCTGTAACGTGCTGTACTATTCTGTAACATCCTGTGCTGAAACGTGCTGTAATACCCTGTAAAGTGCCGTACTAGCCTGTAAAGTGCTAGAACATGTTGTACTGTATCCTGTAACATGAAGTACCATGCTGTGCTGTAACTAGTGTATTACCCTGTAACATACTGTTCTATCCTGTAAAGTGCTATAACACATTATACTATTCTGTATTGTGCTGTACTACCCTGTAAAGTGCTAGAACATGCTGTATGATCCTGTAACATGCAGTAACATGCTGCGCTGTAACATGCTATGCTATCCTAACATGCTGTAACATGCTATGCTGTAATGTGCTGTGCTGTAGCATGCTGTAATGTGCTGTTCTATCCTGTAATGTGCCGTACTACCCTGTATAGTGCTAGAACATTCTGTACTATCCTGTAGCGTGTCATACCATGCTGTGCTGTAACATCCTGTGCTGTAACATACTGAAACACGCTCTTATGTGCTGAGAACAGAAAGAAATATCAGACTCACTTAAGCACTAGGTGCAGGTTGGCAGAGAGACGTGGGTCAGTGAACTGTGTGGTTCGGTTGTTGTGATCCACAAAATAGATCCGGCCCGTTGCTGTGTTACGGATCTCCCATCCGGGAGGGAGGGGCCCAAGCTCCTCACAGTTAACATTACTGAGATCCCTGAACACAAACACAGATATACAGACTTAATGTTCCTACTCTCAGAATAATGGCTGAATGTTTTGAATGAATCAAAACTAAGATATGATTAATCAATTACAAGAACACACAATACCAAACAAAAAGCTCTAATTCCATGTACTTTATATATTGTACCATGACTAATGCAGAGTGAATTTATTTTATTTTTTAATAGTTACATGCATGCACACCAACGACTTCAGGGGCAGATTTTAATGAAGAAGGCAACATTTCTGTATGTATATCCAGTGAGATGACCACTGAGCCACGCATAAGCATGTTGTTACCTGGGCACTCGTGGGTCATGCCACGTGCTGACACCAGTCTGTGTATGGAGGAAATAAACCTGGCCCTGCTGCGTGGTTCTTTGTTCTGCAGAAGCAAACAGAGAAGAAAGAGCACAGACAAAATCAGCAAAAAGCTTTCACTTAACTAAAATTAGTCATTGTAATAAGCATGTTAAAAGCGCTGACTGTAAGGATGGTCAAGGCTTGTCACAGTTTAAGAACAAGGTTCTTCTACAAGTATATGCAATGATTTTCGGTATTTCACCCTCTATGGTGTTTAATATCATCAAAAGATTCAGGGAATCTGAAGAAATCTCTGTGCATAAAGGACAAGGCCAAAAGCCACAACTGACCTTTAATCCCTCAAATGGCACTTCATTAAAAACTGTCATGCTTCTGTGATGGTTTTCCACATGAACTCGAGACTGCTTTGACAAACCGTTGTCACTAACCACATTCATTGCTGCACAAATGCAAGTTAAGACTGTACTACACACAGTGGAAGCCATTTGTCCAGAAACGCCGCCGACTTCTCTGGGCTTGAGCTTATCTGAAATGCACTGATACACAGTGAAACTTTTCAGACTGTGTATGGAAATTATGGATGTTGTGTTCTCTAGGCCAAAGAAGAAAAGGACCATCCAGACAGTTACCAGCATAAAGTTCCAAATCCAGGGTCTGTCAGTGTATTGGGGGGGGTATTAGTGGGTAACTTGCACATCTGTGAAAGCACCATTAATGACAGATACGAATTTTGGAGCAACACCTTTTTCAGGAAATAAGCACGTCCATGCTTATTTCAACATAACACCATTCGGCGTTCTGTCCATGTTACAGCTCCAGGCCTGTCTAATCAGAGCGTGCAGGTGCTAGACTGTCCTGTCAGCAGTCCACTGTCTCCCACTGAAAACGTGGAACTAGAAGGTCTTAATGCTTTGACACAGAGAAGAACTTACACTCTGCTTACACACATGGAAGCAATAAAAGAGCACTCTCAGACGCTGATGCTACTGGAGTGTGAAGCAGAGGGCAACTCTACCAGACCTTATAAGGGCACACGCACATCTGTCAGTGCTCCATACCAACAAGAGAACCTAACTATTTTCCTGGCGTGGTCATGCATGAAACAGAAAATTGCATCTGTCAGATCATTACAGCATGTTTCCATCTGTGTACTGGCGAAAGCTTGACACACAAAACAAATAAAGGCAGTGGAAAACGGGTGATTGACAAAGAAAAACAGAACCAAGTTCCCCCACTGCCTCACTAAGTATTACAGCATTTAATGGCAGATGTGTAAATTAAGAATCTACTTGCTTTAAAATATTGTTGTTGCAAAAACCTTATATCGCCACTGTTGGTGTACTTTTTTTTTATTTTACTCCATTTACCCTTTGCATTGTGTAAAATTCCAGGAAGAATGGACCAAGAGAAACAGTCAAGAATTACTTATTCCATTAACAAGTAATTTTCCTGTAAAGTTACTATTTTGTAGATGGAAGGTTTCATTCCAACAGCAACGATATGCATATTTTTTTTTTTATTGTAATGCCGCTGTGTACTTACAGCTTGAGGATGCTAGCTAGATTTTTGCACATCACACAACGCTAGCCATCATTAACAAGCTGTTGCTTACTGTTAGGATGTCCAAACAGGACACATTTTTTCCTGGCATTGCTCTAGTGCTTGAATTTTTTCCATGAAGCATCATGAAAAAGCGAATTATTCTGATTTTTTTGCATCAAAAATAAACATATTGGGCATGACTGACTGGGAGTTCTGCAGTGTTTTTTGCATCCCAAAAAAACCCCAAAAAAAAAACATCAGCACAAATACAGAAAGTGTCCAAGAGCAAAAAAACACCTTAATGACAATGGGTGTGCTACTTTCCATTCCAAACAAAAGTAGCAGAGCCTCAGAGTAAAATCAGTTTGCTGAGATACAGATGATCAGTCACTTTGGCTGTCGCCATGCCAACGCAGGAGTCAACCATGACCGTGTGAGTGAGATTACAGTACAAAAGTTTAAACACCACTGGTCAAATTATGTTTTGCTGATTTTTGAAGTTAACACATGTAAATGTGTATGTAATACATATGTATGTATGTATGTATGTATGTATGTATGTATGAACAAACGTAAATATGGCATTTTCTGCTACTTTTAGTGCACAATTTTTTACATACTGGAAGAAAACATATCAAATGTGCCATAACTTCTGCACAGGCCACATTTTGTGTTTTTTTTTTTTTATATTGTATGCTTCATTAACAATGTCGCATTTTTTTCTGTCCATAAAAACACATTTGGTGCGCAAGATATCATTGGTTACATGCATGCTCAAATTAATTAACTGACGTCCAAATAAATCACACAAATTAATGACCCTTGGTGTGTAAAGGTCTTTATACGTCTGTTGGTTATCTGCACCGCAGTGTGTATACACATCCTTGCACAAGTTTTCATCCGTCTCATGGGAAAAAAGCAGTTGCTCACAGTGATGAAAAGCCTTTCGGATGTGAGAAAAACGTTTGTGAGGTTTATTTCATCACATCATTACTTACTTACAAGTTACTGAAGAGTTTTGTTTGAAGCATTTAGCAGACAGTTAATGAAAATCCTCACGTCTGCTGAAGGATAACACTATGTTGGTTTGACTGTTTTTGTTGTAGCCCCATTTTGTCAGTCTACATATACCCTGTTTATAGAGAGCCTCCCAGTAGTCCGGCTGGCCAGTCCATGTGTGTAATGGTTCACTGTGTGTACTAACCGTATCCCTCGGGCAGGTCTGGAGGTGTGTGTAGGTGTGTTCTGCTCATGTAGTTTCTATGTCTCTGTGAGCGAACACGTCTCTCCTGCACTCGAGGGTCACTGGGCTGGATGCTGGTGGCTACATTAGGGGTCAGGACGGGTGTGTTCTCATCTAACACACAGCTGAGAGGCCGGACGGGACTGGAGTACTCAGAGGCTGGCCTAAAGGAGAAGGAGGAATACAGTAGCTTCAACTACAGGAATGATTCAGTAACTGATGTATCTACTTTAAATGATTCAATAACAACTATAAATGACTCACGAACTACTATAAACGATTCAGTAACTGCTTTTGATGATTCAGAAAGAAACTGTGCGTGTGTGTCGGAGACTCTCAGTCTCCTGCTCTAGCTCTGTTTCCCTCATTCTGTTGCCAGACTTATCAGCCCTCCTTTCCCCAAACACTCGTTTACTTGTTTGTTTACTCAGCAGTGCTGTAACACTGACCACAGGATGAAGCCAAGGAAATGTCACTTCAGGTCACAACACATTCCACTAATCAATCATTTCACTTGTAAGAAAAAAAATTCAATAAACTGGAAATATGATGAAGCTGACAGGAACATTTGGCAAAGTTAGGACAATAACCCACTGCTGGGTCACTGACATACATTATTATATGATGTGTGTGTATCTGCGAAGCAAGTGAGAGAGAGAGACAGAGAGAGAAAAAGCATGAGCGTGAGGAAGAAGAGGAAGACAAAAATGATAAAGTGACAGAAGAGTAAGAGATAAACAAAGGACAGACAAAGAAAAGAGTGAAAGAGAGAGATAGAGACAGAGAGCGAGAGGGAGCGAGCGAGAGCGAGAGAAAGCGAGAGAGAGAGAGAGAGAGAGATTCATGTTGTTCTGACCTGGTTGGTCTCTCCCACTGTGTAGTCCGTGTGATGTGATTGAGATACTGAATCCGGCCTGTAGCAGTTCTCCTCTCCTCCCAGCTACACACAGAACGAATACCACAGAATATTATGCAGCTTAATATGACACTGTAAAATATCACTACCACTACAGTAATAATAATAATAATTTTAAATTAGCATTCATATATAACAATGCAGTAGAAGTGCTTCACATTACATAAAAACAGTAAAACAGTGTAAATGAAAAGGAGAGAGACACTGTACTTTCAGTCTGCTGTGAAGTCTGTTTCCTTCATCATCAATTACTCAGTAGCTATAAAGAACTATTCAATATCCACTAAGAGATGTTCATTAACCACTGTGAATTATTCGGTATCTGCTATGAATTGTTCAGTAACTACTATGAATTATTCAGTAAACACTATTAACTTGTCCGTATCTACTAAGCATTATTTAGTAACTACTATGAATTATTCAGTATCTACTATAAAATTATTCAGTAACCATTATGAATTATTCAGTACATACTATTAATTTTTTTAGTATCTACCATGAATTATTCAGTAACTACATTCAATTGCTATACATTCTCATGTTAAAGAACTATGAGATTTCTAAATTCTATCCTCCACTAGAGGGCACTGTAGAGCCTGCATCTTACGTTTTTGTCAAAAATAATCTGTTTACTCCAAAAAAAAGACTCATAGAAAATCTACTGCAGCCAGATAAATGCTACCACTGGACAATAAGCTCCACCCCTCCAGAGCATCTCTGCTGCTGGGCCGCAGATAGTATAAACAGCAGTTATAGCACATAGGAAGCATTGCAGACAAGCACCAATAAACATCAAGCTTAAGCTCAGTTTATACTCTCACTAAGTTTAATGAAACTCAACTTTTAGTGTCATTAAGTGAATTTATGGTTTGGTATTGTTTTTGTTTTTTTTTTAGCTAAATGGTATGTGATGAAATATGATGTGACTGGACTAGGAATGTCAGCTGAGATGAACACAAATCATTGACAATCATTTGTTTATCTTAAAGACTTTACACTTTGGTCTTTCTTTTCACATGTCCCCTACTGCGGATTTGTGGTCTGGGTTTAATGTAGTTAGCAGTAGAGAAATGCTGAGTGGTGTGTTTTGTCTGCTTTATGCATCCAGTGTGCAGTAGCCTTTAGCCTTAAGAGCCCTATATACTTTTTTGGTGGGGTGGGGGTATTATTTAAACATTTTTTAATGATGCATTACAATTATTACAAACATTTGACTAATATTACAAAATTTGACTAAAATGACCATCCCGAGTATGTTGGTGCAGGAAGGTTTAATGCAGGAACAGAGCAACAGACCCGTCCGGTAACTCGTTGTCGAACAGACGGCTGCAGTCCACCAACGGGCCTCCTGATCCGATTCTATCTCTGGACTGCAGACTCACTGCACACATACACACAACAGAGGGTCAGAAATTCAATGTCTTGGCTACATCAGTGTATTCATGCAGAATCATATTAAAAGGAATGAGCACCACACACAGCGAATACAACAATTGAGTGAAAAGGTTCATTTGCAGTCGACAGTCTTACAGACTGTAACATATCAACATACCACAGGAAGTGTAAGAGTGATTTTGCTTCTTCTATTTTGTTGCACCATAAAAGAAAAAAAAGTCCTACAGACAGAACATTGTGTGATGGCAGCAATGTGACAGGGCACATGGTTCGATCAATCGGTTAGGTGTGCAAACGCAGGACATGTGCATGTAATTAAAACATCAGGAAGTGGAGAATCAAAATATACCCAGTGACAGAACTGTATAAGTGTCAGGAGGTGATGAGTTCAATCCCCAGTGATGCCACTGCCATGTGTTGCCGGGATCATATTTGTCTTCTCTCTTTCTCTGGATGGGTACAATTGCCGTCATTCGACCTCCATCCCTCAGAACGCTAACCAATGCTAACCAATGCAAGTGTATATTACCACCAATGACGCTGCATTAGAGGCGGTTTAAATGGACGCGGTGGAGCTTGATGCGTCTCAGAAGAAGCATGTACTACCATTCACCCTTGGTAGCTTTGTATCATAGAGATGGACCTAGCTACTGGGGGGCGGGGACTGGACACGACTAAATTGGGGAGGAAAAAAAAGGCCACCCAGCTCAAGTTTCAGTTCTCTTCGCCATAGAAAAATCTACAATCAATAATATTAGAGTACATGTAAGTTTATGTACTTATGTACTATGGTATTTGTGTGCTTGTCTACATGTGTGTGTGTTGTACCCACCCACTATCTGGCCCCGGATGGTGTCGTTGTCATTGGGCCCTAGTTTGTTCAGGTCCAGTTTCTGATCTGTCAGAACAAATACAACCAAATTAAACAGATAATACAATAACACAGCAAATATAATAAACTTTTTGTAAGGTAAGACTCCAAATTATACAAAACATAATTCAATAATTCAGACAGTTTGCACTGTAGGAAGTGTAGTTAATAAAAGGCATTAAATGTAATAAGTCGTGGATTTTTAGGCATTATTTCCACCATAACTTCAATACAGAGTAATGTATCACTACATTTTACATCGCTAGGGATGAAGCATCACTATTATTGACTGGAACTGGTCACATTTTACAGTCTGACCTTTCACCTATGAAGAGAGTGAGGAAGAGAGTGAGGAATAAGTGCACAGTTTTCGGCGCCAGTTTTCACTGTAAAGCACAGACGCAGTGCCACACTGACACCGAGACTAAAGGAGGGAAATTTTAGGACATACAAGATGAGCCAGACATGAAACACTGCGGTTTTCCTCTTTTGGCGACTAACACACACACACACACACACACAGACTCACTCACAGACACATTTCCTAGAAAATTGCACAGCTCTCTATCACAGTGTGTGTATGTGCCGCTGCTGGGGAGCTGAGTGAGGATCTGTGGTGAGACACACACTTCCTCTGAGGCTCCGACAGTCACACACACACATACCAATAACTCCAAACACTGACTCTCTCTTTCTCTTACTCCGTATATATATATATATATATATATATATATATATATATATATATTTACCTATCGCTGTTCGTATCTCTAAAATGACAGCTTTACAGGAGAAGGAAAAAAAAAGGGGGAAAATTACTTTCAACGTAAGTCAATGGAACCAGATGTTTTTGCAAAATCATTTTGGGCCGTTTCTTTTGTTCCGTTCCTCATAAAGTTTATATAAAATGTAAAGGGCAACAGGTATTTTCAAATTATGTCAAAAACTGACATAAAAATTTTTTTAGTTGGGCAGTAAGGGTTTATTTGTTCAGAAAAAAACATTAATATTCCAATAAATACAAATAACATCAATACAATAAGTAGCGATTTTATATATGCCAGTTTTAGTGTAACCCTTTCCAAACCTCTCCTCAACATAGCATTTTTAGTGCTAATACTGATCAAATACTTTTTTGAAAAAATAAAAAATTCTTGTTGCATTTAATAAATAATAGAAGCAACTTTGGACACCAAACATGTCTGGGCAGATCGTCTGCATCTGGGAAAAGTGGACAATTGTGTAAACTAAATTTTTCATCAAACAATTCCTTTAAGGCAGTGGTTCCCAAGTGCCCAACCTCTTCAGACATTTGACCAACTGCTGCGTACCCCTCCTCGCCTCTTATACATGCACGTGCACATATTGCGATGATGCATGTATAACACATTTAGCCTTATAAAATCAGTGCTCCTTAAATTATTAAACATGTTTATGATGCAAACTTCACACCAGGTATACTGAATGATACTGAATAAATAATTTTATTCACAAGTGCACAGGGGCCTATATAAGGGCACATTTGCATGCATGAGAGAGTCTGCAGTTGGAAAACGACCAGTGAATAACAAAATGTTCACTAACATGTGACACAGATCACATTCAGCACAGAAACATCACCTGTCTAGTGAGCAGACAGTAACCCTAAATTACCACCACAGGCTCTATATCGTTTAATGCATTAAAATTCACCCTTTCACAATGCAGAGAACCCTTTAATCACGGAAAGGGTCCTTTGAGTGTCCATGGTTCTATATAGAACCATTTTCTTTACTAAAGAGTGTACAGGAAACTAGTGGCCAAATGCTTTGTGAACAACACTTTTTATTCCAAATTGTTAGAACTTCTCATGGACCTCCTACGCCCTAATTTGAGGACGAACACATAAACCACACTGATCTCCAGAGACGGCTGCACACTCTACCACAGTGGTACAGACTCCATTCTGTCTCCTGTTGGTCTGACTGTCTGTCTATCTGTGTCTCACCGTCTGTCTTTCTCTCCGAGTCTGTCTCTGAAACCATCTGCTCGTCTGGCTGTTTGTTAGAGCCCAACACAACCTCTGCAGTAAACTATTTTCAAAAATCATTCTTCTGCAAATGTCAATGCAGCTAAATCTTTCTGCAGATCCTAACGACTCAGTTAAGGTCTAAAGAGCTAAATAAGTTCAGTACTGTACAACTGAACGTCCAGAATTAGTGTTTTTATTATTTACGCTCACAAACTTCACATAATAATAGTTGCTAGTAAAACTGGAATTTTAATTGCTCAATATAAACATGGGAATTTTAAATATGTCACATGGCTTGCAATTCGACTTTTATTTGTGGTTTTGGCTTATTTATTTATAATGCCCAACAAGCTGTTAGTTGAGAGGAAGTTCATTCGATGCATCATAAGAGGATCGCTAACACAGATTAGTTATAAGATCCAACGTTATGGGGTGACCTCACTGTTGTTCCCCGCCGACCTGCTGGATCCATCTTTACCTCATCATTTACAAATTAAGACCTGCTAATGCATAAGCACTTGAGGGAGGGCCTCACAAAACGTGTAAGGATCACACAAAAAAATGGATGAATGTATCTATTTATGTGTAGCTGATTACATATTCATCACGATTTACTAGAGTTTGAGCAACTTGTGGAGGCTGGTTTTGAATCAGTTATCCTTTACCTTTTAAAATCAGCCACAAATTTGCATTAGGGTCTCAAAAGACGTGCTACTGTGAGACTTCCCTCAACAAAGGCAGCAGACACAGCGGGCAGACGGGGGCACAAGCCTGGAACACAAGCTGAAAGAATGGCCTCTTTTCCACCGTGGAGCCAAATGGTTCCCAGGGCTGTCCTGTGCCGTTTCACATTGGTGTGGACTCGTGAGACCAACTGCAGTTTCTTTTTCCATCTGCTGTGCTGCTAAATACAAACAAGGAAGTAGGGAAGAAAACTGTACACGAGTGGCTCAGCGACGGCTAACTGGCTAAATGCTTCAAAACATGTCCAGTTTAAGCCGTCTCTCAATTTTGTGCTTTATCCTCTGAACTGGTGTTATTTGTGCATCAGTTACCGAAACCAAGCCTCTACTGCACTTTAACCTGCTAACTAACATTACACTAGTGTTAGCCTAACCCAGCAGGCTATGGCTCAACACTAGTCGTTCGACTTTGCTCCCTCAGACATGAGAGCTAAAGCTTTTATCATCTACACCTGTGACAGCAAAGCAGACGGAGGTGTTTGGATTTGTAGGCTAGAGACACTGGTTAGCATTAGCCTAGCAAGGATGCTACAGAGCCAAACACCACAGAACAAGTTTCATTTCAGCTTTCTGACCCTCCAACACCAGCCGCTCGACTTCGCTTCCTCAGATTTGAGTCATTATCATCTAAACTTGTCTCAGTGTAGCTTCTGTTAGTCAGAATTGAACTTGTTCTGTGGTGAGCAGAGCCAACGGTGGATTTAGTGAATCTGGGGTTCTAGGCAAAAGACAGGAATGTGGCCTCCTGGATACACATTTTAAATTAGTTCAGGCTCTGGGCTCCTGGGTGGCACAACTGCAAAAAATGATACCCTGGAAAGGGAAATCATTTTATATTAAGTTGATATACCTAATATTTCTTATTTTGAGATTCTTCTAAACAAAAAATTCAATTTTATTTATTAATTTTTTATTTTTTTCCACTTAAGGGCCCCATATAAGATGTGGTTGAAAAGCAGCCATAATTTATTAGTACACAATCATTTTCCAACCTCTCTTTATCCCTTAGAATTAAACAAGCTGTTTTTGTTACTGTGTCTTTAAAATTGACATATGTAAATGAGCTTTGCTATGACTGTATTGTGCTCCAATCAGCTGAATTCTTTATTACTGGTAGATATATGTAAATGTAAATTCTTATGATTTTTATGGTATTACTAAAACAATGAATTCTAAAATGGCTTTTATATATGGACTGTATGAATTGGTGAGGTAATGGTGTGTTTTGAAATTTTAAGTGTTTACGTACTACATTACCCTCTTTTATTTAAAAAAAAATAATAATAAAAAGAAAATTTTGTTTTTCCATAACACAGGCCCTTGAACTCATTTCTAGACATTTTTTTACTTGTTATAAGAAATTCTCCATACTGGCAGATAATTTTGCTTAATGCTGATATGTTTATACTTATCTGTCAATGCACTAAAATAGGTTCATTTAATAAAATAACTAAAAATAAATCTACAAACAAACATATGCTATAATACACATACATGTATGTATCGATCGCTATATGTATGTATCGATCGCTGTTGTCTCCGAAATGATAACTTTACAGGAGAAGGAAAAAACATGCTTTACTGTTAATGCAAGTCATTTTGGGTTTTCTTTTAGTCCATTCATCATGAAATTTACACACAATGTAAAGGGTTATTCAACATTAACACTGGCTCTTGGGCTGTCTATCTTTGCCTAATGTAAATACCGCCCCTGAGCAGAGCTAGCAGAATGCTAGCTAAGCTAATGCTAACCATCTCCTCTCTCCTAGTTAGCAGCGCCAATTAACATTTAGCAAATGTTGTTAAATAGATGGCTTTACATCCATCGAATGGTGGATTGGAACTCGTGCACTACTTTGATTTATCTGACGACGGTGTAAACGAACTGAACCTAACTGTTTTTCGGTTTTGGCACAATACCAACCTAAATGTAGAACCAATCAGCGAATAGTACATCATCTCACCCAAAAGTTCTGTGGCCTTGAGCACGGAATAGCCAACCATGCCAAGAAAATCGTCCCGACCATGGTTTGTACATGTTCCATGTGAGACTGTGTGGAGATGCCACTAGAACGGTTACTCTCTGTGCTCAGAACCTTTCAACCCAATAGTGGAAAAGAGGCCAATTTTTACCATTAGAATTACACTCTTGGGACCAGATGTACATGTGTAAGAAGATATGCAGTGGCACAATGTGTGCAGTGATGTGGCGAGAACCCCTGCTGTGAAAACAGCTCACACCTCTCCAAAAAGACGGCTGTGCCAGATAAAACAGACAGCTCTCTTTAAATGAAAACAAATCGTAAACAGCTGCCCCAACAATAAAAACAGCATTTAAACACAGCAAAAATACTTTTATAAATGTTGACTTGTATTCTCACCTACGAAGACAAAAACTCAGTGACTTTTTTTGCTTTGTAAATTATACACATAGCAATCAAAACATATGCCACCAACGATATTGAATAAAAAATGCATAGTTTAACTGAGGAGCTCCTCTAAAACAGCCGGAAACTGCATCTATTTTATGGCTCTTAATAAATCATATTCAGGTGAATTCTGGGCACAAACTGTAGTCGCATCAAGGCAGCTGCAGCTGCACTCATGCAAACATCTGGCCCAGAGTGTCTGGACAATCTCTATAGACTCTTTATCATTAAAGATCATCAGACTTAATCATCATCATCATCATCATGATCATCTTTTCCTCTCTCAGACAGTCAGGCTGGCACCACCACCCTTACCCAGACACCCCGGGGAAAGGTTTGTGAACGTGCCCCAGACACATTTACTCTGGTGGTCCCAATGGAACACACACACACACACACACACACACAGACAGGTGTGTTTAAGCATTCTGAATGGAGCCAGATATGCATACGTACATCACATCAGACCTACTGCTTTTCCACTGCTTTCAGATCTCTGTTAAACACCTTGTTCTTTCAGTGTTTCAAATCTAACTCTCTGTACTGTGTTTTAGGCACCTGAGAAAATTAGATATAAACAGTTGTTTATCCAAGAACTGTGTTTATTTGCACAGAAAAGACACTAATATTAGAATAAACACAACCAATATTAAGACAGTTCATAGTGATTTTATTTTGTCAGTGTTTCCAAACGTCTCCTGTGGCAGCCCAGTATTACTTGTAGCCATCATTCAAAATCTGGTTTGACTAATCAGTTTTTCATTGTTTTATTGAATCAGTTCTTATTTAATATTTTGTTTTTTTCCACCAAAATGATCTTCCTGTTTTCTTTTTTGGCCAAAAATTGAAAATGCCACTAGTGATGATTTTTGGCTGAAATGTTTCACGAGGCTGAAATTCTGGAGCACTTGTGAATGCTATAACTCGTTAAAAACAAATATCTCTGACCAGGGATGCGGGCAGTGGGGGTGCTAAGGGTGTGGCAGCACCCCTAGATTTCAGGGTTTGTTTACTGCAACTGCTAAAAATAATAAAAATAAAAAAAAAGATCTGATCGTGAAACTAATTTGAGCATAGTAAAGACCTACATCTGCTTGTTTTACAGTGGAGTTTACATTTTTATGTTTTATTCATACGTTTTAAAAACCTGCACTGTTTACGTTAACGATGTATTTCTATTAAAGTGAGCTGAGCCTGAGCTCTGGGGCGCGTCACTAAAACACATGCGGTTCGAGGTGCAAAGAGAGAAAACGTGCAGAGCTGTAGGCAATTTTTGAGCACCAAAGCCAACAAATATTATTTTTGTAAAATTGAAAAAAGCATAATAGCATCCTGCGCAAATATATCTCCCGCTCGGAGTGTGTTTGAGAGTGTTTTACAATAGGTTACCATGCCAAACATTAACAATCTGATTGGATGTCACTCAACTCATTTGCATAAAGGCTTGTCCAGAAGGAGAGAGAGCAGAGAAATCAGGGTGTGCGCCAGCACTTTGATGGGTCAGTTATGTGGGTATATGTCATCTCTCGCCACAATATGGGATGTGATGACACTCTCTGTTTAATGTACATTATCAAAAAAAATGTAATGAAAAAAGGCCAATCATTCTGCATGACATCCCACGTGACGCATATACTGCTTAAAAATTCAGCACCGCAACTTAAAACATCTCCCTGTGTCCCTGTCTCTGCCTCCAATTGAGCTCCCGACCCGGTAACTCGCTTGAAATTTTCAACTTGGGCTAAAAGTCATGCAGCGTAGGCCCAGCTTCACAAACTCATGCACACATAGATGACTTACAGCCAGTGTCTTTGAGGCGGTTGATGACATTCGAGAGCAGACGGACGCAGCCCAAAAACCCTGCCCCCTGCTTCTTATGGATCTTCTTATGGTTCCAAACACTGATGGTGATCGAGTCCAATTTACCAATATACCTGAGAGAGAGAGAGAGAGAGAGAGAGAGAGAGAGAGAGAGAGAGAGAGAGAGAGAGAGAGAGAGAGAGATACATGACATATATCTGTATACAAATGATGTACCCCTGGTCAAACTTCATGTTTTGTTGATTTTCTAAGTGAAAATCAGTGAACACATCCTCTGCAGAAAACACACTCAAATATCACATTTTTATGCACAATTTTATTTACTTTCGGAGTTTAAAAAAATTGAAAAAAAAAAAAAAAGAATAAAACATAAAAATTGTACCATATCTTCTGCACTGGTCACAATGTTTCAGTTTTTGCCCTGTACGTTCAAAGCAGCAAGTAAAGTAAGTAATTACATATTAAAATGTGCAGAAGTGTGTTCTCTGTACAGAATGTGTTAAACCTTATATTCCGCAAATCTGCTGTCAGGTATGTTTTAACTGGTGTCTTTGTTGACTGATCCTAAATCAGCACAGTGGACCTGTTTATTAAGGAGGCTGATTCAGAATCAGTTAGGCAGCCCTGTGTTGTGTATTTTTAATAAACAAATAATCAACTAACAGGTCATTATACTTTTAACAGCGTGTAGTTGTTGTTATTTTTTCCTGAGGTTCTAAATAAGAACCTGCAAGCATGAGGTAACAAGAACATTACAGTAAACATGAATAAAATACGTATTCATAAAGTGTTCAAATATAAATGTCACAGTGCCATATTTACAGCTGAGACACATTTCTGGGGAAGAATGAGTATCCAAAACACACACACACAAACACACACACACACACACACACCCAGTATCGATAGGCTTTTTGTGTGTTTGTCTGGCCAACTACAAAGCGGAGTTCTCTGGAAATCCTTAATCTGAAATACTTCACTGATGGTAAAACATCTTCAGACACAGACATTTAGATGACTCACACACACACACACACACACACACACACACACACACACGATATACAGTATTTAAGTAACTTTCCTTGATTTGCAACTGTTCTTCTTTGTGTCTGTTTACTTTTGGAAAGGAATGAGTAGAAACACCTGTGTTTTTTCAGATCTGACAAAAGAGTGGAGCTTGATTTTCTCCTCTCTTAAAGATGAAAGGCCTGTGGAAATATGTGGGTTTAAGCTTTTATGAGCCAATGAGGACCAAATGTCTTAATGATGATAGTAAAACCTACCTGACAGTTTAAATAGCAACGTAATCATGGCGTGTGCTTAAATTTTGCAGGAGTTTTAACCACATCAAACGCATTAACGTCACACGCACAGCCTCAAAACGTAGGTCCAGCTCAATGTTCGGGTCTCAAATGCAAAAACAACACTATGTCATGAAGATATGATGACAACAGTAGATAATATAGTACAGTCCTCTCTGAATTCTCTTTCAACTCGCTTGCAATTATCAGATTCATCCGCTCGGGGGAAGGGGTCCGAAGCACAAGCCATGTTACAAAATATTGTTCCGCGATTACACATCTCCACCAGAGAGGTCTCCCTAAATACTACTGTACTGTTAATCTGAGGGACAGTTTCAGAGATCTAGCAGCTTCTATATAGTAGTTATGAGTCGAATCTCCTCAGAAATATTTCAGAAACTTGTACATTTAATTTATTAATTAATACATTTAAATTAATTAAATTAATGGTCTCTAACCTTTGCATAGTACTCTATTTGCAAGTGTGCATGGAAAAGATTTCGAGTCGTTTTAGAGTCGTTTTTTTTCTTGCTTTCTTACAAGACTGTACACACAATAACTTTTCAGCAAATTTAAATCATAACCATAATCATAATAAATTTTCTTAATTATGAGTTGAAAGTGCTTCTTGATGACTGACACTCTGAGTTAGGAGAGACAATCAGAGGTTTTAATTAATTTTCTTGTATAAAAGTCACAATGTAAAAAGTCCAGGTGGAAGAAACCAGTCGACTACACACTTTAAAAAGATGGCTGTTCGGAACCAGGGAGGGTTCTCTAGAAAAGAAAATGGTTCTATACAGAACCATGAACACTCAAAGAACCCTCTGCATGATTACAGGGTTCATTGTTCATTGTGTTCACTTTGATGGAGAATATGCTGTAGATGGTTCTATATAGAACCCTTTTCGAAAAAGTTTCTATATAGCACCAAAAAGGGGTTCCACTACTGAACAAGCCAAAGAACACTGTACTATATAGAACCCTTTTTGCTAAGAGTGTACAGTACTGTAGAAGTATATTACATCCAGTAAATGCTCTTACCATAAATAGCCTACTTCTAGAGAAGTCATTAAAGATCTTGCTAAAGATTACTTAATACTTGCAATGCATCAACAATCTAACCATCTGTTTCAAAAACTATACAACAATACAAGGTTCATTCAGATAAGAGTGGCTGCTGCTTGGTGAACTGATAAAGCCGTGCTGTAGCCTTCCTTGCATGGACCTAGAGATTCTGGTACCAGGTTGGAAAAAGACTAGCCTTATAAATCACTTACGGATGGTTTAAAATGAGTTTGTTAATGCTTATTAATTAGGTCATGAACTTAATTATCATGAATAAAATGAACAAATCATGAATAAAGCATTATAACACATTCATAAAAAGAGCAAAAGTGAGCTGTTATGTCTGGTGAATATGAATACATGATAAAGCTGACAGCAACCAGCAAGATCTGTGATTTGACTATATAAATGAATGTGTAACTAATACTGTTACTGTTTTTATTTGTGTGTCATAACTTGTGTGTTTATGACCTAATTAATAACTATTAATAAACTAATTTTAAACCATTCATAAACCTTTTATAAGGGTAGTGTTATTCTAAAGTGGTACCAAGATTCTTTTTCTTCCAATATCAATACAGATACTGTGCAGATATGATTAACTACTGATACTGATACCAATCTGATATTTCCCCTTTTAAAAAATTACTAAGCTAGCTAGTTTGCTAGGTCTTCCTCAACACACGATGCTGTCACACTAGGACAATAAAGTGCTTCCTCTGAGACGCATGAAGCTCTTTTCAGACTGCTGCTAATGCACTGTTATCGGAGTTCAACACGCTTGGAGGAGAACGCTAACTGCTAACTCTGTTACATCAGCTAGAAGACCCACGTTGGCCATTATCGCGCTAAGTGATGGGGGAGGACCATCCTAACCACCCAGAGAGAGGACAACTATACTCTTGGACTTCAAGCCTAACTGTGGAATCACTGGGGATTGAACTCACATTTCCCTGATGTTGGGGTCAACACTCATAAGCCCTTCATGTTATTTAAATATGCCACAGATTTTTCAGTAAGTAATTTTAAATGTCAGTTTGGCCCCAATAAAAAGCAAATAATGTTATTTATTTTGTGACTTTTGGCTAATAGAAATGTGCTGGTGTGGTTCACTAAGCTTCAGGTGGGGAAAAGCCAAAAGTTAAAAAAAACGCTAAAACATGGTAACTGGAAACTGGTAGATACCCATTGATACTGACCTGCCATCTGTACACATGACGTCTTTCCACATAACACATGGAGTGCAGTGTTCTCTCATTGACTGCTGACTCCACAGGGACCAATATCACACTCACTCTCTCCCCACCCCAGAGCAGGTGTCTGCTGGACCCCTGAGACAGTTTACACCACGGTGTCTCGTCTGTATGTGTGTTGTAGTCGTGTGTGTGTGTGTGTGTGTGTGTGTGTGTGTGTGTGTGTGTGTCTCTGCATGTGTACATTAGTGTGTTTTATCGTCTGTGTGTGTCTGTTCAGACTGAATGGCGGGTGGCGTCGCTGCTCTCAGGATGATGTCCGCTAACATGCACAGCCATAATCAACATCTTTTATTCACTCTGATTGGTGATATAATTCCCATAATTCTATTTTCAGAAACACACTGCCAGAATCTGAGAGAGAGAGAGAGAAAGAGAGAGAGATAAAAGAGTGAGAAGAGAAAGAAGAGAGAGACAAGAAAAGAGAGAGGAAGAGCGACAGCAGCAGAGGAGAGGGAACAGAGAAAATGAGAGAACGAGAGAATAGAGAAAGACAAGGAGAGAGAGAGAGAGAGAGAGAGGGGAGACAATGAGAGAGAGAAGAAAGGAAAAAGATACAAGGAAAGAGAGAACAGAGTTCAGCATGAAAAAGTGAGAGAGAGAAAAGAGACGAGAGAGAGAGGACAGAGGGACAAGGAAAGAGATAAGACAGAAAAGAGACAATGGTAGTGAGTAAAGAAAGACACAAGGAGAGACAAGAAAGAGTAGAGAAGGAAAGAGCGAGAGAAAGAGAAAAGAGAGAAGAAAGAGAAAAGAGAGACAACGAGAGGAAGAGAGAAAAAGGAAGAGACAATGGAAGAGAAAAAAGAGAGGGCAAGAGAAGAGAGAGAGGAGAAAATGAGAGAGAGAGAGAGAGAGAGAGAGAGACAGAGGAGAAAAAACGAGAGAGGGACAGAGGGAAGAGAGAGAAAAAGAAAGAGAGAGAAGTGAGAGAAAAGATACAAGGAAAGAGAGGAGAGAGTTCAGAAGGAAAGAGAGAGAGAAAACAGAAAAGAGAAAGAAAAGACGAGAGAGAGGAGAGACGAGGAAAGAGAGAGAAAAGAGGAAAAAGACAACGAGAAAAGAGGACAGAAAGATGCAAGGAGAAAGGGAAGAGAGAGTAGAGAAGGAGTGAGAGAGAGAAAAGAGAGAAGAAAGAGAAAAGAGAGATAACGAGAGGAAGAGAGAGAAGGAAGAGAGAAACAAAGAGAGAGAGAAAGACAGAGGGCGAGGGAAGAGAGAGAAAAGAGAAAATTAGGGAGAGAGAATATAGAGAAAAGGAAAGAGAGAGAAAAGTGAGAGAAAAGAGACAGTGAGAGAGAGAGAAGAGAGGAAAAAGACACAAGGAGAGAGAGAGAAGAGAGAGTACAGAAGGAAAGAAGGAGAGAGAAAAAAAAGAGACAAGGAGAGAGAGACAAAAAGAGAGAAGAGAGAGAAAACAGAATGAAAGAGAAGAGAGAGTAGAGAAAGAAAGCGTAAAGAGAGAAAGAAGAGAGAAAGAAAACGAGACAGAGAAGAGAAAAAAGAGGGAAGAAAGACACAAGTCGAGAAAAGAGAGAGTAGAGAAGGAAAGAGTGATAGAGAGAGAAGAAAGAATGAATGAGTTTCTGCCTTCTGTAACTCTGTCATTTGAACCTGTTTGCCAGCAGAGCCTTTGGGTCCCGACAGGAATTCATCCAAGAGCGTTCAGACAGACTGATAAACACTCAGAACAGCAGCAGCTGCTCTAATGTTCACTGTTCAATAACACACTGCAGCACGACTGCCTGATAAACACTCTAGAAAGGCCGTTTCTCAACCACAAACTCAGAAACCGCCAAGCATGTCATCAACACTGATCAAGAAATAATCCGCCTATTTAACAGGACAAGAAGCCTCCCACAGACACCGCATCTTAAAAGGACAGTTCAGAGAAAACAATAGCCCCTCAACATGGCTTCAAATGTTTAAAATTCTGTTTTATTAGTATAGTAAATATGCTGTGGGAAAGAGTTTTATAATTCAAGAAATATATACAAATTACTAAAATTCTACAAGCTTGCTGGGAGTTTTGTCTGGGACTCGGAGAAGTGGGAGATCAGTCGCTTTATATGAGCGAGAGAAAGGCGAGGAGCTGACGAATATGTATTGCTAACTCTGATTGGTACTGTGGCAGCTCTGATGTCACCTGCTCCGAATTTAGTCCCACCCAGCTCAAATCAAACAGGAGAAAACGGCAAAAAAAGTCATGAAAATCAGTCAAGACTTGTAAAGCTATATCAAGCAATGCAAGCTTATATACACCAATCTGCATTCTCCAAACTGCACACATAAATCATTTCATGCTCACCTCCAACAGTTTTACGAATATAAATGGACAAAAAAAAAACATTGCACAGCTGTAGCAGTAACAACTTAACTCCATTGACATTCCAGGTTTATTTCATACTAAGACTTTTATTCAGTAATTACAGGAACTTCAATGCAAAATAATGTAGCTATTCTTAGGCTATAGAGGTGGCTTTTTAAGGGGATAAAGGAATACTCCAACATTATATATATAGATATATATATATATATTTATATCTATATATTATATATATTATAATATATCTATATATTAGGGGTGGGAATCTCTAGACACCTCACGATTCGATTCGATTACGATTCAGAGGGCTGCGATGCGATTATAAAACGATTATCGATGCATCTCGATGCATCATTTTTTTCTATATAGCATTTATATTTTCTCACTGTGTGAGCTCAAGTTTCAAGTTTATTTGGCATTGGCACAACATGTCAGGACATTTATGCATTGAAATGCTTGTGGTGAGGCTCAGCTAATCACTCTACAGAAAGTAAATAAGTAAAAATAAAAATACAAGAAAAAACAACTGAAATATATTAAATATACACAAAATATACAAAGAATATAGAGACAATATACATTTTAAAGTGACTAAGTGACTCAGTGTTATTGTTATTTAAAGTGACTTGGTACTTTTAAAGCAAAGTATTTGTAATGATCCATAATGAATTTACTTCCAATATCTTTTTTAATAAAACAAATGGAATGTGGCAAGTGAACTAGACGGCTCTCATTCAGTGCTCTTGTTTGGAGCACAAGAAACTGCTGCCACTCATCTGTGATAAAATGCGCAGTTACAGTGAAATAAGATCCAGTGGTAATGTGTGTCCATGCAGCACGTTACAGCTATTCTACCCGTTTTGTTTAGTGATTTTATAACTTCGGGTTTGGTCTCGTTGGAGAGACGGGGGGGATCGTTGTGTCAGTAAAATGTCTTTGAGACGGGACGTGTGAAACATAGCGCGAAAGCCCTGTTTCGCAATGACTGAGAACTGCAGGTCACATAGCAGCGATGCATTATTCGCATTTATAAGCACTGCAGTTGGTTTCCTGGTACGTTAAATCTGCAACAAGAGACTGTCACACTCTAAAAAGTTGCGAAGATGAAGTCGCTTCTCTTTCGAATTCGCGAATGGGTAAATTCGAACAAGAAGCTGGAGAATAAGAAGCGACTTCAGCCTCGTAAAACAGTCGAACGTTGAGAGACATTTAACTGATCTACTTCTGAGGAAAAGTTTTCTGGCGGAGATGGGAGGAAAGTGGCTGTCGCTGAGCTAAAGCTTAAAGCAGAGCAGAGTAAATCTGCGTTTTCATTTATATTGTTTCGTCTATACTAGGACATTATCACATACTGAGACATACTGGACATTAAATGTTGTGGCTCCCAAGGTGGTTTGATTTTTGTTGAAAGGACAAAATGTCTCTTCTGATCATTTGGGTTGTGACTCCTGATCTAACCTGGCTTTTAATGCAGAGGGAGCCGGTCGGATTTCTCGCTCATCCAGTGGTGTTTTTGTTGCCGTCACAGACTGTCCAGGCGCTGCACTTACCCACTTCCAGTTCCGCCTTTTGCGTTCCGTCAACATTACGTTATAAATTAAATATTTAGAAAATCGATTTTTGACATTTGTGAATCGATTCAGAATCGTTCATGTCCGCATAGCGATGCATCTAAGAATCGATTTTTTCCCGCACCCCTAATATATATATATATATATATATATATATATATCGCTGTTGTTGAAAGAAAACCTCGTATCTCCATTTTTGTCGTTTTTCTGTTTTGACATAATTTGAAAATGCCTGTTGCCCTTTACATTGTGTGTAAATTTCATGATGAATAAACCAAAAGAAATGGCCCAAAATGACTTGAAATGTCTGGTTCTATTGACTTCCATTAAAAGTAAAGTAGGTTTTTTCCTTCTCCTGTAAAATCATCATTTTGCAGATACAAGGTTTTGTTCTGACAGCAGCGATATATTCCATTACTACAACAGTTTTGATATATTTCCCTAAATTTAGCAAAACAACAGAAACCTTGTTGGCTTTAAACTACAGATGCACTGATGCCACTTTTTCCTTTCTGATAACGATACCTGATCCTCAGGTATCTGCTGATACCAAATAACTACTTCACAGCTGAACATAAATCCCAATATTTATACAACTCCACTTAAAAGAAATGCTTTAGTGAAGGCAGTGATCTGCTTTTACATACTAAGCTTCAATTAACGGGAAACACACACACACACACACACACACACACACACACACATACACAAACACACACACACACATATACCAATAAAAAGAATTTTAGATATTAAGAAAACCTACTGTTGTTAGTTAACAGTGGCTTCAAGAATGTTCCTTCACTTTTATTAAGAACCATATTTAACAACTGAAGCAAATTTAAAATGTTTTCATTGTGCAAAACAGATAAAAACCTGTGGTGCACATGTTTAAGCACACGACAGCTTTTCTGACTCGGCAAAAAATGGCCCAAATATCGTGCTTATCCTCAAGTCATCTGTCTCAAACATGTAGCCAGTACACTCGCGCTTACATTTACGAGCGTCAGACTCTGGAGTTCAGTAAATATTACAACATTGATGCTTACAGTAGCAGCTGTTGTTCACCAGATTTCTTGGCTTGATGGATTCGTAAATGCTGCAATATTATCATTATTATTATTATTAATTATTATTATTATTATTATTATTATCATTATTTAATACTGATTAAAACACACACTCATCTTATTAGCATCAGTGCATCTGTGGCCAATAGAGAGCATTAACTCTCACCGTTAACCCTGAACCTAAATCTAATCAATGCTTATTCTAAATAATCTGTCATTTAAGCCAATACGTTTCTGAGAGCAGGAAAAGTGTAGCTATGTGTGGCTTACAGGTCATAGTGCTGGTTCCACTTTGGGTCCAGTGTGTTCCTGACCGTGTCTGTTGAGTGGCACTGGCCTGACCCGTCCACCACAACTTTAGCGAAGGGATCTGGCAGTCCTAACAGAGGAAAAAAAAAAAAAGAAAGTTAATTCCTATGGAAACTCACACATAATACAATAACGATCTACTAAAAAACACAAATAAAAAAAAAAAAAATCAATCAGTTCAGTGCAGACAAACGTTTTCAGACAAAATATTTTCATTCTCTTACCCCAACAAATCATTTTCAAATTGGTTATAATATAATAAAAGAGGATAAATTCTGTTCCTGTATGTAGATCTAATATAATAAAACCACAGGTTTGGAACGCTAATAGAGCTGGCAGCTGTTTTTGTATTGATAAAGACATGTTCTATTGTGAGAATAAGACTTAGTGCGACTTAGTTAGTTGTGGGAATAAGACAGTTAAGCCGTATTCATGACTTAGTAATATCTTACTAAGTCATGGATGTGATAGAACTATCTCATTCCCACACCTTACTAAGTCCTGGCCATGACAGAACTAACAAGACTGAATTATCCTGTTCCTACGGCTTAACAATCTTGTGATCACAACTTAGTCAGGCATGGGGACGAGACAGTTAAGCCATGGTCATGGCTTAGTAAGGTGTGGGAACGAGAAAGTCCTATTATGTCCACAACTTGTAAGACAAGGTGTGGGAACAACATAGTCCTATCACGTCCACAACTTAGTAAATTGCGGGAATGACATAGGCTGATCACGTCCATGACTTAGTGAGGTGTGGGAATGAAGCGCGACCATTTATTGGGGTTAAAATATTTTAAAATATTTCTCTGCCAACAGCCCATAATTATTTACCAGAGGCAGTTTCAATCAAAATAAGTTCAAGTGCAATGTTACATGCTGTCAATATAGTTAGTATATTACCCATTTAAAACTGCCTGAGCTGCACAGCGAACTTAAATCAATAAACCAAATGAAATCATGTGAGATGTGATGTTGATCCAAAAATATCTGGGAGTCAGGAGGTAAAACATAAATAATAAGCTAAAGTGCTTCACAGAACAAAAAAAAATTGCTATTAATCTTGAAGTACAGAGCTTGTCTGGTAACATTCTATCTGAATTATGCTGCTCCCACACCTTATTAAGTAGTTACAATGGCTTAATTACCTTGTTCCAATGCCTTACTATGTCATGGCCACAACTTAAGTATCTCATTATCATGCCTTATTAAGTTATGGCCACAACTTCACTATCCCACTTCCATGCTTTTTTTTTTATTTTATTTTATTTAGCCTTTAATTTAACCAGGCAAACTAATAAGAAAATTCTTATTCACAATGACAGCCCTTACTAGGTCATGGTTAATTATCTCATTATCATGCCTTACTAAGTTGTGGCCACAACTTCATTATCCTTCTTCCATGCCTACTTTATTTAGCCTTTAATTTAACCAGCCAAACCATTAAGAACATTCTTATTCACAATGGTGGCACTTACTAAGTCATGTTTAATTATCTCATTCCCATGCCCTACTAAGCTGTGAATATGGCTTAATTATCTCACTCCCACACCTTACTAAGTCCTAGCCATGACAGAACCATCAAGACTGAATTATCCTGTACCTACTTCTTACTAAGTTGTGGCCATGGCTTAACAATCTTGTGGTCACAACTTAGTAAGGCACGGGAACGAGAGAGTAAGGCCGTGGCCATGACATCCACGTCTTGATAAGGTGTGGGAATGAGATACATAAGCAGTGGTCATGACTCAGTAAGGCATGGGACGAGATTATTACCGGCAAGTCCTCCTCTAAAGTCTTGTGCATGTGAGGATTGTACAGTAGCAGTAACAGTAGCAGTAACAGTAGCAGTCGGGTAAATTTAACACAGGTCTATAGTTCAGACATTCCACACCGTCACCACATCAGCCCAGTCTGACACGCAGATAAGAGAGCACCGCCTCACTGAGAAGTAATGATGGGAAAAATGTACTTTCAGTACGTGTGAGTGCTGTCTGAATGTTCTCCGGGCTATGATACTACAGGTTAGCGTCTGTAACTCTGTACAGGTCAGACTTGTTGAGTCACATGCACCTGCATGCCAGGCTGGGGTGATTTCCTTCTACAGCTGTGTTTATAGAAGAGCATATGTCTGTGAGCATATTTATTTGTGAAAGAAAGTAAAGAAAGAGGCCTGTGGGTGTAATCAATGCCCAATTTCTGCTATAATGGCTGTTTTTTTTGTTTTAAAATGTTTTTAATAAATAAACATGTTTTCTTTGTCAGTGGTCAGTCCATTGGCACTGGAGTTCAATTCAGTCTAAAACTAGTTTTGATCTGTGGGCAAAATATCTAACTGCCATTTTTCTAATCAATATTGTGACGGTGGTTTGAATTGCCATTATTTTCTATAAATTAAGGTCAAGAAGACCAGTATACCCACTTTTTTTCTGGCTCAAGGCTTCTAAATACTTTGCATTCATAAGCTTAAACAAATACAGGTTTAAAAGTGAAATTAGCAAAGGGATCTGGTACCACAGTTTAATAACATTAGGGTCACACTTTATTTGGAAGGTCTCCTATAGATGACCTACAGATACTTATATTATTAACAAATTTTCTGGTGACACTCGAACACTGAATTCAGTTCATGAAGGCCTTGTTAATTAGCAGATAAGCTGAATCAGGTTTATTTAATGAGGCAGTGAGCTGAAGCCTGCATTGTTTTGGCCCGCGAGGACTGGAGCCTGACGCATGTGGTCCAACGCATCTACAGCTCTGTAATTAGGTCAAATTTTGCCAAGACAATGTTGTTGATCATATAAGATAGAAAATAATACTCTTTCAAATCATTTTTGATATGAAAACAATTCATCTTTTATCCCTAGCCTGACCAATGTCCGGGAAACTAAGACTAAAACTTTATTTAGAAGGAAAACAATATCACACATGTAAACACAGTATTTGTGCCTATGTTAGTGACGGTGTTACTCTGGGAATTAAGCCAAAAGCCACACCTTTTATTCCTGTGTACTGATATCAGCACTTTCAGCTGTTTAAACCACCTTTGGGCCAAAAGAGTTCCACATTGTGCTTTTAGCAGTAGTTTGGAAAAAAAAACCTGTGGAATCATTATTTAGAAAAAAAAACCTACTCTTAACAGCAAGAAAAAGACATTCTGATAAACATGAAGCTGAGTACTGAAGATAAGTATATATAAGGATTAGCACAGAGCTGCTTTCAGGACTGAATAATTACTTGCTTTTTTATCAAAAATTTTCAAATTGAAAGAGGTGCAATTTTATTTATATCTTACATTATATAATATGTTGTTGTCGGAAGAAAACCTCGTATCTCCATTTTTGGCATTTTACAGTTTTTGAAAATACCTGTTACCCTTTACGTTGTGTGTAATTTAATTTCTTGTAATTTCATGATGAATGTACCAAAAGAAATGACTCAAAATTACTTGGAAAAAAGTCTGGTTCCATTGACTTACATTAAAAGTAAAGTAGGTTTTTTCCTTTTCTTGTTATCATTTTGGAGATACAAGGTTTTCTTCCAACAACAGTGATATATTATTTAAATTGAATAATTCAAACCTTCTGAACTGGCAATCTGGCGCACTACATTATGTTTAAGCCTTAACTTGGAAAAAATAGACTGCCTTCTTGAAGAAAATCGCATTTAATTCCCAATCACAACATTGGTCATAAAACAATGCAATTAAACACTTTCCCCAAATCATTCAGCTGTAGCTGCTTTATGAACACTTATCCTTTATATGTATTTTTATTAATCAAATGAAAAGTAAGTTGACAAGGTGTCCCCAGACTTTTGACGAGCAGCGTATTGTGTCTGCTGAGAAGTGAGGAATGTTACAGTGTCCTTAACTGGCTACGTAAAATCCTGCTCCGGATTCTACCAACACCCAGCTCTAGACAAAACAGTCTCTCTTCTTCTTACTCTGTGCTTTGAAGGACCTCTCCCCCCTGAACCCAAACGCAGCCAATCAGCCAAAACATGTTTGGCGTCTGAAGTTTGCTTCTTCAGCTCTGTGCTGGAGCTACAAGGCTAATACAGCCAGTACAGACTTTTGACTTGACTTCTATTATAAGTGTGCTTTGGGAACCAAAAATGTTGGGAGTATAACTTTTAAGCCTCAACTTCGTCCGCTTGCTTATGTGGTTTGTGACACTGTTTATATACTGTTCTCTATTAAAAATGGACAAAAGTACATCACATTATCTAATCACAGTAGTAGCAGCCATATTAAAGCCTGCAATCTGTCATTTTTTATAGATATCAGTATGTCACACAGCTTTTAAAGTTTTTAAAGTGATGGTTTGATGGTTTAATGATGCACAATGCTAATTAATGCATAAGCCCTGCAGCTCCATTCAAAACCAAAGAAGCAAACATTAGACAAGGCTAAACGGACAGCAGAAACCACAAAGAAGAATTTTTAAACCTGATACTCACTGAAGAAGTCCTTCTTTGACAAGTTCTTCGCACAGAGAACTGAAAAAGAAAAGAAAAAGAATTCAGAACCCGAGAATAATGAAAAATGACAACCCCACACAAATTAAAAAAGTCCATACCCACAAACAGAATGCATAAATAGATTTTCCAGCTGGCTTCTGCATTTTAGATTTTACGTTATGCTTTGTATTTCTATTAAGCTACCAATTACTCATTTACCAGAAAGTTACCAGAAAACACTGGCTGGGGTTGCACCATGACTACGATGGTTCACTGCAAAAAAATAGTATCTTGTCAAGTGAATCTTAATTCTAGTGGATCTATGTAATATTTCTTATTTTTAGATAGTTGTGCACTTATTATAAGATTATCCAGCTTAATTGTAGACATTTTTACCTGTTTTAAGTAATTTTATCAAGAAAAATTCTTCACTTCATTGGCAGATCATTTTCCTGGTTTCAATATATTGAAATAAATTTACTTAATAAAATCACTTAAAAGAAGTAAAAAATGTTTGGTAATAAGTTAAATAATTTAGAAATAAGCTTACAACAACCCATAACAGGAGAAATATCATTTTACCTGACAAAACACTATTTTTTGCTGTCAACATGCAAGCAAAGTATGTATCTGGTCAGCAGCAGTCTTGTGCTCAGAAATGGATCAATGATGAATGGGGTAGAGGTGGGCTGATAAATTGTGCAGCAACAGAAGGACTACAGACTGTAACTGTACACTTATACAGTGGGTTTCTGATAAAGTGGCCAGTGAGTAGAAGTGGAAGGGATTTCAAAATAAACTGGAGTGAGTCTATCTTCTTTCAGTTCACTGGTTAGACTGAGTGCACTTTGACTTTGAACAAGTCAATATGCATGAAGAGCTTGCACTAGTACAGAGTGTTTCTAGAAGAACATGTTAACTGCGCTATGATCTCTCAGCTTTGCTGCTGTAGTTGAACATGAACCCTCTGCACGGCTCCTGGACGACGACCTCTTGACCCTTTCCAGCAGCTGAGTCGGGACAAAAGCACCGCGCGTTAATGTCACTGCTCTGATCGGGTGCCGTCTCAGCCAGGATTTTACCGCCATCGCATCGCCATGGCGCCACGCCAAGCTCCGCCCACAGCCGTATCTGTTACACGGGCTGCTCTGCCATGACGCAGGTACTGCGGCCAGGGGACAGAAATAGGAGTGAAAAAAATGCATCGGTGCATCGTGACGCATCGATCTGAAGGTGGTGATTGAACCGCATTTCAGAATGCTACAACTGATTTTAGAATCAGTGACTGTATGATTTGAAGTGGTAAAAAAATTGCAATTGATTACAATAAGTCTCGATAAATTATGTACTCACTTTTTGGTTTGGTGTTATTAAGATACGGCACTTCTTAAACGTGAAGCATGGTGTATCACTCTTTTTATTCTCTATAATTCTCAACTGAATCAAATTAAACTGAATCATGGTGAAAATTGAGCTTTAATGTGAAATTTGAGTAAATAATTCATTGAATTCATGCTGTGAGGTCACATTTACACTGGTAGACAGAAAGGAACCCCTGGGACGCTTCGCCTGTAACCTGTGTCTTTTGAAGGCCAAAGAAAACCAATCTCTCTCACAGGCCACAACTGCCATACTGACCCCTGGCTTGGCCCAGTGACCCAGGCTTACCATAAGGTTCAAAAAGAAAGCAGACACCCCTGAGGGAGCCTCCTGCAGAGCTGACCGGCAGTAACGTGGTGGGACATTCTGGCCAGGGGAGCCTGCTGATGGCTGCAGTTGCTCTTTTTCGTCAGGGATGCCAGAGGATGTGTAATGGAGCATGCCAGGTCCAAAAACAACCCCAGTTACAGACACAAACACTGTATTCAAAACGGTCCCTTAATTACTATTCTCTATGCTGCAACATCAAGAACACTATCTAGAACAGATTATATGTTATAAGGATCAGAAATGTTCCCCAGTCACTATGCCACACAGAAATGGTTCCTATTCGCTATTCCCTACACTTGAGCGCTATTCACTATTCCCTAGACTGGAACACTACTTAGAACACTATTATAGGGAACAGAAAGGGTCCAATAATCACTATTCCCTACATTGGAGCACTCTGCAGAACATTATTGGAAGAAACAGAAATGGTCCACTATTCACTACTCCCTACATTTTTATATTTTATATGTTTTTATATTCATTAGTTGTTTTTAATTTTCCCACTAATGAAATCCGTAGTTTTATGTAAATCACTCACAGTTCATCATGACCATATTCAAACAGTCTTCATCGCTTTGAATAAATCAGCCTGTTTTTGTTACTGTACCTTTAAGATTACTGTATGTAAAAGACCTCTGTTCTGATTGGCTGCCTGTATGGTCTTATTCTGAAAGCAGTCTTGGCTGAAACACCCCTTATAACTTTAGCATTAATGGGTGGGGCTTAATTGCTCTAGGCTGAACAGGCAGCCATATGTAAATACAATGGTTTTTGTGACAAAAAACAATCAGTAGTTTAGTTTTCATATTTTTATGTTATGGACAGGGAGTTGACGTTTTAACAGTGTTTGCATACTATATCAAACTATTAAACTTATTTTAAAGAAGTGACAAAAATTCACATCAGTTTTCATTATATGAGCCCTTTAAGCCTTGAGGGGTCCAAGCAAATCCGTTGTAATAACTAAGTGCAAGGCAGTGACAGATGTACCATACATCCCTTATTTCCAGGCCTCAGCCAACTTGTAAACAGTCTGAATAAAAAATAAACAAACTGCTAGTTTAATAATATGGTTAATTCATTAGGAAGCAATACTCCTTACTTTAAATGCTCAGAGAGATTAAGAATGTTCCTAAGAACATTACAACATTACATTTCTACAAAACGCCAAGAACATTCCTCTCTTCAATTATGCTGTTTTACGTTCCTAAGCTCGGGAACTTAGTCTGTCACACCCCTCAACAAAGGAGCAGTAAGGCCACAAATCTACAAGCTATTGGCAGGTCGTAAAACCGGGCCATTTGGAGTGCAGCTGCAGACTAAGAACCGGAGCAAGCACCACAGGGCCTATGACTGAGCCGCGCCAGAAAGGTTACAACAAAGCTGCGTCAGGAGGCCCAGCATCCCAATGCAGAATTGAGCCACATGCCCCACAATGGAGCAGCACCAGAGCTGGCTCTTGATAAAGCTCTGTCTACAGACCCACTGCAGAACTGGGCAATAGGGCCCAAGACAGAGCTGGCTCATAAGGACTACAATGGAGCTTTGCCAGGCAGACCAACACAGAGCTGGGCCATGGGGCCCATGGCAGAGCTGCTATGGGAGGCCCAGTGCAGAGCTGTGCCAGGGGGACCACAATAGAAATGAGGCAGGAGGCCCAAAGCAGAGCTGCCCCACAAGGCCAAAAACAGAACTGGCATATAGGAGAATATTATGGAGCTCTGCCATGAGTACCAACAAAAAGCTGGGCCATGGACCCCATGACAGAGCTGCACCAGGAGGCCCAAAGCAGTGCTGGAACACAGGGCCCACAGAGTTGCAGAGAGAGGACAGAGTTGCACCAAAAGGCTCAATGCCAAAGTGACCAATGGGACCAACGATGGAGCTGTGTAAGGTGACTGAATGCAGAGATGTGCCACAGGACCCACAAGCAAGTTGCACCAGGGGTCTTAACGCACAGGTGGCCAATGGGGCCCAACATGGAGCTACACCATGGGGACCAGCGCAGACCTCTGACTGCAGATTTTGTAAGGATGGCCTTAAGAAAAAATAAAAAAACTAGCCGGAATGCCTGGCAGTAGAAGGACTGTTGGGAACCCAGTGGTTTCTCCCACCACTGGCCCTGGGGCCTGCGGCCGACTTGAGGCCAAACAAACACACTTGACAGCCTTTAACTGAGATGGAGGCTGGAAATAGACTGCACACCAGGGCTGTGAGCGATGGGGGAAAAAAAAACAGCAGATGCCAAAAAAAGAGAGCAAAATGATACGGGTGGCAGAGGAGAAGCCCTGCCTGTAAATTCTGCAGACCAGAACAGCAAATGAAAAATACAGAGCCATTTCAAAGTTTAGACTTAAAGTTAAGAACATGATGAAAAGCTAATAAGATAAAGAAGATATTTATCTATTAGAAAATGGAGAGGGCTGCATATATCTGAGATCCATAACCAAAAGCAGTGAGAAAAAAAATCTTTCTACATGGAGAAATGGCACAGATGCTGTACTTAAAAGGCATTCGTGGGGCAGATGTATGTTCAGTCCATTCTAATGCAAAGTAGTCCCCAAATATGTATTTTTTTTAATCAATATTACATATTAAAGCTCAGAAGACACATGTAGGTTCGCTGTTGGTTTTGGATAGTGAATAAAATGGCTATATTTATGTTGTAGACATGGTGACCCCTGGTTCCTATCACCACCTCTGTAAAGAGTCTCTACAATCAACCATTTCATACCAAACCACTCTGAACGACTGAATTATGCATAAACGTAGAACAGTCTAGTCTTTGGAATTGCCTTTCAACTTTCAACTAATACTGATCCATTTCTACTGGCCCATTCGTCCTGAAACCTTCATATAACATCATATTCATATGTGTTCGACAAATAAATGAAGTTACCAAGTTCTGACATGACAGCAATGTTATTTTACACCGCTTTGGGCTGAAGGCGAAGGTCAACACACATGAACCTGCTGTCAAAGGCAGCGATTTCAGCCTAGCGAGTGTTATTTGCGAAAGCAACCCTGTCACTGTGAATTCTGCATGATCTCACCAGCCTTCCTAAGCTAAGCTAAAGCGCTCCAGGCTAGCACTGAGCACCTCACTGAGAGCACCCTCACTTAACACCGCTCGGCCTCCCTAAGGAACAAGTGGAAGCTCCACGTTTAACACAAACCTGCTGAATAATGAATAGAGGGATGAACTTCTCACCTCTCCCTCGCTGCACTGACCGCAGTTTCACACAAGAATGAGTCAAGAAGGCTTAAAACAGCCACAATAAATATTTCCAGGATGAGGAATGACAGCTAGCCTCTTTTTAAATGATTAG